CATAATAATAATAATAATAATAATAATAATAATAGATTCACTTAATTCTTTAAATTTATTGCTTAAAAAGTACCTACCTTTGAGAAAAAAATATTTATATTTCATTACACTTTAGCCTTTGATCGTAATTTCACAAGTATTTAAAACTTAATCCTACTTTAAAAGTTTACCTTTCTAATAAAATTACACAAAGAATAGCACAAATATACAATACTGTTTTACTAAGATATCCAACCCCTGAACAAATTAACTGTGATAAGACAAGACCTGCATGTGCCTGTAAAAACATACAAAATATCTCCTAATAAAGATTACCAATTCATAATTTGTAAAAAAATAATCTCTGTTTAACAATCTTTTAAATGTCAATTTTAAAGGTGAAGTTATCACTGTACATACATGTACAATGTAATATCATACACAGAAGTCCTATTTATCTACATGTATTTTGCCATTTTGTATTCCATTCTACAGTACAAGGAGTAGGCATAGCAGATACAAAGTGGTTGTATGTAATATATTTACAAAGATTGCATATCTTTTAAATTGTCTTCATGTTGAACCATTGAGTGTCAGTTGGCCTTCACTGCCCGGTATGGTCATTCTGACCCCATCTAAGAATCTACTTACTGCTGACTTTAAAACTTACCATCATAAGAGCCTGTAACTCATTTTTATGGTTTTATATCATAAAATTTAAAATATAATGCTCAAATGAAGATTTATCAATATTGTAAGTTTCAAAAAGCATTATTTGTAAAGATATTACCAAATTTACATTTTCATGTTAATAAAGGGAGGTAATTAGAAATCAATTTTCTATACGGTCTAAGTCAAATTTTTCAATAGAAATGAATGCATATATTTTAATGATTACATAATTATAATGTGGACAAATATTTGCAGAACTTTTTTTTTACATATTCTTCGATGTTTGAAAATTGTTTAAGAAGCATAATTATATACATATATAAAATTTCACTTAAGTATGGTAACAACCTTAATTACAACATACATGATCTTTAAGTGTTATATCGGCTTGTATTTCTTTTATAAACATCATTTACTGTGGACTAAAATATACCCTACACAAGACAAAATTGCAGTGCAGCACCAGATTACTAAAATATAATGCTACACCTATCTCCAGATGCTTGTCCCATTATGTTATATATTTGTTTACCGGTCGAGGGACACCAACACCAGACAACCATCAAACCCTGACAAACTTTAAAACCCTGATTTAGTTGTTTTCTTTGTTTAGTGGTTGTCAATCAATCAATCAATCGCTTTTTTATCAACAATAAATAAATGTTTCTTATATAATAAATTAATAAAATTTACTTAACTTTCTTAAACATTAAATATTTAATGTCCATTTTATGTCTATTACAAAAACACTAAGGTTGAAAATTCTGACATTAAGAGTGCAATACTTAACATCTTACACAAGCCATCGTCATTTTCAGAGTAAACAATTTGTTTTGCGTATCTTGCTGGAAAATTATAAATTACCAGGTATGTTATGTTAAAAAAATAAAACACAAAAGCCATTATCTGGATTAAATAAAAATCAACCTCAAATACACACAATTCTGGTAACGAATTAGTAACAATTCGCCACACTAACGATTCGCCACATAACGATTCGCCACAAAGTAATAACGATTCGCCACAGTTAAATAACGATTCGCCACAGTATGATTATAGATCTAACAATGATTTTTTTTAGTTATCAACAAACTTTTTCCTTTTGTTTTAATAATTTGACAATGACAATAATTTAATAATGTTTCTTAATACAAGTAACATGAACTTAAAGCCCCCATCGCGGATTTTCAATTTATCAAAGTAACATTATTACAGGAGTACATTTACAAGAAAGAAATTATATGTTGAAATAAATATTGAATTTATCATAAACATAAATGTCAATTTATATTTATATATATAAATATATATTTCATATATTATATATATGTCAAATATTTAAAAAAAAATATTGCAAAAACATGTGATCATTACGAAAATTGATTTACGATAATTGATTAAAGAACGCATATCTTAAACATTTGTCACACCTTTAATTTTAATAAGCCAATCACCTTAAGCTTGTTGTAGAAATATGTAATTGACGCCGAATTAATCCTTTAATTATCTGACAATGTGAGCAGATTTCAAAACAATGCGGCAATTAAGCTTATTTATGTAAATTTTGTAATAATATATATGTTAGTTATATAAATGTGTATAAATTAGTAGAGTTACTGCAATCAGATAATAAAGCTATACTTGTAAATTTAGGAAAATATATAGATGTAGCTAATAAAAAAGCTACAATAATTGTTACTACCCGTTGATAATTCATAACACATTTTGAAATGTTAATTGTTTCAACTTAAAAAGATACATGTAATCACGGATTTACATCCGTGATGTAATACTATACTTTTGACGCTGTTATAAAATTATTGTCACGTCTTTTCTGTTTTTTTGGTGTTTTTCTTCTTACTGGAACTTTTTATTTCTATGAATGATAATGAAATTGTGATATTCTTTGTTCCTTTATTTGCAGCTGTCTGTTCTCCGTTAGAATGTCATCAGTTAAAACTTTTTATGTTCTTCTTATTATTTTTTTCTTTACTTTTGTCATGTGACCACAGAATTATTATATTTGTAATTATTGTATGTAACGAGATACTGTAAATGTATAAGTTACCGAAATAAACTGTTTCTACTTCTTCTATAAATAACTTATTTAAAATGTGTAATGTAATTTTAGTAATAAAATATTTATGTGTCTTTATTTTAAAAAAAAGCTTTTGTATAATTTTCCAGTTTATTTATAAGTTTTTCTCATCTACAATGTGTGATGTAATTTTGGTAATAAAATATATTTATTTTCATGTGTTTTTATTCTATAAAAGTTGTTAGTATATTTTTCCAGTTTATATAAATAACGAAGTTATAAAATGTGTTACGTAATTTTGTTAATAAAATATTTGGTTTTCGTGTGTTTTTTATTCAATAAAAGCTGTATTCAGTGTAATTAATTTATGTAATTAACAAATGAAATATAAAATGGAAAAAAAATCCTATCAACAATTTGAAAACATGTGTGAAAAAGTTTGTATTTGAACACGTGGCGAATCGTTATTTAACTGTGGCGAATCGTTATTACTCTGTGGCGAATCGTTATGTGGCGAATCGTTAGTGTGGCGAATCGTTACATTACCCTGGTATCAAGCCAGGAATTCCTGAAAGGATATTGCAAAGATTATTTGGAAATAAAAAAACTAGGCTAGCTGTTTAGTTTGGACATTAGATCCTAGCTGTACTGTGTCAAATTTTCTGTATCTGTAGTGGCTTTTAACTTTTGAAACTGTATGAAAAAAAGTTCAAACAAAGTCCAGTTGATTGTTCCTGACAAGTATACTTTGTCATTCAATTGTGTTGATTACTCAAAATAGATTATACATATTGATTTACCAAAGATACAAAATACATATAATCCGGGTTAGCTAGGCCCTAAAACTAACTCAGCCAACCCACTCATCTTGGCCAAATACCAACTCAGCCCATAATTCTATATTACTGGTAATAATTACTTTTTTTTAAAATATATTTTCTGTCATTGCTTTCATTGTTAATATTTTCATGTTTATACTTATCGATTTTTTGATGGAAGTATATGAATTTGTTGAAAAAAGAAGAATTTGCAATTTATATGTATGTTTTGCTTTATATTTCAGATATTTTTTATTTAGAAAATATTGTTCAAACAGCAAAGGATGTTAAAAAGAACAAATAGTGTTTAATATACCGGTTTCCCAGCAGTTTCTTTTGAATCGTACTGTTTTACAAATAAAATAAAAATCTGTCTATGGAGAGTATACAACTTTGACAGAACAAAGTTAGGTACCTGTCCAGCATTACTTTTTTTCAATGTTCCTCTTTTAATTTACTTTTTAATTGGAATATTAAGGCCTGAATGAAACACCTTTTATCTCTTTTATTCAAAATTTCATAGCAGTTTTCCTGACCTTTTTATTTTGAATTTAATTCAGGACCATTAAGAAATGTTAAGATGATTTTATCAAAGAAATGTAACTTCCCAACCTTTTCCATGTCTTCTGCAAATATAATGTTCAAAAGTATTGATTTACCTGGAATGGGGTCTCAGTTATTGCGCATGGGCATTTAAACTAGAATTCTCCAGGTATGGCTTATTTTTAAATGTTGCAAGTTCTCTAAGGTAACTTTAAACAACAGGAAAAACTTCAAAACTTATAAATCGCTGTACATGTATACTATTTTAACTGCTGTGTTGCATAGAAAACAAATGTCTCTCTGATTTTATGAAGTAGCAGAGCTGCCCTATTGGACAGAACGAAAATGATAAATGGGCGGAAAATTTTAAGGGGCTGGAAACTGGTATGAAACCAGTATACTCGGTACATTTATAGTCACCAAATTCAATCTTTAACTTTAATTTTGGTTCAATCATAAAACATATTGTCTTGATTTGTTTTCTCTGCAATTATACTTAAACTGTTAATAGATAATTTCAAACAATATGCTGCTGATTTTTTCAGTTTTCATTTGCCAGTGATCACAAATTTGAATCATTTTCCCTGAATAGTAATAATGTCCTTTTTTTTACACCTTAAAAAAACTTTATTATTATATTAACTCAATAATCTGTATCCCTGTAATGTCTTGGTATTTATACACACACTAAAATATTGACTAGCTTAGGCATAATTGAACAAAAAGTTATTTAAAGAAGAATAAAAAACATCCTTGTTATGATGTTTTTCTTTAAAAAAAATCAAATTATAAATTCTAAACAATATTTCGATCAATAAGACAATATGAATACATCACATATCCGAACTACGATCTATCCGAAAGTGTGCTACTCTACAAAATTGGAAAAAAATAATTTAAACAACAATTGATGTATAATTTTCATCAAACGTAAAATGAAGAATACTTACAATATGAACTTATGCTTAAATTTATGAAGAAATACAAGTGCAAAAAAATGTCATTAACAAATAGGGCGTCTTTGTGTTAGTAAACAAAGTCACATGACACTTGACCTCTTACCCGGAAGTAATCGCTCGGCGGAAATAGCCGAGAGCAGCCGTCTCCTTGCGGACCGTGTAAGGTAGCCATATTTGTACGAAATTGTTTATTAAATCTGTTAACATCTTCAATCCTTCTTTATATGAACTGAATTTGCTGATAATTTATCTTTAATGGAACCATTTCCACTTTGTTTAATACATGTTTGTTTAACACTTAGGAGGCAGAGCTTGGAAACAAGCATCATAAGTCGGTCCTCTTTGGAGGGACAAGAACATCAAACATTTGCGTTGCAATGAATGGAAATCGTATAAAAACGTCCACATCGCCACCTCTTCAAGTTCCCGGACAGTCTCAACAAAGAAACATTTACCCATTTGTTGGTATGTTCAAAGTTTTTATTTAACTTCAAGTAATTTAATTTAAAAAACTGAAAAGTTTGACGTGGACACCTGCCGGCAAACATGTCGCCGACATGTGAATAGCCCGTGTTAGGAATTGGGTTACGTCACCTGTCAAGTTCAATGCTTTATTCCAAATGTTGCTGAATAATTGAGATTTCGCATTTAATTTTGTTCATATGTTGAAAGTTTGCTCAAGAAAATCCCACGCAACCCTGCATTTTGATGAAATAATTTCGTAGCACTTGCCACTTCCTTGTCTGGGAGGTAAACTTTTCCATATTGACAACAATAAATGTTTCCTTTTGTTGATTATCTGCTGATTTAATATAAATAACGAAATATAAATGTTCATTAAAGTTTTCTTGAAGCGTGTGTGTTTTAATTGCAAACATTTACTTGGATACATAAGCTCTCAATGCACCATGTGTATTTTGTCAAAGCATGATAATTTGCATTTTTCATGTCTCCATAGATTGCAATTGCAAGAGTCGATAACTTGGTGCAGATTGTGATTGCAATTTTCTATTTCAGTACATTTTGCCTACCCAATTTTCCCAAATATCTGGATTTAAATGTTTATAACAATACTGAGTGGCGTTATGGCCGAGTGGTTAATGTGTCAGACTTGTAATCTAAGGATTGCTGACCAGTTCAAACCCTGTCAGGGGCAGGCAGTTGTTTCCTTGAGCAAGAAATTTTATATTCATTGCTTAGTACTGGTTGGTTCCAGGAACAGATTCAAAAGTGTTTCAATAAGCTTATAGCTTCCAACACAATCCAACTAAAATTAATTTGTATAAACTAATACTGTCAGCATTTTAAGATCAATTCATTTAGTACGGAAGTGTTGTCTGCACTGTTCTTGGCCTGATTTTATTCCCCTGATTGAAAGTCCCACTGCGAAACATTGCAAATGTTTGGGAAACATACCATGAGAAAACCTACTTAACTTTCTATTTCATTTGTATCAGGTTTTCAGTTTAAGCATATTTTGACACTTTTGCAAGGATGTTTATATTTTATTCAAAGAAATTTTATATTTGAAGTTGATAATGAAACTAAGTTTAATTCTAAATGCCCTTTTGCCTGTAACTCTGAAAGATTATTGATTTATTCTTTCCAATGTTTTTCAGAGGAGTTTCAGCCACAGAACTTTCAACAGTCTGGCTACTCACAGCCTAGTCAGCACCAGTATTCTGTCCAGGTAAATCTGCATTACCTAATTATCTTATTGCCAAATACATTTTATTACCATATTTCAGGAATGAAGTTTGTTAAAATTTGATATAGTTTCATTGAACATTTTATCAAATATTATTAATAAAGAAAAGTAAGGTTTTAGGCTTGTTGATGTAAACGGTCTGCGAAAATAGACCAAGACATAGTCTAGGAAAAATTCCATGCGGGCTAGCATAAAATGAATGGAACATTTCTAGCAATGTTTTGGGATCCGAAAAAATATATAAACAGTATCATTTATGTAATGACAGAGAGGAATCTAGCATATTGAATTTTTTTCAAGGTATTGACTCTGGATTTTTCAAAATATAAAATATGACATCAGAAGGATAAGCTAAATGAAATCATTCAGAGATATTATTAGCCAATCAAAACACTGTTGCTTCAATGCAAACTCTGTTGCTTCCATACAGTTGATAACATGGCAAACATGTTAAAATGCACAAAGCCCAAAAAACAAATTAAGTAATAAGATGCTCACAACAATTGTTAGCCTATGGAATTTTTATATCAGCAAAAAGTTTCAGCAAATTTGTTATCTTTCTGTAGAATAGCAGAAATAAATGTTCATTAATTGACATCACTTGTAATTAATTTCTCCAGATATAAGTAAATTTGAAAAAACTTGGCCATAATTTTTGTAAGAACCTTTTGGCTAGTCTAAATTGGTTGGGATATATGATATTTTAATGGACACGGTCCATAAACAGTTTTTCATGCAGAATGAATTTACAGTAAACAAATGTTTGAACTCTACCAGTCTTCATCAGGAATGAAAATATTTATTTCATTTAGAAATACTTTGATGTCATAAAACAGTTGAATAGTCATAAATTTATTTTGAAAACCATTTCTAGCAATTAGGTGTGCAAGCCTCTAACTATGAAATAGGGAAACCTGGGTTCAGTGCTCCTCGAATGACCAGTCCTGGTTTAGGCCAACAACAACAGACAAATATGTATCAACAACAAACACAGCAGCAAGGCATGAGGCCAAGTGCGGTAAGTTCTCCAATTGTGATGATATTGTATGGATAGAATTAAGCTTAATTAAAGACTAATTTAAAGTTAATAAGCCAGTGATTTATTACTAAAATCAAACAAATACTGGCTTGCATTCCAAGTGAAGTCTTATTCACTAGCCACACTAACATTTGCTATTTATTTTAAAAGAGAAAACGATGCTTCATAGACTTCACATTTTAAAGTGGCAATATTCATTGTGTATTTGCAATATGCATTTGTTAATAGGAATTTTGTGTGAATATGCAATAAATTAGACAAATATGAATTTTCTTTTAGCCTTTTTTCCAAACTAATCAACAGAATATGAATATGAGGCCACAGAGATATCCAAGTCCTGGAAATCCTCAGTCGCTGATGTATGGAGGACCACAGATGATATACATGGGAGGAGGGCAGTTCCCTGGGCAACAACCAATTATAATGAATGCAGCAAACATGGTGAGTTTTTGTCTTCTATAAATTTACTTCGTCTTATCTATTTTACCAAGTCTGTGGTTCTACTAGGTTGACATGTGCTTGGTTGATCCAAAAAGCTTAAAAGTTAATACTATTTCTCAGTATTGAGCTTTTTCATAGTTGATAAATTTTTCATTTTAATAAATGATAAATTTTTTCATGAATTTTATGTTCATTTTATTTTTGCCTTTGTATTGTATGATTAATATTTACCAGAAGCCTTGGCGTCCGTGGTCGAGTGTTTCAGGTCTTTAACTTCACTGCTGTGGGTTCGAATCAGATGGGGACTTGGGATTCTTTCATGTGAGGAAGCTATCCAGCTAGCTAACGGAACATCGGTGGTTCTACTCAGGTGCCCGTTTGTGCCTGAAATAATGCACAGAAGGGCAAACGAGGTCTTCCTTCACCAGTAAAGCTGGAAAGTCTGCATATTACCTATACTGTGTCAGTGTGAGATAAAACCAAATGAAACAAACAATTTTACCAGAAAGAACGTTTTAGTACACTGGCCAAAGTAGAAATTTTATTATTGAATTGACAATTAATAATTTGACATTGAATATAGTTAGTAGATTCTTTAATGTGTCAACTAGTGCAGGTCTTGAGATTTATTCCTCATAACTTGTATTTCAGATTCCACAACAGAGAATGCCCAATCCACAATACAACCCTGGAGGTATGCCATCCAACCCTACTGGATACATCCACCAGATTCCGCCACAACAGACACCTATCTCTACCTACCCACAAGGTTATGGGAATCAACCTTTGTTCATGGGAAACACAGCGACCAGTCAGCGGCCGCCGTCAACACAAGGTCAGGCCCCACAACAGTACACTAAACCAAAAGGGAGAACCATTATAAGTATTGTTGATCCAAATAGTGGTAAAGATTTGACAGCAGAGATACTTAAGACAACACAAAGTTCGACAGAAGTAACTGGATCTTCTGATTCGGGGTCCAGAAGTACACCAGTGGGAAATACAGAGGTAAGAGTTTAATTTTGTCCTTATGGATAGTTAGAGGCTCTGGGAGCACAGTGCATTTTCACTTTCGGGACGAAGCATTGGTCAGAAATTCCAATCGTCTGCTTGTATATATGAGTAGGGATCAATGCAGGACGAGTACAAAATGGTAGAATGCTCATCCGGCAGGTCAAGCTGAAATTTGCCAATGTAACGGGAAGCTAGAATTCTCATGATCAGTTTGTTTCCTTTCAACAATGGAAAGCCGGAAACAAAGCTTGTGTTTTAGGTTACATATAAATTGCGCACTTTACACATTGTTAATTGGATACAGGTGTAATTGGAATGTGCCGACAATACTGATGAAACTTGGCTCAAATTTGACTAGACCATAGCCTCTGTAACAGCATGCTCAATCGTAAATTTCCTGTTACCATGGCAACGGGGGGACGTCTCAAAATTGCGAAAAATCCCAATTTTGCATTGTTTATATAAGAGAAAAGGTTAAACAAATTGATTATGAAAATTACTAGCGGTCGTTTGCATTGGCAAGGTTCTATTGCATAGGAGAGATTTATTTTGAAAATTGTGCCCAAAATGCAGGACGAGTATTGAAGCATGCAGTACAAGTAGAAATTTGAAGCTACTCGTCCTGTAGGACAAGCGGCTCTAAAAAAATTTGATCCTTTTTAATAAAACTAATTTTTAAATGTTTGTCTTATTGTCATTAATCTATTAAGTCTTTAAAGTGATGCTGACCTAAAAATTGACAAGTTGATATTAGAAGTGTAATTTGACATTGAAATTCAATTTGCTTCTTTCACAGGAAGTGTCGGGGCAGAGTGAGGGGTCAAATGCTATAGCAGCACAATTTGCAGCTCAGGTTGCTGCCAAACTCTACCATCCAAAAGATGGAGAAGGTCCTCCAAGTCATACACCCCCTCCTTCAGCACACCAGCAAGCATCTTTGTCACAGGGGGCAGTACCAGGTGCAATGCCTTCAGGTGATCACGCTCATCCAGCTACGACTGGCTCAAACCCAGTCCAGGTTGTCCTGGAACAACCTCCAGTTACCACACCAACACAATCTGTACATGTAGATAGTGCAACTGCAGACAACTCTAAAACTCATCAAAGTCTTTCAAATGGCAGGCCTGCTCCTCCTTCAGAAGTTGTCCAAACTTCTGAAGTGCCACCTGTAGCGGTAGTGGAGACTGTTACTCCTGTAGATAGTGCATCAAATGCCAAGAAATCATTAGAAACCTCAGAACCAGTGACTGTTAGTGTTATAAGTGCACCAGTTGTCTCAGAAAGAACTAATGTTAGTGAAGAACGTAGTGACTCTAGTAGTGCTCGTGAAATTACACCAGAAGTAAATATAGTGCCACCAACGCCTGTTGAAAAGAAACCAGATATGAAAATACCAGAAATAAGTGATGAACCAACAAAAACTGAAGAACCAACGGCGGAAGTATCAGGTATGAATCATTTTCTTTGCATGCAGAATTATTGCCAAGAGAATGAGGAGTCTGAGGTTTTGTTTTGGGGTTATCACATTTGTGAAAAAGAAAACTGACCTTGAAGTTTTATACCAATTTTAACTGTTAAATAACTTTTTAATGGCAAGGTTTCAAAATACTTTTACCAAAAAGAAAGCATGACAATTCACTATAGAGCATTTGTAAGTTGATCATGTGAGTAATTGTGAAATAAAGAACAAACATTTATTGGCTGTTGTTGATTGGAAGACCAAGGGTCTGGTAATTTGACCCATGGAGGCACTGGGAAAACCCAGCAGTCATGAAATCTATACTAATGAAGTAGTACAGAATTATTTCAGTTTCTTTCGGTCTGGTGAAACTAAATTTGGTGTGGTAAACTTTCATTGTTTACCAGACCCACTGTCTTGGTCAATTCCGTTTAGACTTAATAAATATGTATATTTAAAATATGTCCATTTTGTATCATATGGACCTTTCCGGTTTTTCGTAGCGGAACATTTAGCCACACCTTTTCCATTCATTGCTAGGTCAACTGCTCACAAACAGTATCACAAACATAACCATGTGTTCTTTTGTGCAAACCAGGTCAACCAGTGACTTTGTATTATCTCAGTGTAGCGATTGGATAACAAGTTAGCCAATTTACATAAAACTGTAAACACCGGAAAGGTCCATTGAACAATCTTTTAATGTTTTATACTGTTTTTTGTTATCAAAATATAATGTTTTATTGGAAAAAAAGCATCTTTTGATAAATAAGACTTTAAGTAAAGGATATTTGTATGAATTTGCTTATTTGACAGAAGAGTTATTTTGCAAGTTTATAGACTGATATTAGAACTGGTTTGAAAGAAAAAAAGTTGCTACAAAAATCTATAAACTTCACATTATTAAGTGCTTAAAGATGTGATATCATAGCATTTCATTCTATTGAAGAAATGAAGTTCATTAATATTCTTCTTCATTTTACAGTTCCCAAAAAGCAGAAATCAAAGTTGAAAAAGAAGGACTTGAACAAGAAAGGAGACCAAATATCTGGTTCCGAGTTTGACGCCTACACAGATACATCAGTAGTGAGTAGATGAATTTTATAGTTATGATAAATTATTAAGCCCCATTGTGAAGATGGCCAACATAAACCTCTTTAGAATCCACTCCCTGGAATAAACAAGAGTATTTGTGTAATGACAGCTTTTTTTTACACAGGAAGGGAAGGGCTGGCTTTATCTTAAATTTTTAGAGAAACTGTTAGTTACCTGCACTCAAGTTATCACACTGGCTGTCAAAATGTAAATAGAGCATGCTATTTAATTGGCTTCATATTTCCAGGACCTACTTTAATATTGGCTTTAGGGAATGGGATAATGATAGAAAAATAATATTCAGATGCTCTTGCATTGGTTCATTTAGTCTGGGGTTTCATATTGTGATGACAGGGCTCTTTCTAGTGCATTGAATGATGTACACAGTGACATTAAATATTGCATTGAATCTTGAATAGTAATAATTCAGCATTGACCATTGTGAATTTGTCCTTTGTCATATTGGCTTTGCCATTTTATTATGCCTCCCTTTGCTGCTGTCTGTTGGTCAACCAACAGTTACCCCTATTTGTGCCCCAAAATTAACAAAATATGGAGCAAGTGCAGAGTAAATTGTACGCCCAAAAGAGAGATACGTAAGTTACCTTGATGACATTCCATGGCTTTCTATGCCATTTACCACTTTAATCATTTGCTAAAGTTTTGTAATGTGGCTGGAGTAATAACAGGGTTCCCTCTGGGTCAATTTTAGTTTGCACCACCAAATTCACCAATCAGAAAAATTGGGAGCCAATGGCTCCTAAGTTGGAGGCAATAATTCTGCAAGGGAGACATGCCTATCTCTCTTATTCACTTTCACTGATTTGACTGAGGCAAGATCTTTCCAGCTTTCACTGCATTCTGGTGATCTTCAAATACAAAAGAAAACAAAAAAAACATTACTATAAATTAACTTCATCTTAAAATCAATGAAGAAAAAAATTAAATAGATACCAAGGACTTTTTAACAATGAAGAATTATGATTATTTTAATAGGTTTTGTGATGAGACTGTTTAGCATTAAACATTCAGATATTAAATATTAACAATGTTAACTCATACCAGTAGTTTTAAATCAATCACTGGTGAAATTATTATTCTAATTGTCACCAGATTTAATATTTCAAACTGTAATTATTTTTAGTCAGCTGACGAGTCAACTTACATAAACTTTAATTTTTGTCTCTAATTCGCAACTAACACTAGTTGACTACATGTGTAATTAACACTGCTCCAAGAAACAAGAATGTTTGCTGTTTGTAATTATGTATGAAATAATGAGGAAGACTAGTTTCAAACCCTGTATTTAAAGATGTTATTTTGTGGCAAGAAGTTTATTTTCATATAAACCTTGATTATACAGTTTAAAGACCAGCCTTCATAAAGTTGAAATGGAGCCAAACCATTATTATTCTTGTCGGGGAAACTGGTCTGTCCAGAATCTGTGACTGAAATTCTGCTGCATTCTGAATCCAAAACAGTATTGCATGTTACTCCAGTTTCACAAAAAAAGTCCCAACAGTAGCCCAAAACAAATCAAACTGTTTAAACCTCTGAGAAGAAACAAAATTGATTTGTGTCTTAAAAAAGATATATGATCATACACAAAGGATATCTAAAAGTTTTTATTTAATTCTTAAAATTTCTTGAATTTCCTAAATAGTTTTCCCAATTTATGCCAGGGGCCTTTCCCAGAAAAGCTGGTAAAGGCCCTGTAAAACCTGCAGCATGACAATTGGAAAATTGACAAGGTAACAAAGGTATTAAATATGTCGATGTCGGGAAGGAAAATGATAACCAAGCTGTTATTTTGCGGTGTGTATGAAATGCATGGGTGCAAGTTTTCAGGCATATGCCTGAAGTTCAGGTTTTTTGTGACAAATTTCATCATGTTTAATAGGGGTGGCAACGAATACCAAAATCAATACTCGAGTACTCGGTAATTTTTCCGATCGAGTACTCGGTTACTCGGATGATTGCCAGTGATCTTCAAAGTTTATCACACAATATCAACACCGTCCGCATGCTACTTTCGTTTTCTTTTTAAATTCATAGAATTCTGTAGATAGTAAATAGGACTGCACGGGAGACAAATTAATTATAATTAAATCAACAACATAATATTTTACAACGTTTTAATTAATGCAATATCAAGTTTTAAACATGTACAACAGTTCATAGATCTTTTTCCTTCTTGAAATAATATAGACTGACCGGCGGCAACAAAAGTTTAACCGGGTCTAAATACTAGTTACCTTTATTCTTACAACAACAATTATCAACATACATTCATGATAGCAATCGGCCCTTTGTTGTTTTCAAGACAGTTACTTCGGCTCACAATTAAAGGTAATTAAATATCATGAGAGACTTGATGACATAAGCGACACAGGTGCGCGTGTCAAACTGTTGATCGCCTCGTTAAATTTATGATCTCATTTTCTCACCTCTGCAAGGATGTTTTGATTGCATTTAACGGGTATTTATGAAGATACATGCACATCTCTGAATTCCTGAACAATTTGGATACACCAATCTTTCTAAATCGCAAAAAGAAAAAAAAAATAGAAAACATATATATTTTTCCGAGTAATCGAATATCAATTTTGTTAACCGATATTCGGACGTTCGATCGAGTACTCGGTTACTCGTTGCCATCCCTAATGTTTAACTATTAGATTATGTAGGAAAATTGATTATGAATGACAGTCTTCCAGTTTTTCCAAATTTTCAACTTGCACCCATGGAAATGCAAACTTGTGTAACTATTTAAGGGTGCATTTGATTCATGGTCCCATGAAGTATTTTTTACACAGTGCGAATTTTATACAAACCCCAAAGTATTGCCTTGGATTTTGGTTTTCTTTTGTTAATGAAAACATATCAAATAAGTTTATTCTAGCTGTCTTTTAAGGATCTCCACTGAGGTGGAAATGCCTAAAAATCATTTAAAATTTGAAATGTTAACATAAATCAACTGGAGCTGCAAAAATGTTAACATGAAAATGTGAAATGTTACGAAAAACAAAAAATGTAAATATATGAAAATGGTACGAAAAACGGGACAAGCAGTGATTCTTTCCTTAAAAAAAAAGTTGTTCCAATAACAAGAGATGCTTAGAAAATTGAACTGTTTATTTCTCAACTCCATTTTATAATAGTTTTTATGTATGTTAAAGTTTTGTCTGATTCCTATCAGACACATAGGTTATAAAAAGATACAAGTCTCGGGTCTTAAATACATAGTAAAGAGGAGGTTAATCTGGAAGAAATTAAATCTAGTGTTGTATAGATAGCCTCCCTTGGATTTAGTTATAAATAGCCTTTGTTGGCAGAGTGTATATCAATCTTCAGTGTACTAGAGCATGGTATGTTAAACTGAACCAGTTTTTATCTACACACACATACCATCATCATATACCTCGCCTACACTGTGTCTATCTTATATTAACTTAAACTTCTTCTTAGCTGAAAGTGAGGATTACTTTGTAATGTGCAGAAAAACAAGGCTTATATAAGTTCTTCTTTTATAAAGTTTGGAACTTTTAATCTTGAACTTGGGAGTATAACGAAAAGTGCATAGGTAAGCAGATTTATTGGGATTTTTCGAAAAAGAAAAAGTCCTGTTCAAGGGTATTTAGATATTGCCTTAATGATTTCAAGGTTTATATAACTGAAATAAAGGTAAGAAGATAATGATGTTATGTTATTAATGCTTAATAAATATTTGATGTAATGTTACTTTAGAAACTATTATAAATTATATTGAAAGTTGTGTAAAGTTGAGGCATGCTGCTTTCCTATTTTAAAATATTTAAAACCATTTCCAAACATCTGCCATGTGTTTGATAAGAGCAAATGTATGGACATTTGACAATATCATAATGGGGGGGGGGGGAGGAAGAGAGCAGATACTTAAGCCTTGACATGTGGAATGCTGAGTGACTCATGCATGTTGTAAGAGGGAATTAATGGGCAGACAATATTCTAATCTTGACAGCTGAAACATGTGTTGAATTTATCATTTTGTGGTTACGAAATACTACACTTTTACCAGTGTGATGTTCTTGTTCTATACAGTAGAACTCAAAATGTCTGCATAATTGATCAGTTACTAATTTATCAGTTGAAAAGTAACTGCATCAGATCTATAGTAGTCATGTTTTCTTGTAGAATATTAAGCATTTTACATTATTTATGTTTGAATAAGAAATTAAATATTTTTAACTCTTGAGTTTAAACACTGGTCAAATGAAATGCTTCAAATTTTAGATTTACTTATTTACAAGTTTTGACAAGGGGATTTTCATTGTTTAAATGTCTGGGTTAGATTTTACTACGGTCTGAAATAATGTGTAGAAATACCAGATTAGATAAGCCATTTGTCATATATATAATAATAAATGTACTTCTGTCAGAAAAAGGACACCAAGTAATGAAGATTAAGTACTAAGCTATAAATCCATTAAACTTGCTTTCATAGTTGTCTAATGACATCATTGAAATCAAACTGAATGTTCAAGATTGGTTCTAGTCCAACTAATTGTACTAAGCGACAAGATATTGTGCTATTCTATGTCTGGGCAATATCTCTCAAAAGTATCTAAATGTTGTTGGTTATACACATGATTGCAGCTAAAGATTTAAGCAGAAAAATTCTCCCGGATATATATGTGTGTATTATCTTAACAAACAATCTTGCTTTGAAGTACATGTCATTGGTAGTTATCAGTGTGGTTCAGTGTTAAGTATGTCCTGAGTGTAGTAACAACATTAAGTATCCTGTACCTCCATCTTTACAGTTTTTGGCAAGTAGTTCCTGTTTAATTTAGTAATTTAGAATTATTACTGTGTATAAAATTGTTTGGAAGATTGCATTTACACAGCTTATTACGCAGATTATAAAAATATAAAAAAAAAAAATCCCTGAACACTATATAATAATTGTATGCTTTAGGTGCTTGGTAAATTATGAAATTTTCAGGTATTTGTTTTAGATGTTTTATTTTGTTCTTGAGAATTGTTGCTCCAAGTGTCTGAAAATTTAGCAGTCAGTATCAAGTACTGCAAAGCTGTTGGTTACAGGAGGGAAAATAAGGTTTCCAAAATTTGCTTGCTTTTGATGAAATTGGATGAAGTAGACTATAGTGGTCCAGCAGCGAAAGGTGATGGTACTATGTATGTTACCTTAGTGAAGTAACAGGTTAACTGTTGTTAAAGTTCAATAGGAGTTAACCTGTTACTGCACTAAGGTGACGATATGTTAAGTTGACCATTTGATAAATTACTATTTAGAAATTTAAAGGGAACACAGTGGGTTTTTTTCATAATTTTAGGAACATGACCCATACCCATGAAATTGGGAATTACAGCGATGTTTTGTAAAAAAATTGGGAAAAAGCGCATGACTTAAATGAATAATTGAACAAAGAATCACTGTCTAGGATGGCATTTTCAAACATTTAAGCACCATAACAGTGAAGAAGCCCTTATTTTCAAAGATTATAATTCAATATTTTTATTTTGTAACTTTCAATTGGGAATTTTTTCCTGTAGATTGGGAAAATAATATACTATTTTCAATTGGGTTTATTAACGAATATCGGCTATAGAATAAGCCAAAAAAAATTCCTGGAACACAAATTTTTAAGTAGTAAAAAATTTAAACACTGGATACACAGAAACACAATTTTAAAAATACAGAAAATTGGATTAAATGAAGTTTTGTGATCATCAGTTGTGCCTATGATGAGATGACCTTGAGGTTATTTATAGCTGGATGGTAAAATGCTAATGAATATTGGTAGACAAGAAGAGTCTGCTTGTCTCACCTGTTTCTCTACTCTATAATGTGTGTACACTGTAGGAAATAACATCCAACATTGACTTGTTTTTGTCCCATCATATTTTGCACATCGTAATGAAGTTTATGCCATTTGTTGTTGTGTTTTTTGGTCTGTGTATACTTTGAGAGGTGTAGTTAGAATGTCTTTTATCTATTGAATGATATTTTGTGGCTGTATGTGTGAAGGTATGACCATGAATACAAAACTGATACCTGAGGTTAAGAGGCCAGAGGTCAAGTGAGGTCAAGATAAAAAGAGACAGTGTTTGAAATGTAATGTTTATTTTGGAGTTTTAAGTGTTTAGCCTAATATTAGTAAGGGCCCTTAAGTACTTTAGTTAATTCTGAGAAAAGATTTTGGAAAACTGATCCATTGACAGTCATAATTTCAATTATTGTGTAACAAATGCATTCTGTTGCAGTCATTAGAAGTTCACAAGTCTGAATTATTGGCTTTAAATTCCTTTCTAGCTTAAATAATTAAATTGTAAAATTTCCACTAGCCCTGTGATGTAATTAACTAGTGTTGTACTGTCAGGCTAAGTAAGAATTTCTAGGACTGCTCTTTAAAGATCTATCAAAAACAACGAGAAAATTAACAATATATTTGAACATAATCAATTATGAATTTACTTTCCATGTGGTGTTTTTCAACTGGCAATATGTATAAGTGCACTCTGTAATGCAGTTTTTCATTGCATAGCTACAATATTTGGCAGTGCATCAAATATATAAACAATTAATTCCCATAAGAAATTTATTTCCAGCAAAGTAATTGGAAAGAAAAGTTTTGTAACAAATTCATACTATAATAACAGACTGATATAAATCATTGATGGGAGAAATGTAAGTCGGACAGACTGAAGAAAGTAATATTATTTAACTTTTGGGCAAATAATCAAAATGGGGGGAGGCAGGTTTATCTTTCAATCTTCCCTGTTATTGCTTGATAAATGCATCAGTGTTTATTATAAACCTTTCCTGGAAAAGTTATTTTTAAATGAAATTAATCAAACCACCTGAATGTGTATATAAATAATATTCCATTTTGATTTAGGATGGAGGGGCACTCTTTTTCATTAAAATAATTTCTCATTTCAGTCAATTGAACCACAGCAGCCGGAGGCTACACCAAGTGAACCCGAAGTGTCAGAACCAGTCGAAGAAACACCCGAACCATCAGTGCCTGAGGAACCAGTCACAGAGGTAACCACAGAGCCGTCAAAGACACCCTCGCCAACCCCCACAGATGACATCGTACCCAAGGTGGAAATCAAGATTGAAGATGGTGACGCTGAATTAGAGGAAGGCGAAATAGTGGATGATGAAGATGAAGATGCCATGAGTATGGGACTGAGATACAAGTATTCAGAAGGTAAGGACATTTGATGCATACCAGGCATCGAAAAATATTTTCAGTCACTCGTCCTGCAGGATGAGTAGCTTGGACTTGCTTCTAAATCCATTGTGCAGGCAACATTTTTCTCGTCCTGCATAGAGTTCTCTTAAATTCTATTTGTAATTACGAGCGCACAAGTGGAATTTTTGATCTCTTCATAAGTGTTTGTATCCTCACGTAATTTGTGCTTTGAATTTGTCCCGATCAGTTTTGAAAGTGCTCGTTGGGACTACATTCATGTCCAAAAGTATTGTTGGGCCACACAGTGTAATAGGTTATTGTTTTATAAAAGAGGTATTCTAATTTGCTGCACAAAGATGCCAGCATCTGAGGTCTACCTCTACCGCTTCAAGTAAAGGATGGTCACAATGGTCTGTCTTGTCTGATTTTATGCATATCAAAGATGAAATATATTCTTCCTGTAATTTCTGACTTTGGTATGCAAAAAAAATAATTTATGTAGGTTATATGTCATATAAAAAGTTAAAATTACACGGTCTATAATGCATTATCATGACTAATTGTTTTTAAGAGTGTAAGGTCTACTAATGTTTTATCATACTTTTCTGTGTTACAGAGCAATGGAGTCCCTTGAATCCCGAGGGAAAGAAGCACTATGATAGAGAGTTTTTGCTACAGTTCCAAAATGAGTACAGTGCTGTGCAGAAGCCAGCAGGACTTCCTGACATTCCAGACATCATTCTTGACAAGGTACGAAAACATTATAGATAACAGTATCACCCAAATGGCCAACAAAACTACCTGCCTCTACAGAATTTACTGTCAGCCTGAAACTAAAATGCGTTAACTGGCAGATGAATCTAAAAATTTCACTAGCTTCTTAAGAATTGCAGCCATTGATTATTCCTGTGTGATGATGGGGCAACTAAATGGGTTTGAATTTCTTGGGTCTATGCATCTCTTGGCTCCAGCCGGTGAGGTGGTTTTGACCCCTGGTGTTGCTTTAAAGTTTGTAACACCCGAGGTTAGCCAAAGTCATTTTTCCTGTCTGGAAGCCATAATAATGACCTTAATTGTATATCAGCATTTAGCTCTTTGATGTAATTAATAAAAAAGCAGTTGAATAATTCATTGGTAGTAAAAGTCAGCTTACTAGACAACTAATAAAGAATGAATTAAACAAGAATGAAATCACAAACTGTTTATTATTACTGAATGAAGCAATATGATTTTCCTACAGTAGCCATTCAGTATATATATATTCAGATATATAATTTCACAGTCGATAAAATGTTCAATAAAGTAATTGTTGCTTGAAATAACTGTCAGTAATACAACTCCCATATCTGGTTTCTTATTAACTGAATAAGAATTTCCTCTTTTCTTTCTGACAAATACATGATTTAAATATTGTATTCTGAAGATGGTTACAAAGACACTAGATTTATTGTAAAAAGTATGTTAATTTATTTGGTAAAGTGCTCAGTTTTTAGAAATGTATTGTTAGTTGCATGTTTTAACATGTTTTCATTGCAAAATGTATTTGTTAGCTTTCCTCTAAATCTTTTTTATGTTTTCGGAAAATGTCATGCATGTATAGTGTCTTTGTTTGACTATTTCCTAGAAAATCCTATTAAGACTAGTATAATTGGTAAATAATTTTGAAGTGAAAAATGATACTGTGGTTCATAACCTCACAACACTAAATTTTCATCAAGTTTATTTTCTATAGACAAGGTGGCCTTTCACCCCTTAAAAACCATGTTCTGTTTGAAAATCGCTGACATATCTCTTTTGCTTATATATTGTAGAAAGATTGTTTTTTGTATTTCAGCCCCAGGGAATGGGTCGGCAGTTTAGTCGAGAATTGTCTGGAGGCAGTTCTGGTGGGCAAGACTTTATAGATTTCACTCCCAAATATGTATGGGGTGGTGGGGGTGGTGGTGGAGGAGGCCAGAAGGTAAAAAATTCTCGAGATCATTATCTCATTGTGATTTATTATCTAAGCAGATTGTATCTAGTATTGTTGTACAGAATTCACTTTTCTCTCATATCCGCAAATAAAACGAATGGATATTCATTACATATCACTTACCGGGCTGTATTTGTGTAATGTATTTGGTGGTTTTTCTCACTTAATTGAGAAGAGGCCTTAGTCTCTTCATTTTCGGGAAAATGAACGCTAAAATTACTTTTTTTGAAAGTTTAAAAAAAAAAAATGGTGTAAGTGCAGATTTTTGGGAAAACTGCATGATTTTAAAGAAAACTTCAATTGGGAAGAAGCCTTTTGAACGCCTCTGTTATTTAAGGAGGAAATTTACTGGCACTTCGTCTTTCTTGAAAATAACAGTCCATTTGAAATTTGATGGTAATTTAATATCAATATGTAAACTTGGAACATAAACAATATGTAGCCACCTCAGATTCTATTCTAGCATAAAAGCAGCTTTTATATAGTAATTTTAAGTATCAAATTGTCTCTGAATGCAATAGTTACATATTGTAGTGAACAGATTACGAGAAGCACACATTTTAATAAAATATATAATGTAATTTCTTTCCCAGTCACGTGGTCTACCTCGTCAACCAAGCAACCAAAAGAATAAGAGTGGTCCACCACCTCGTCACATTAATTTGTCCATCAGCAAGGATATAGAGCTACACAAGGCTAAAGAAGCCTGGAAACCGTCGCATTCAGATGCTAAAAAAGAAGCTGAAGAAGATGAAGCCAAGAATGCGGTAAGACTTGGAAATGCTATGAATATAAATGTCTCTTACATTATATGAATTGTGCTAATAGTTTATTTTACACTTCTGCATTTAGAGGGATAGCTACTGGTATATTAGAACTGGTTAGCCAGCTGGTATAAAGTAACTGAATGTGGAATCTAGTCTGCATGATTTGAAAGTGAAAATAATAGCAACATAGGGTGAATGTTTTTGTTGCTACAATTAAACCAGATCTTGTTAATGAGGAAAAGATGCTTGATTTGAATACTGCAATCCTATTGGATGAAAAATAATTTCAAACACTTGCAGATATGTATGTCTTAAAAACAGGAATTACTATGAACAATGCAAGCTGTAACTTTGTTATTTTTATACAACTGTTACTAGCTTGGAGTATTATTCATTTAAAGCTTAGAATGTCTGCATGATATACTGTGAGTTATTGTGACTGGAAACCTAAATATTAAATTGTCTGTCTCTGATAGATAAGAAGTTTCAAGGTCTTAAAGAAGTTAAGAAGTCTAAATATTTGTTACACTAAGCCTTTTGCACTACATAGTTAAAAAAAACCCAACAAGTCAAACAAATAAAAAAAAATTTCAGTAGTTGTAGGTTATTTAGTTTATAGATTATGACAAAGGAAATTTTTCTCTAGCAAGTTAGCTGAGGAAATATTATTGATCAGATCCTCTTTTCACTTTTTAAACTCTTAATAATTGATCTTGCTGCAGTAAAAAGGTTGAAGCAAAATAACTGTACTAAAATTCATCTACATTAATATTTATCAATGTAATTTTTTTTTCGCATGATATATATTATCCAAAAAAAAAAGCATAAATAAAAACTTGTAATGTTGAATGTTGATTTCAGAAAATTAAAAAAAAAAAAAAAAAACTTGAAAAAAATATTGACCTTGATTTATACAGTTTTCAGAAAATAAAATGTATATATTTTCTGAAAATAAATGTACATGAATCAAACAGGGTTTGGCTAAGTTTAAATGGCTTTGTAATTTGATATCCAAGTTGAAATTATATGTTTCAGAAAAAAACTTTTAGTAGATTATCTTCCTCCTTATGGAGTAAAATGGTTCCCTTATCTTGTAGTAGTGAGCAGAACAATGGTCTGGCCTGTACACACATTGTTTATCTTTATTTATAAATTAATATGTATGTTTTTAGGAATTGTACAAAAAGACAAGAAGTATATTGAACAAGTTGACGCCCCAGAAGTTTCAAACTCTGGTTACACAGATGCAGTCGTTACCGATAGACTCTGAAAGTAAACTTAAAGGAGTCATTGATTTAGTCTTTGAAAAGGTATGTTTAATGTAAAATTTGTATTTTTTGAAAATTTGAATAGTTGTTACTAAAGTAAAAAAAAATCATCCTGTACTGACGTATACAAACCACGTGCAACCATCGCATACGATTTTAAAACTTGTTTTTGTTGCTTGAACATTTGGAAAATGCCTAAGTGATTATTGTTTATTTCGCAGGCTTAAAACTTGAATATAGAATCTTAACAATTCTCAAAGCTAATCGGTCTGTAATATAATGTTTTGCACCAGTTTTATCACCCTGTTTTACCCATTTTGAAGATCTGATAATAAAGATACGGTACATCTCTTTTATTTCAGGCTATCAGTGAGCCAAGCTTCAGTGTTGCCTATGCCAATATGTGCAGATGTTTGTCAATGGTAAGTCATTTCTCTAGAATCTACCAACTGTCTTAACATTGTTGAAGGGGGTTGTGGCTGAGCGGTTAAGATCATTAAATTCAAACCACCTGCCCCACAATGCTGTGGGTTCAAATCCTAACAGAGAGTTTGGATTTTTTCACGAGGAAGCTATTGACCTTGCTTACAGAATGATTGTGGTTTTACTCGGGGGCCTGAAACAATGCATGGGAGGGCAATTGAGGTCCTCTACCAGTAAGGCTTGAAAGTCGCCATATAACCTATACTGTGTTGGTATGAAGGGAAAAAAAACAACCAAAAAAAGTATTTGGGGGAATGTGGGGGACTTTGTTGGAGAAAAGACAAGTGTTATTTAAAGTTGGCAAGTTTAATCACTGGAAATTAACATTAGATAAATACATTTTGATTATCATGGAGTTGCCATTTTGAACTAATCGTGACAACTGATGCTGAAGATATTGCTCACCTTGTTAAAATTTTTGTCTGTTCAGTTTGTGAAGGTCAGTTAGATAATAAATAGAGGATATTATACCTGGTTAATGTAACATAATTAATGATAAAGAAGACATTTTAATGGCTCGGGAGAGACTGACAGTTTTATTGTTTGATCGAGGAGAAAATTTTTGTATCTTTAATGATGAAAGTTTAAAGCATTATTAACTATTAAGTAAGTTAGGTGCAAATATAGACAGAGGAATTTTAACAAGATTGATGATGTAAAGAGTAAAGAAAATGCCTAAACATTCAGGGTTATGTCAATTGTGTTTCTAAATGGCATTGGTTTTTATGGTTTTAGTCAGTTTTGAACTTTGTACCTTGAGAAAAATGAATGAAATTCAACAAAATGTATTCACTGTTTACATAGTCAATACCTATATTGTTTTCTATATGCATATCATTGTAACACGTTAGAGGTTGTGAGATCAGTTTGAATTACACGCACATGTTGCGTTCCCTTACTGACAATATGGTTATGTTTGAAGTCCTACTCACCTAGATCTCGGTCTATAAATTTGGCCGAGACTGTTTACTAGGCCTAATTATAACATTAAGAACCAATACTTATTGTTTGAAAAGCTTGATTTTAATAATGTGTCCGTAGAATTATGGTTTCTTTCTTTTGTATTATTTATTACATATCTTTATATGTTCAAGTAAAAAGTTTATTACTATCCTTTCAGTCCAAAGTGCAGTCAGAATCTAAACCAGGAGAGATGGTAAACTTTCGTGCTGTGTTATTGACAAGATGTCAGAGGGAGTTTGAGAAGGACAAATCCTCTGAAGCAGGTTTTTTGGTCAAACGTGAAGAAATTGAAAAGGCTGAAGATGTAAGTTATTTCACAGAGGAGTTAACTCCTTTTTGATTGACAGGGGTGTTAACTCCTGTTAGACTGTCTGGGGGGTTTACTCTTTATTTGACTGACAGGAGACTTGTTTGACCAACAGGGGAGTTAAGTGTCAGTAGCCTCACTGTTTAGTTAACTTGATAATTTGATATTTGTGTTGAATTGATGGATATTTTGAGTTTAAATTTGCCACAAGTGATCAGTTGGGACAGTAACAGTGGTGAACTGTGAAATGAAATTCTGAAAAAATACATATGTCATTTGTGGCAAAGGAAATATAAGTTCAAGGGGGAAAACAGCTTGTTCATAATTTTCACTTACAAGGAATGATTTGGTACATGGCCCTTGGTGTTTGTCAATGTTGATCACTGAATTTTAAGATAATTAATATGCAGCAGCAAAAAACAAAACGAAAATGCTTTTAAAATTTTTTAAAGGGTCTGTTGATTAATAGTGTTTTCTTTTATACTACAGGGTGCAAAGAAAGAGGAGTTAAAACAAGAATTAGCTTATGAAGAATCTAAAGCAAAACGAAGATCTTTAGGAAATATAAGGTAAATATTTACTATATCTTCAGAGCTCTAGGAATATAATATTTTTGTGTAAATATGTAATTTTAAGTCTTTAATACTAAAATGTGTAATTGAATTTGTGATATTTTTAGGCTAATTTTGAATATGTCAATATTTGGGACAGTTTAGTGTTGTGTTGTTTTTGTGTGCATGTGTAAAAATAATAAAAGCAACTAAGGTTCTAATAAGTCTTGTCTTCTGTGTTTGCAGGTTTATAGGTGAATTATTTAAATTGAAAATGTTGACAGAGAACATTATGCATGACTGTGTGTTCAAATTATTACGCACCAAAGATCCAGAAAATCTCGAGTGCTTATGTAGACTACTCACAACTATAGGAAAAGAATTAGACGTAGATAAGGCAAAGGTATGTAATAATGTAAGTTCTAGTCATTCAATAACCTGCATGAACAAACCAAAGTTATTTCCCTTTGCCATTAATATAGAGCCCGGCCAGCCTGTACATCAATGCAGTCTGACCAGGGTCTTATTAGATTGGTGGATCAATTTTTGGACTTTTGATACTCAAATTTCTTGGACAGTTTTAAAGTTATAAGCAGGTTAAGACATAAGATTTTTTTTGTAGATTTTATGGGCTTTAAGATTCTTAACAAAGTTTTTTGGTCTTAATTGTTTTACATTATAGTTTAACTGCTTTGCCAGCAGTATAGAGCCTGGCCTTCTCTCACAATTATAAAACCTTACCCTTAACTTATAATAGTATTATACTGTTTGACTTCTTATTTCTTAGTAGTTTTATATTAAAACCTGTTATACTTTAAAAAAAGAAATTTTTATTCATTCTCGGGCATATTCATCATTTAGCCATTACTTTGTTAGATTCAAATGTTTAATTGACTCAACTTTGTCTGGTTTTCAGCCTAGAATGGATCAGTATTTTCAACAAATGGGAAAGATTGTGAATGAGAAGAAGACTTCATCAAGAGTTAGATTTATGTTACAAGATGTCATGGATTTAAGAACAGTAAGTCTTGTCTTGTTGAAAATTCACCATGTTAATAGCTTAGTTTAGAATGGCCATTGCTGTACATTATTAGAATATACAAATTTATTTTAGTCTGACTGTTTTTCGGCCAGTATAAGCTTATTGAAACACACTGGAATCCGTTCCTGGAACCAACTAGTACTGAGCAATGAGTGTAAAGTTTCTTGCTAAAGGAAACAATGGCTTGACCCTAAGGGGGTTTGAACCCACTATACAGTATTGATGACCACAAAGAATTGGCCAGATGATGGGGTATAAACTTTGAAAAAAAAGAAATACTGACCTGGTACGAAGATTGTTAATAGGAAAGAAATTTTTTACTGATATTTAAACAAACAAAAAACCCATTTCTATGTTTTTTTTTTGTTGGCTAGAAAAATGTTGGTTGACTCAAGTAAAGGGCAATTATTGTGTAAAAGAAGAATATACTTATTTATGTACAATATCTACTGTCTCTATATATAGTGTATAACTCTGTGGTTTACAATGTATTGATTAAATTAAATTTCGCTTCGGTAGGTTTTAGAAAAAAATATTCTATTTATAGAACATTCTCATAGCTAATTTTTTTTTCGGAAAATTTCTGAAATTAGATGACCTTATTTCAGTTTTTGAAAAATGTTGACTTGGATTTATTTTTAGAATAGATAGAATTATGTAAAGTGAAACTAAAAATTGTTTTAATTCAATTGAATATTCGTAAGAATTGGATTTTTGAGCTACATGAACTTGCATTTAATTTTGTCATTATTTTTGTAAGGAATGTTCTTAATTGATTTTGTTGTCTGATTTAATAATGTTATGTCTGTCTTAAATTTTTTTTGACACCTTAATTGTGTCTGATACAGATTTTGCTAGATAGAGTTATAACTATTACGACTATTATTGTCTCTTTTTGCTAAATAAAGCAAAAATAAATCTGTTAATGATGACGTTATCCCTGTCTTACATTTTTGAATGAAGACACTTTCCTCGTTACTGAAACAGATATTCCTTTGACTATGTTTTAATAATTGTGGGTGTTTTTGTCTAAGATTTTATAACATCTGTACCCTGTCGTAGTTTTTGTCAGTTTTCCTATATTTTTTCTGGAAAGCAATCCTATGTCTAGATTAGAGACGATCTGTTTATGATGACGTTATCCCTGTCTAATATTTTTGTATGAAGACACTTTCCTCGTTACTGAAACAGATATTCCTTTATGTGTTTGAATTACTGTAGGTATTTTCGGCTAAGATTTTTCAGTAGTTTTGGTCAATTTTCCTATATACTGAAAAGCAAACCAATATCTAGGTTACAGAAGATCTGTTTATGATGACGCTATCCTTGTCTAATATTTTTGTATGAAGACACTTTCCTCGTTACTGAAACAGATATTCCTTTATGTGTTTGAATTACTGTAGGTATTTTCGGCTAAGATTTTTCAGTAGTTTTGGTCAATTTTCCTATATACTGAAAAGCAAACCAATATCTAGATTAGAGACGATCTGTTTATGATGACGTTATCCCTGTCTAATATTTTTGTATGAAGACACTTTCCTCGTTACTGAAACAGATATTCCTTTATGTGTTTGAATTACTGAAGGTATTTTCGGCTAAGATTTTTCAGTAGTTTTGGTCAATTTTCCTATATACTGAAAAGCAAACCAATATCTAGATTAGAGAAGATCTGTTTATGATGACGCTATCCTTGTCTAACATTTTTGTATGAAGACACTTTCCTCGTTACTGAAACAGATATTCCTTTATGTGTTTGAATTACTGTAGGTATTTTCGGCTTAGATTTTTCAGTAGTTTTGGTCAATTTTTCTATATACTGAAAAGCAAACCCATGTCTAGATTAGGAAAGATCTGTTAATGATGACGTTATCCCTGTCTAATATTTTTGTATGAAGACACTTTCCTCGTTACTGAAACAGATATTCCTTTATGTGTTTGAATTACTGTAGGTATTTTCGGCTAAGATTTTTCAGTAGTTTTGGTCAATTTTCCTATATACTGAAAAGCAAACCAATATCTAGATTAGAGACGATCTGTTTATGATGACGTTATCCCTGTCTAATATTTTTGTATGAAGACACTTTCCTCGTTACTGAAACAGATATTCCTTTATGTGTTTGAATTACTGTAGGTATTTTCGGCTAAGATTTTTCAGTAGTTTTGGTCAATTTTCCTATATACTGAAAAGCAAACCAATATCAAGATTAGAAAAGATCTGTTTATGATGACGTTATCCCTGTCTAACATTTTTGTATGAAGACACTTTCCTCGTTACTGAAACAGAACTTATGTTTTCATTCCTGTTGGTATTTCTTACCTATTTATGTTTGTATATCTTTACTTTGTGGGTAGTTTTGGTCAGTTTTCCTATATTTATACTGAAAAGCAATCTGATGCCCAAATTATAAAAGATCTGTTAATGATGACGTTATCCCTGTCTAATATTTTTGTATGAAGACACTTTCCTCGTTACTGAAACAGATATTCCTTGTGTGTTTGAAGGTATTTTTGGCTAAGATTTTTTAGTAGTTTTGGTCAGTTTTCTTATATACTGAAAAGCAAACCAATATCAAGATTAGAAAAGATCTGTTAATGATGACGTTATCCCTGTCTAACGTTTTTGTATGAAGACACTTTCCTCGTTACTGAAATGGATATTCCTTTATGTGTTTGAAGGTATTTTTGGCTAAGATTTTTCAGTAGTTTTGGTCAATTTTCCTATATACTGAAAAGCAAACCAATATCAAGATTAGAAAATATCTGTTAATGATGACGTTATCCCTGTCTTACATTTTTGTATGAAGACACTTTCCTCGTTACTGAAACAGATATTTTGACTCTTGCTACCTGCTTTTTGCAGTGCTTTTCATAAATATATATGTGGATTCAAAACGTTGTGATAATCACCCTGTGAATATAATCTTTTTGTTACAAAGTTGTTGTGGAGATTTTTTCAATTTTTAAAAGTTGATGCATTTTAGGAGCTAAAAAAACCAGATCAAAATATATATGATAATGAGTTCTTAAAATAGAAATAAAATCCTCATTTGCTGAAGTAATGTTAATCCACAAAAATTAAAGAGAGAAAAAATTGAAATGTATGTGAATTAGGACAATTATATTGTCATTTGAATGAACTCTTCCACTTATATCATGTATATATTCTGGAACTAAGGCCATTCAATGTTTATAGAAATACGATTTGATATATAACGTGGATTTTTGGTAAAGAAAAGATCTGTTTATGATGACGTTATCCCTGTCTCACATTTTTGAATGAAGACACTTTCCTCGTTACTGAAATGGATCTTGCTTACCTTGACACAATTCACTTATTTGTATATCACATGATGCTGTTGCATTGTCAAGTTATTGCACGTAGATAATCACATGTTTTCGTGTATTTTTAGAACAAATGGGTGCCTCGTAGAGTAGACAACAATCCAAAGACAATAGACCAGATTCATAAGGAAGTCGCTCAGGAAGCTCAAGAAAAAGCTTTACTCTCCCAACAAAATCAAATGCAACAGAGGTCTCAAAGAGGTGGTGAGTTGAAGTGTTTTTTTTTATTACCGTAAGGCCTGTTTGCTGACAACAGATTCTATCCACGAGACTGGTGCAGGCGAAAGTCAGTGTAAACCAAGATCAGCTGGCTGAATATCTATTCTGTCGTATAATCGATAGCACTGGTTGCTATTCAGTCATGATAAAGTTTGAAATTTCACCTATGAAAGATTAATGGTTTTGTCCAGATTAAAAGATGGGACAAGTCCATTTAAGGTATTTGGCTTGGAAAGGTTAATTTAATGAAATTTGTTTTTGCCGTTGTGTGATACAATGATTGCATGTTGGATAGTTATGCGTGATAATTTTGCCTCAAGAAATGATAAGAGATTTGTTAATGTGACAAGAAGAGAGCCAGGCCACCTTGCACATACATGCCTTCTGACCAGACCCAGGACTCTCCTCTCTAACATTGAACTTATACATGCAGTTACAAACATTAATGCCGAACTTACTCTGGTTTATCACGTAGAAAAAAAGGATTTCAGTTTCAACAAGAGGATATCTGTTTATGATGACATTATTTAGGACTTACATTTTGTATGAAGACACTTTCCTCGTTACTGATGCAGATCTTCGTCACAAATTTGTGTTAAGCCCTATGAAAATGTTAAAAAATTTCGAGGTGGGAAAGACTTCAGAGTATAACTATATGTCGGATACCTTGAAGATAACCTTTTGCCGCCAGAATAGAACCAGACCAGTCTAACTTATATAAAACTTCATCCAAAAATTGTTAAAAGAACTCGACTGAGGTCCAATAGCCTGAAATAATAAATTTTGAAATTCTTTCATTAATCAACTGGTACACTTAAATTGAAAACCAAGCAATAGATGATATATACATATACACGGTTTTAAATTTATCAGCGATTTTTGGCTGATATGAGTGAAATGCGTTGCAACGATATTAATTTTTTGGGCCAATTTGCACAATAAAATGGATATGTACTGTTAATAATAATTATTTGATGTTGTTTATTTAATGTAATTACAGGCAGAAGAGGTCCTCCAGATCAGAGAGGAGGTGCTGACGGTTGGAACACAGTTGGTGCAAACAGAACTCCGCTAAAATCTGTAGATAGATCTATAGACCCATCCAAAATGAAATTATCTAAAGTAAGTATTTGTAGCCTACTGTTGTATGTATGATCAATTTGAAAAGATCTGTTAATGAAGACGTTATCCCTGTCTTACATTTTTTGGATGAAGACACTTTCCTCGTTACTGAAACAGATAGTAATTTAAAGATTGTTATTGATGATGAAAAGAAATACTTCTGAGCTAATTTTTACCATGATTTCTAAGTTATTTACCTTTAGCTGGTATTCAGGTTATTCTTTAATGAAGTTTAATGTTCAAATTCTTGTATTGCTTCATATCTAACAATAAGAATATGGAAACGTGATCGTACAGTTTTATGAAATTTGTGTTGTATACTACTATTTACTATTTTGGCCATATTAAACCTACGAACCCCTTTAAAGTTGCTATATTCTTGGTTTTTTATAGCAAAATGTAGATGAGAGCAATATACAGCTGGGCCCTGGGGGTGGTGCAAGCAGATTCTCAGGGTGGGGACGTGGTAGTACCGGTGGTACAACTAGCAGACCCTCACAAGAGAAGGAAAAACCAAACACACCAGCTAACAGGTAATTTCTTCAACATATATAATAAGATATATTAAGCAAATGGGTCATTCTTAAAAGGAATATGGACCTTTCCTGTATTTCGTAGCGGAATATTTAGCCACACCTTTTCCATTCATTGCTAGGTCAACTGCTCACAAACAGTATCACAAACATAACCATGTGTTCTTTTGTGCAAACCAGGTCAACCAGTGACTATGTATTATCCCAGTGTAGCAATTGGATAACAAGCCAATTTACATAAAAAGGAAAGGTCCATTGATTGATCTTAGTTAAAGACGTTTGTTTTAATGTTTAGGTTAAGGTTTGTGTACCATTCTGTTGAAGATAAGTTGTCATGGAATTTATTTGAAGTAGTTACTGACAAAATGATTTTGCCTGATCTTTTGACGGAAAGTATTTAGATTCCAACAAAATGAAAAAATTGTATGGGAATATTAATGTATTATTATTTTCATTGTAAAAAAAAAAAAAAGTGAAAGTGCCACATTTCTAGTTGTTGGATTTTAACAGGTATCTTGAGAATGATTTTCAAATTCATACATCGATAATTTTTTAGTATTCACTCTTTGCTTTCAATCTACAAAAACAAAAGGATAATAATGAAAACTTGATGCATATTTCAGATTCTCTGCCCTTAGTCGACCAGATGAGGAGCAGGGACGTAGATTTGGTGGTGTAAGTCCTGCCAGAAGTGACAGTAGAGGTCGCGGGTTCGGCAGACCCCCATCATTAGGCGCCAGGCGCTCTCAGGAAACGGAACGGGAAAGAGCTGTAGCAGCAGCCAAGTAAGATATATATTTGTTTCTAGCTGAAAGTTTCTAGTCAACTTTCATTGTTGAAGAACTGTTACGGCCTTTGATTTGTGAAGAAGTAAAAGGCCAAAGGTGTTTTGGAAATTAGTAGTAAATGACAGGAAGTGTAATAGTATACATCAATGAAGAGAAGTTTAAAATTTACAACAAATTTTCAAAATGTACTTTTAATTCTTAAATTTTTTCACAGCAAAACAGAAAAGAAAAAAAGCTTCAATTTTGAGACACTTATTGTCTGGACAGTTTCTATTAAGTTCGTTTTTTTCCTTTCTTCAAATTAGTATTTTGATAAAGTTTTAAAAAATGTTATAATAACTGATTACAGAGCAATTGGTGCCAGTCAGTCTGTAGAGGGCGGTCACAGAGAGAGAAGTCGTGGGCGTGCCGAACCAGAGCCTCAACCTACTCCGGTTCAGCCAGCATCTACCGAGCTCAAGGTCCTATCTGAAGACGAGATGGACAAGAAAACCAAAGCTATCCTTGATGAATACTTTGCCATTCAAGATATGAAGGTAGGCTGAAATTTGTTTTTGCGTTCACTTCAGCTCCATTCCTTGTGATGAAGAGGTTTCCTATTTTGCTAAATCTTTGACCCTGAACTTCTATTTTTGCTAAATCTTTGACCCTGAACCTGCGGAATTTCTTAAATGGACTTGACCAGATTCTATGAAACCTTTTTAAAAGTTTCTTTTCTTGGAACTATAAACAGTTGCTTTGAGATTTTCTTATGTGTCATAGCAAGTGATCATCTGCTTCAATTTTTACACTGTACAGAGATAATTTATTAACCACTTATTCGAGTTTTGAGCAGTTGTAAATAACTTCATTTTAAAATTTCTAGGGATTTTTTTAAAGGGGAATTCCAGTCTAGTCAAATTTTGCAATTGTCGATGTAGTGATGACAGTATGGACTTGTGAAAAGTAGACAAAATATGAACAATATACATCAGTCAGCAATTGTCCTCCTTATATATTAGAGGCCAATTAAAGGCCTCTTCTAAATTGAAACTTTCAACTTACACAGTTTTCCCAAAGATCTGAAGTTACCAAAGTTTTTTTTTTACTTCCCAAAATCAAATGGGCTAAGGCCTCTTCAAAATTAAGTGAGAAAAACCACTGCAGTGGTCTTAAAATTTGAGAGAGAAAAAACTTCTTTTGCAGGAAGTGAGAAAAACCAAAGCTTATCTTAAAAATTGAAGAAAGAAATCTTTTCTTTTTCAGGAAGCACTATTGTGTGTTCAGGAGCTGTCTACCCAGAACCATCATCATTTTGTATACAATGCCATTAATCATGTGCTAGAGAGGTCACCCCAGTCAAGGAAACAGACTGGCCATTTACTGCACGATCTAGTCAAAAAATCAGTTATATCTGTTGATAATTATATTAAAGGGTAAGTGCTTGTAGTTTTTTTTGTTAGGTAATGTGTGGATATTTGAATTTATTGAATTAAAAGTGGATTGGTCTACATTGGGCATATTTTCCATATGTTTTTCAATTATTGGGAAGAAAAAAAAAATAGAAATGTGAAATCATTGAATATTGCTTCACGGTGTTGAAGTTCTGTTTAAGTATTAAGTTTTATATGATAAATGATATTAAATAATTTCTTGTAGAACAATTTATTATCTGTATTTAATATTGGATCATGTATCTAACACATGACTTGACAACACCATCCATATATATAATTCTTTTGTGGTTTGTTTTTGTGTATGATGATAAATATTATCAAAGTAACTATTTATTGTATTACAGACCTTCATTTATAAACCTTTCACTTTAATGTACATGTTAGTGCAAACGTTTGTTTGTAAATTCTTGTTTCAAGATAATGACACTGTCTGTCTGTCGAGTAGTAAAGGCATATTTTTTGGTTATTTGTATAAACATTTGATCGTCTCGACCATTTCAGGTTGGTAGAAGTGTTGGAGTATGCGGAAGATTTGGAGATTGACATTCCTAAGATCTGGCAGTATTACGGTGAACTGATCAGCCCCATGATTCAAGATAACAGTGTACCGTTAAGCTTCCTCAAACAGGCAGCCGCTCCACTCATTGCAAATAACAAGGCTGGAATTCTTCTGGCAGAAATCCTTCATGATGCTAGTCAAAGAGAGGTAAATATTTTACATCAGAAGATCAAAGCTTAACTTTCTTATTGATATACATGTATTTGAATACCCATTATGACAGTGGTAGTCCCGTTGTAACACTTCATCCCTCATCATAATACAGCTAGCTGACCCTTTACCTGGATTTGTATAAAGAATTTGCCCAGTTCTGAATTTGGAACAGCCCATTTAAAGTTGATAGAATACAATATCGAAATATAACGTAAAGTTGATAGATTACCATATCGAAATATAACAATAAATAAAGAGCCTGGTCTGTGTAGTCCGACTTGCTCTCTATAAAGGTTGGCAAATACTGATCACACTGTGTTCCAACAGGTTAAGGGCTAAGGCTTTATGATCAAGGAAAACATTCTGTTCCTTACATCACAAACCTGTTCGGGTTTGAAGGTTTAGCTGGTATAACTGGTAACAATATTCCTAAAATCATGCATTGAAGGGTATATAAGTTATTGCAACTTAAAACCCAAAGAAGGTATAACAAGAAAAGGTAGTAAAAGATTATAAATATTTGAGATAAAGAGACTAGGAAAGCAACCTCTGCATATGGGGTTTTTGCACTAACTAAGCCAGTTGGCTAGGGTTCATCTCTAGGCAATGACGTACGGTGCGCACATGAAAGAACGAGGCACGTTTTATGTAGGTAAAGACCTGTACTTAACCTCTTTTCTCATGCCTGGCACATTACAAAACAAATATATATATAAATCTGAAATATCATTACATGTTACGTTGATTTGTTTGGTGATTCTACAAAGTGTGGGTGTAATTGTTTAGGTTAAGCTGTAATTATAATAACAATGATCTTCTCGCTTAATCCTACTGATGTTTGATTGATCTTTAGTACTACTGTAAATTCACTTTATTTTGTGGGCATTAGATTTTATGGTAATGAACATTTTCGTGGGTTTTAAATTTTGCAAAGAAGTGAAATGCAAAGAATAGGATGAAAATCATGGTACAGCGATTTAATAAAATTTTTGTTGGGTATTTAAATTGTGGATTGAGCTAATCATGTGAAAGTTGGTGCCACACAAATAATAATGATTTCACAGTATTAAACAAATCTTGGCCGTTTGTTAGCTGCACAACTGGTCCCCGTTATGATTGCCATTGATCCAATAAATGCTAAATGTCAACCATATGTTGTCTCAATCAAAACAGGCAAAGTTTGAACTATAGACATGAGGATGAATGATACTTAATGACAGAATTTTTGTATAACTTATAATAAGTAATTAAGATTCAGCAACTAAATGCATGACCTAATTTTGTTAATTAAAGATGAAATAATGAAGTAATTTTGAAAATTTAAATGATTTGTTAATTAAAGATGGAAAGAAAGGATTGCTGTAGTTACTTTCTGTTTTGTGGGATAATCACATTTTGCTTGTTCCCATATTGATTGTTGTATATAATCGATACTGTTAACCCAACTTTTAGATATGGAGAAAAGTTTTAAACTTTCCATTGTACACTGATAACAAAAACTGACCATTTATATGGCTGAAACAAATGTTGGATGTTGCATCAAGGGAAATCTGATATTAGTGTATGTAATTGCCAATATGTATATAAATATATGCGTGTAAACATAGAAAAATTATAAGTTTATGTTACATAATTGTAAGTTATGAAATATAGAGTCTGTGTTTGTAAAGCATTGTTGTGTAGGCGTGTATACATATATATATGCTAATTTTCTTTCAGACTGCTTTATGTGGATGCCTGGTATATAATAAAAAAAAGTCCTATTTCTAAAGCATGTTTTTCATTGTCTGACTGAATGTTTGTTACCAAGTTGTTGCACCTTTGTTTATATATGTGTTATCTTTTCTTTAATACAAAGATAACCACCAAAATAATGTCTTTTGTAATTGGTAAAAAAAAGTCTCTGCTTGGCTGTATGTATATATAGTGCACTTGTATGAGATTATGTTGAATATTGGTCTGTCCACAAACTGTTCCATTACTTCAGTTACTGTCTCTTTGGTTTCAAACTGTGAAAGTACGTATTCTTTCAAGACGAGATTTATAAATAGGTATTGGATCTAAGACGTAACAAAATTGTGTAATATACCTTTAGTGTTAATGAAAATTTATGATTATGTTATTTTATGAACTTGTATGTTCGTCAAAGGTAGAAAAATTACTGTTCTTCATCAGCTTTTGCAAATGTGGCAAACTGTTAGGGATTTTTTTTTAATCAAGATGAAATAAATCTTAAAATGCTTTTATAACATATGATTGGATAATTGAGCTCTATATTTTGACAATTAATTCCTGCATGATTATTTGGATTGTGTGGAAACTCACGGTAGTTGATTAGGCTAAAATTTGCTACTCTTAATACATATTAATATAATATTGAATACAATTGATAATCATTTCAGGGGCATAAGAAAGTTGCGGGTCTGTGGACCAGTTCGGGACTACAATGGTCTGAATTTGTGCCTAAAAACCAAGTAGAACAGTTCCTCAAAGATAAGGTGAGTGTCTAGTAGGCTTCCTTAGATGATGAGAATTATTAAAGTGTTAAAGAAGTCTTCATACCCTTTTAAGTTAAGGTCTAGATGATTGATTTGATTTCTTTGAAAATATAATTATGTAAAGATAAAAGTTACTAGAAATTTAGTTTCACCACAGCACCAAGTACATTTAGTGTATGTATTGTTTGATCTATCTCTTCTACACTACTGTGGATTTTTATCCAGTTGACCTTGAGATGATGGTTGCATGTGTATGTCTGCTGGCAGCAGTGCAGGTCATGATCAGACATCTCTCTGTTCAGTACTAATTTGGAAATTTTCCTAAAGATATTTGATGGTTTTGTCGTGATTGTATAAATGGAGGGCTCTGTTTAAGATGTAAAGGAAGGTGGGATGCTCAGAAGTGCACCTTTGCTATTCTGACAATAAAGCTGTAAAATGGTTATTTGTTTTTAAGAGTGTAGCAGTTAAACCATTCAAAAGAATGTTATCTGTAAAGATGTTAGTTGAAAAAAGATTGTGTTTATTTTGCAGGGACTGGAATACACTAGTGGTGGTGATAGTGCCCCAACCACCCCCACAACTGGGCTTCCATTGAGTGAGATAGAAGTGAATCTGCAGGACCTTATAGTCAAGAAGAAGGCGGATAATGAGACCGTATTTGATTGGATAGAAAGTAACGTAGATGATCCAACCACGAAACGAGCCAAGTTTATTCGTGCCCTAATGACTGCTGTATGTTTAAGTGCAATCAAAGGTGTGTACAAAAGTTTATTACACAATTAGAAACTAGAATAAAATGAATGTAAGAAGCTTAGAGTACAAGGGCTTGAAATATGTCTTTTTTAAAGGGTTATCTAAAACATGTAGCTGCAGTGAAGATTTGTCCAGCTCGGTGTTTGATAGGGGATTTGGGGGTCTGGGCAGTGGTTTTTCTCACTTTATTGGGAAAAGGCTTCTTGATTTCGGGAAAAAATATTGCTAGAATTGCTTATTTGGGATGTAAAAAAGCTGGGGCAATATCAGACTTTCGGGAAAACTGCATGAATTAAAAGAAAATTTCAATTGGAAAGCAGCCTTTTTATAGGCCTCTTGTTATAAAAGGAGGATTATTGACGGTGCTACTTGTAAAAAAAAGACTGCAGACAAGGGAATATGTTGTGTTCTTGATTATATTTGATCAACAATTTTTTTTATACAAACTGATGCATAAATCCATATTTATTCCCTCAATTATTTCAGGTGAGAAAGGTAAAGAGAGACTGGACCCTAAGGAGATCAGTGCACGGAATGATTTATTGCAGAAATACCTCGACCACCAACCAGACTCTGAGCTGCAAGCTCTCTATGCAGTGCAGGCATTGATTGCCAAGCTAGAACATCCTCAAGGTGAGTTTGTTTGTTAATCCCATTAATTTCATTCAGAAAGTAGCGGTGGCCTAGTGGTTCAAGTGTCTGCCTGTCAACTCTAGGATCGTTAGTTCGAACCTTACTTGGGTCACGATCATGTTTCTTCATATTATGACACCAGTACTGGTTGGTTCCAGGAACCTAACTTGAAAGTGATTAATATATAAATAAAGTTGCATGAACTTGTTTCACAATCAAAGCTTAAATAAATTTTTTTAAACCAATTTCATTGATTATATCATCAGAAAGCTTTCCAGCAAAGTTTTTGAAAAAGTGTCACAGTGACCTTCCTTTTAGTTGTACAGATATTTGAATTGATTCCAGAATTATTTTTATAAACAAACATCACTGACATAAATAGCTCTTATGGGACACTGTTGAAAAGAAGGCTTAACAGTGATATGATGCACTTTTCAAGATGAAATTACTGAAATACTTAGTTTGAAATAATACAGAGGTGTTATTTCAACATAAAATAAAAAAAAAAACTGAAAGCCGCTTTAGTAATTATAGAATAATGTTACTTCTACATGAATGAGAATTGAACTGTTTCAAATTACATTTTATGCAAACATTTTATTCTACGTTCTTCATTTGTAGGCGTACTGAGAGGAATGTTCGACACTTTATATGATGAAGACATCATTTCAGAAGATGCATTTTTTCAGGTAAGTCTGGTTTTAATTATTGATGATACAGAAAATATGACAAACCCAACTCTCGAGTTTTGTTTCGCTGGCACCCTTACTGGAAAGGGAAGATGCAGGCTCAAGTTTATGAAAAGACATCAAGTCTGAAGAAGAAAAAAATCCTATTTGTGGTTTCTCAAAACTTAATTGGAGTTTAAAATTAAGCTTTATTAAAAATAAAACAAATATTTTTGTTATATTTGATGAAGATTTTCTGAATTTGCGTTTCAAGCCAAATTCAAAGTCCTTTGGATTCTTTTCTGTGAGGAAGCTATCCAGTTAGCTTACCGAAGGTTGCTTCTACTCCGGTGGCTGGTGCCCGCTCGTATAAATCTTTATGTGACTTTATCATAGTCTATTATTATGGAGATGATAATATTTAGTTCTTTATTGGTGGAAAATATTTCTAATTGTGAATATGTATTCCATGGCAATCAAGGCTCCAAGGTTATAAAACATTTTCCCGGGATCTAGCTGGAATCTCGGGAATTTTAATTGCTCAGTTCACATTGTTTGCCTGTTTCTGGCCAAACAAATACCTGAAGTCTGAGTTTGAGGTTAGAATATTTCTTTAAAACCTTGTATAAGTATAATATAGTAAATATATGTGTTTGGGCAAAGTATAATGCACTAAATATGCGTTTTTCTTTACATTTTCAGTGGGAGAAATCTGAAGACGAGCCTGAAGGCAAGGGTGTATGTTTAAAACAAGCCATCCAGTTCTTTACTTGGTTACGCGAGGCTGATGAAGACAGCTGAGGCCGGCTCAATTCTAGGATTTAATATATATTATACATACGTACAATAATTGGACATATTATTTTCACTATCTCCTCCCAAGACTGTGAATACTAAAAGATGAAAGTTGTGTTATTAAAAAGAGAAGAAATTTTTTTATTTTTTTTTTGTTGACAAATTTTGCAAGTGACTTAAGGTTGCTTCGAAACTATTGTGATATAAAACTATACATACAAAAAAAGTAGACATATTAGATTAAAAAAAAAGTTTAAAACTATGTTCATTAGAGTTAGTGAAATAATGATTCTGTGTCTCTTATTTTTTTGTGTGTGACGAGGAGAATGAAGGAATTACGGAAGGAAAATGTTTTTGGAACTGACATATGTTTGAATGGTGTATTTACTCTAAAAATCTGGAGTGTTGGAAAATTTAAATTCTCAAATATATATGTATAATATGAACTTCTGATAAAAGGTTTTTGCAATGATGAAAGTTTTCGAGATAGTAACCTGGAGGCTTGCACGGAATCTTTGCATCTCATTCTAGTTCATTTTGTCATTGTTGTTCATACACTGGAGTTCAACTTGTAATATATGCGGTGTTTAATTTATTTATAATTTTTCTCTTAAATTTTTTTTTTTTTTTTTGTTGAAATACAAGTGCTGTTTGTTTATTTCGTATTGTTGATACGTAACATTTTTGGGGCGTTAAATAAAATAGTATTATACATGCGTATATATATGTGTGTGGAATCGCTGTTTACTTATTGAAATTTAGGTGAAAGGCCTGTGACTTGATATGATTAGGAAAATCCCGTCGACTGGGCCGTTGGTAGGGTAATTTATACGAGGCTGCCAAGTAATAACTTTAAGGGTATAGTGTCGATTGATTTCTAAAATATATTTTAATGATAAAGCCTTGATAGTTTTTAGATTTGATTTACAAGCACAAAAATAGTTGTCCAGTAAATAGATTTGTACATTTAATTATAAGATTTGCTTAAAAAGATTATATTAATGAGCAGGAATTTAAAATTGTTGTGAAAATAACGGAACTCTATTCATAGATTTTTATTCTATGAGTAGGTTGTTTGCAATTATTATGCATGGAATTGTCTGCTTTTCTAGTATCGTACTGGTTTTTTACCAGTACAATATGAATATTGATATATATTATTTGTAAAACAAAAACCAGACGATTTTTGCCATTGTGATGTAAATTGATTTTTAAAAAAAAAATGGAATTTGAAATGTATTATATTAAATTTTTCTTAATGTTTATCGATCGCCATAGGTCATTGAAAATGTTTAAATGTATGGATTCTCTAGAATGGTTTTTTCTATGAACTTTTGAAAGTTAGGAGCGTCCTGTATATAAGATGGGGGCATATTAAGAAGTGAACAGTGATAAGTCCAATAGGATGGAGTTTAATACAAGTATATATAGTCTTTTTTTTTGTATTAAGTAAATGGTTCATGCATGAAAAAAAAAACAACACCAAAATGTCAGTTAGGTACTGGGGTATGTACGTTATAATATGCTAAGTACTGAACTTTTTCAATTTGGTGCTATCTGTATAATAATTTCATTCATTTTTTTTTTACACGTATATTATATTGCATATGTAATTGCAGAGATTAGATTCAGAAAAAAAGCCTTCAGTGTATTCCTTTCATATTTAATATTTTTCCCATGTTGCATTTCGTTTTGGGATGTTTTATGAAAACATTTCATGCTAGTATTTTCTATGTCTATCACATCATATGAATAGGATGAATATTGATATATACATGCAAGTCAAGAAACGAAACCCATATGGTTTAATATAATGAATTTGAAATCTTTGCTTTTATGATTTAAAGTATGAAATCTCGTTGTAATATAAAACCGACTGGTTTCTATATTGTAAAAATTGCCCCTTGACAATTTGACAAAAAATCCACTGTTTTTAGGTGACAATTTCTTGCTGTTTGTTATTGTAAGGATATTTAAAGTAAAGCATGTTTCTGACAAAAATTTTTTAATGGCTCTTGTCTGAAATTTAAAGATTATTATCCCTTCCTTAAATAAACTTGTATTCAGGCTTATAACCCTGTCTTCGATATTGAAAGCTTATTTTCCATTCCTTGAATAAATTTACATACAGGTAATAATCTTGTCTTTGTGGTGCTCCTGTTTTGAAAAATAAACTTATTTTTGGACTGGTTAATAGAAATAAAAAAAAATTAATGGAAATTAAAAAATGTGTTGTACATGTGGTTAAAACAGAAGCTTTATTCATATAGATATACATGTAGTTCTACTGTACTAAACATAGAAAGTGGTACTTAATCTATCGTATACAAAATGCCGACTGACATGTATATATTGCATTTCATTCTCCGATGTAAATGTCTTAATATAGGGGGTAATATTGCCAAGCTTCTGTACAATAAATTGTTGGGGTGTTTTTTCCCCCCATATATAAAATTGGTTAAATTTATGTTTTTATTATAATTCATTTATGATTTAACCAGAGGAATTGAAATCTGTTTAGAATAGAATCTGAATAAACGACTGTAAGTCGTTTTTCTGTTGTAGTTATTAATATTGAATTAACACTTTCAAGAAAAATCTAACTGGTTTGGTGTTTCTAGTGACACATTATCTGTAAATCTTTCAAAGTTGTAAAACGTGAAACTTTATTTTTAAATTAAATTAAACAATAACAAAATCTATTCTAAACGGACTTCAATCTCTTTTAAGTTGTGTATGACACGCAAATCAAAGCAAAAAATTAAATTGTCTCCCAATATTTTAGGTTGAATGCAAAATTATAATTTCGTTTTTTATTTCCATATCAAAATTGTGTTACATTTTTCTCCTTTTTTTGTATGAAAAAAGTATATTTCAGTTAGAACGATTGAAATATCAAAAATTTTAAAACCTGCCCTTTTTTCCCCGCTTTACAATTATCATGAATAAATTTTTGTCCTCATCATTGCTTTTAGTTGCCATATAGTTGTATTTTTTCTACCATTTTATTGTGAGATAAGTTGCTGCATTATGTGGTTACATTGTCGTAAATTCTCATTTTTATTACTATTATTATTACTATTATTTTTCAAAAGGGGTTATCATATGGCAACATTCAAGAATGCAAAAAAAAAAGTAAAAAAATAGCAAGTTTCTGTTTCCCCTCGCTACCTTTTCGTGTTTATTATTTCTTTTTTGGAATATATAAAATGTGTTACGAGTGTTAAAATGTGTACATAGTTGAATGGTAGGATCAAATAAAAATGATTGTGTTATTTTTTAAAAAAGCATATGGTACAAGATTGTTCTTGTCTGTTTTGATCCTTAAATGTTTTTTTTCTTTTTTTTGCAAAATAAAAAAAAATGTGTTTGAAAGATGTTTTCAAAAATGTTGAAACTGTAAGCTGATTTATGGAAACGCTTATTTTGTTCACATTGTGTGATATATATATATATATGATAAACAGAAATTTTAATGAAAAAAGTTTCTGTTAATGATGATGATTAAAAAAAAAGGTAAAGGAAAAAATAAAAAAAAAGAACTAATTTTTTTGTTGTTTTTTATGAAGATAAGTGAGTAGTAATTTCTATGGAGGGCATTTTCACTATATTGCTCCCGAAGGGCGGCATAATAAAATCACAATGTCCGGGAGTCTGTCTACGTCACCACTTACACGACCTTCGGGTCTGGGCTATGTCATGCATTGAAGGATTTTAAAATAGCTTGGCTTGGTGATGTGTTGCATCTAAGACCAATGTCTCTACTTCACAGGTCAAAGTGCAGAGTTTAAAGATACACACATTAGTGTCGAGACTATAACTTTGTCAAGCATTGAAGAATTTTAAATAACCACATGAAGATGAGGTGCCCATTTAAGGCCCATGTCATTTCCTACAAGGTCATACTTAAAGGTTGAAGGTACACATTTGTGTCCAGACTAGTGCATCATCGATAGAAACAATATTGATGTATCGTTAATATTTTCCTGTTGATCAATAATCTAGACACATTTTGAAAAATCAATAATTTTAATTTTAAAGTTCAGAATTTATAAAAATTTACCCAAAACATATACAGAAGCAGATGTCCATGTCTAACAAAATGCTGTTGTGATGACAAAAAAAATGATAAAAGAAAAAAACAAGAGGGCCATGATGGCCCTGAGGTCGCTCACCTGTATATAGGCCCCCCCCCACCCCCAGGCCAATTTTTACCCAAGGGCTTTTATTTGTTTATTTGAACAGACTTGGTAGACACCCATAAGAAGATGTTTCATGCTAAACATCTAAGTTCTAGCTCATTGGGTTTTTTAAAAGAAGATTTTTAAAGTTTTTACTATACACATATAGTTAAAGACAATGACACCCCTGGGGCAGGGCCAGTTTTGACCCCCGGGCTTTTATTTGAACAAACTTTGTAGATATTTACTTAAAGATGTTTCATGCTTAATATCTAAACTCTAGCTATTTGGGTTTTTTCAAAGAAGATTTTTAAGTTTTTGCTATACATATATAAGGAAAATCAATGACCTCCCGGGCGGGGCCAGTTTTGACCCCAGGGCTTTTATTTGAACATACTTGGTAGACATCCATTAGAACATGTTTCATGCTAAATATCTTAGCTCTAGCTCTTTGAGTTCTTTAAAAGAAGATTTTTTAAGTTTTTGGGGCGGGGCCAATTTTGACCCCAGGGCTTTTATTTGAACAAACTTGGTAGACACTCATTAGAAGATGTTTCATGCTAAATATCTTAGTTCTAGCTCTTTGGGTTCTTTAAAAGAAGATTTTTTAAGTTTTTACTATATGCATATAGAGAAAATCTATGACCCCCTGGGGCGGGGTCAATTTTGACCCCAGGGCTTTTATTTGAACAAACTTGGTAGACATTCACTAGAAGACGTTTCATGCCAAATATCTAAGCTCTAGCTCTTATGGTTCTTTAAAAGAAGATTTTTTAAGTTTTTACTATATGCATATAGGGAAAATCAATGACCCCCCGGGGCGGGGCCAATTTTGACCCCAGGGCTTTAATTTGAACAAACTTGGTAGACACTCACTAGAAGATGTTTCATGCTTAATATCTTAGCTCTAGCTCTTTGGGTTCTTTAAAAGAAGATTTTTTAAGTTTTTACTATATGCATATAGGGAAAATCAATGACCCCCCGGGGCGGGGCCAATTTTGACCCCAGGGCTTTTATTTGAATAAACTTGGTAGACATTCACTAGAAGATGTTTCATGTCAAATATCTAAGCTCTAGCTCTTACGGTTCTTTAAAAGAAGATTTTTTAAGTTTTTACTATATGCATATAGGGAAAATCAATGACCCCCGGGGCGGAGGCAATTTTGACCCCAGGGCTATTATTTGAATAAACTTGGTAGACACTCACTAGAAGATGCTTCAGGCCAAATATCTTAGCTCTAGCTCTTTGGGTTCTTTAAAAGAAGATTTTTTAAGTTTTTACTATATGCATATAGGGAAAATCAATGACCCCCTTGGGCGGGGCCAATTTTGACCCCAGGGCTTTTATTTGAACAAACTTGGTAGACACTCACTAGAAGATGTTTCATGCCAAATATCTAAGCTCTAGCTCTTAGGGTTGTTTAAAAGAAGACATTTAAAGATTTTTCTTTCGGTTGCCATGGCAACCAGAGTTCTGCATGGAATTAAATTCTTTGAACAATTTTTAAAGGTGACCACCAAAGGAACATTCCTGTGAAGTTTGGATGAAATTGGCTCAGTGGTTTATGAGGAGATGTCATTTAAAGCAAAAGTTTACGGACGGACGGACGGACGCCAGACGAAAAGCGATCACAAAAGCTCACCCTGTCACTTTGTGACAGGTGAGCTAAAAATCAAAATAAAATAATTCAAAAATTGTGTAATATGATATTGACAATGTATTGAAGTCCATTTCAGTAATATGTAGATCTAAGTCTGTTTGCTTGGTTTTACAGCACACCAACACAATTTAGGCCACAGTGGCTGCAATTTTGAAGCCTCATCTGTTAGAGGCAACCCATCAGCCACAAAGAGAAGCTTTAATTATGCCCCCCTTTAAAGAAAAGGGGGTATATTGTTTTGCTAATATCATTCGGTTGGTAGAAGTGATTATCCTAAAAATTTATTTTTCACAAAGACTTTATATTTTACATAGTGAATGGTCATAATTGGTAGATGACCCCTATTGATTTTGGCGTCACTAGGTCAAGGTCACAAGTGCATTAAATGTCAGAATGGTTTCCGCTGATTATCTTGAAAACTATTCGTTACAAAGTCTTCATATTTCACACAATGATTGGTCATAACTAGATGACCCCTATTGATTTTGTCTTCACTAGGTCAAAGGTCACAGGGGCCTTAAATGTCGGAATGATTTCGCTGATTATTTTGAAAAGTATTCATCACAAAGTCTTCATATTTTTCATAGTGATTGGTCATAACTAGTAGATGACCCCTATTGATTTCAGGGTCACTAGGTCAAGGTCATAGGGGCCTTAAATGTCAGAATGATTTCCACTCATTATTAGCTCACCTGTCAAAAGTGACAGGGTGAGCTTTTGTGATCGCTTTTCGTCCGGCGTCCGTCCGGCGTCCGTAAACTTTTACTTTAAATGACATCTCCTCATAAACCACTAGGCCAATTTCATCCAAACTTCACAGGAATGTACCTTTGCATAGGGTCGTGTGCAATTTCTCGCACTTTCAACTACCGTCCATGAACAGGCTTAATCAAACTGAGCCATTTTTGGATTGCTTTATTTCTCCATTTCTCGACTCGGAACCACTGTCATGCAAATCTTGAAAGGTATTTAGCCAACAGTATCGAAGCAGGCCCTTGCACTCTATCCTGGCTGTATACTTGTGACAACAGTCAATCACTTTCTGGTGTTTCTAATATACATAAGGTGTGCAAAAACAAAACAAAATTATAAAAAGAAACCAACAGATTTTTTTTTCACAGATCTTGTTTAATAACCAAATATGACAAATGTATATCAACAACTTCTCAATAACATTTCAATGTGTCCAAAAACAAATACAAATAATCATAAAAATATTTACGCAATGACTCTAAAGTATATATATCCATAATATATATATGAAATGCTTCGTAACAATAATCTCTGTAATTTTCTTTTTTTCTATCGCCAAGGTATTCCTAATTGCCATCATTTGAAAAATGATGATTGGTTAAATTAGTTTTTGTGTTTTACTTAGCAATTCATCATTTAAATGGTCACTTGAAGTCCAGAGAAAAATTAAATTTCACCAAAACAAGTGTTCGTTTTCCCTGATAAATTGGTTGTTTGTGGTTTGTTTGTTGGTTTGTGGTTGGATAGTTGTGGTTTAATTCAAAGATTATTAGTCTTATGGTAGATCATGTAATCATTCCATGGTAAAAAAAAAATGAGCGCAGTCTAATCAGGATCCATGCTGTTCGCTATCAGTTTCTTTACTTGTTATAGGGTCTGTAAGCGAACAACATGGATCCTGATCAGATTGCGCGAATGCGCAGGCTGGTCTGGATCCATGCTGGACGCAAACACATTATGTTGGTTTTGTCGTGACACAGCTCAAAAGTTTTCCTTTAAGCGAATTAGATAAGTAGAGAAAGCTCTATAAATGGAAGCTGAACTCAAAGCAATCAATGAAATTCAGCAGGTTTTGGTTAAGATATTGTGTGAAACCCTCTCTTAAAAAATATTATATTCTCTTAACTCCCAAGTCAATATCTTGTAAAAGCTTGACTAAATTCATCACATGATACAGTGTTTACTTAATTAGTGGTCAGCAACCAAAATATTTGGATCACCTAAGTGAAGAACAATCGTCATTTTCAGTTTAAGCAATAAATAAAATCATAAAAGTAACATGTACAATTTTTCCATCCTTTAAGATGGAAGCATTTAATGGTTTTAAACATGTCACATTCACACACAAAAGTATAGGACATGAATGGTGACATGTCTGGGGTCCTTACTCTCAGTGCCTGAAAGGGCAGATGGACCCTCATTAAGCCTAGAATACATTCACACACAAAAAGTACAAAACTCTATGACAACATAACAGTCTGATATACCAACTTGACACAAGTTAGTTGTACAATACACATTTGCCATTAACTTGGTTGGTCCCCATTTAAATAATCACTTTATCTTATGAAATGAGAACATATTTTCTATCCCCCATGTTTACTCCTACAATATTTATGACCAGACTCCTTGGATGTGTTTTAATGGTTAGAAACTTCAGACTGCTTGAATAATAAAAATCTATAATCTATTAAAAAAAAGTTTAAACCAATTTAATCCATAATATTGTTTTTTAAATGTTTTAAAGATGTGTACCATTAACTAGTAATCCAAAATGCAATTGAAAAAAAATCATGCCACTTTAATCCACAAATAGAACATTTTAAAGGCTAAAACCTCTTTGGTCCATAAAAAAAACTTTTAGAATTTTAGAAGCTTATCCATAAAATAAAAGAAACACGACTTCTTAAAAGTTTAGACTACTTTAATCTAATATAGCTCTTTGACCACAAAAAAAACAAAACAAAAAAAACTAAGCATTAACAAATTACTGAAAAATAAAACTCTTTTAAATGTAAATAAAACCTCCATCAATCATTGATTTGCTCCAATGAAAAAATTACCCCTTACAACTTTTTTTGAAAACCAATTTACTCAGTAAAACTAGAGCATAAAAAAGTAATCCCAAGAAGCGTAAGTCAAAAATAGTTATATGGATTTGAGAAGAAAATTGTAAAAAAAAACAACATATTAACCATGTCATGGAAAAGTTTGCCTCAAAGCACTTTCTTGTCTTTAAATAATTATATATATAAATAATCAACCCCATCTCTTGGAGAGAAAAATAGCCAATCTCCTTCACAGTGATCTCCCCTTATCAGTACAGAGATTACAATCTGCCAAGGGAGGTAATCACTGTGAGGAGTTTGTAAAATAACACCAAAGCTGAGATCCCATCTACTGTTTGTAAACCCATCCTTTTTTTAAAGCAAACATAACAATAAATATTGAGATTTCTTTTTTTGTAAAATCATTTTCAATGACAGAAGTAATGTACACTGTTCTTTACATATACACAATGTAATTTAAAACTGTCTTAACAACAAAAATTTGACTAACAAAATTAAAAGCAGAGTTCAGTGGATTCTTTCAGTTTTGACTTCATCAACAGAACTATTAAAATGTCACTATTTTTCCGTTTAAAAAATTCTGGAATCTAGCATACAGAATGAAAAATGTGAAACTGCTGAATATTAGCCTTTGACACCAGTATAGAGCCAGGAACAGCCTGCAAGTCTGTGGAGTCAGACCAAGCTCTTTTCTATGTCATATTTGTAGCTTCGATTTTTCATATTTCATAACTGAAAGCCCATTACATTCAAATGGACTGCTGGAAATTAAAAGCCGGGTCAAATTCAATACACAATTCACACAATGCCTATACCACATGATTTTTTTTTGTGATCTGTGTTGGACAGAAAACCAATGAATACGTGAATGGACAGTTTCACTTTCAGTAGAAAATACTGCTATTTTGCTTTAAACACATTCTATGTATGAGCTATTCGCTATAATGAGAGGGATCTTTGTTTCATCTAATTAAAACTCATAAAATTCTTGTATCTTAAATGTTATAAATATACAAAAGTGTATTACCTAAACTGCCTTTGTGTTGATTTTCTGCCCCATGCAGACCACAAAACGTCACATAGTATAGGCATAGTGATTCAGCAGATTAAAAACAAAAATGAATGTGAGATATGGCAAGTAGTAGAAAAATATTGCATTCAATATGTTTTCAAAACCATCAAAACATTAAAATGAGCCGTGTCACGACAAAACCAACATAACGGGTTTGCGACCAGCATGGATCCAGACCAGCCTGTGCATCCGCGCAGTCTGATCAGGATCCATGCTGTTCGCTATCAGTTTCTTTACTTGTTATAGGGTCTGTAAGCGAACAGCATGGATCCTGATCAGACTGCGCGAATGCTGGTCGCAAACCCATTATGTTGGTTTTGTCGTGACACGGCTCAAATATGTTTGACTGAGACCATGTATAGCATATCTTTTTTTCAGACTCTTAAACTGTAAAAAATAAGTCACTCCTTCATAAGTTTATTCTCAAAACTATTGTCACAGCTATTCTATTACACTCCCCCAAAGGAATTAAAATCATAGACAATCCATCAACCTCCCATGGTTTTTTTCCATTCCCAGAAAAATACCGTGAAAACTTATTTTACAATAAACCTTGCTATTCCCTCACCCCCCTTGCATTAAACATAATTTATATTCACTGCTGTTCTGTTTCTTCGCTTTCCTCCCCTGTTCTTTCTTCCTCGTTTGTGTCTTCTTTTGATTCAACCATATCATAATCATTGTCTTTATTTTCCTCATTTTCTGAATCACCTTCTTCCTCTTGTTCCTTCTTTTCTTTTTCCATTTCTTTCTCGATCTCTGGGGGTGGGTAAATGTCATGTTTATATAGTGGTTTGAATGATTCTATAACACCGACATCTTCCGTTAAATTTGGGAAGATCCATAAATGATGTTTACCCAGCGTTACCATCCACACTAATGAGAAAATGATGACTCGTACTGAAATATAAACAAAAATATTATATGTTTATTAGATAAAATAATATTTTAGAAATAACAAACTCTGTGTATTCAATATTTTCGGTAGAGCTTTCAATGCTTTTCTTGGCATATCTTCAGCCGAAATTTTTGTAAATATGTTTAAATACTATATACTTATGAATGAAATACTGAGAAATATTCATGTAATAAAGTTTTTTGTTTTTTTTTCCCATATTTTCACTGTAAAAAGTTTTCACTGCAGTGAAACATTTTTATATTTTCACTGGTATCTTGCCAGACTACATTTTTCTAAATTCAGCCAAAACACAAAATTTTAATGTCAAAAAAAGTGAAAAAATGTATACAATTAACAGAAAGTTTTTTCTACAAATACAAGATTTATTGTATGAAAATTACCATATTTCACAAATAACAAGAGCTGTCGGTAGGACAGCACGCTCGACTATTCTAAGTGCTTGATAGTAAAAGAGCCTTGATAATGTATTTTTTAAGTTCACAAAAGGGCTAATTTTTTTTTATAAATTCATGTTATAGGCCTTAGAGAGAATCTAATTATACAGTATTGGCTTGACTATTCGGAAGGTAATGTCACAAGGGTGTTTTATTGAGTATAATAATACTAATTACCTATGAATACATAAATTTGACAGAAATGGTACAAATTTTACAATTTTGCAAACTGATGTATATTATTACTATAAAAAAGTATTTTAAATTTCAATTGAATATCTCAAGCAATAATTGAGATATTTGACTTTACAAAAAAACTTTAACCAAAATTTCTAAGTTCCAAAGGGGCATAATTCTGTCAATATTGTAGACAGAGTTATCCAACTTGTCAATCTGATGTACCTTGTTACTATAAATAAGTATTGTAAGTTTCAATTGAATATCTCAAGCAATAATTGAGATATTTGACTTTACAAAAAACTTTAACAAAAATTTCTATGTTAAAAAGGGGCATAATTCTGTCAATATTGTAGACAGAGTTATCCAACTTGTCAATCTGATGTACCTTGTTACTATAAATAAGCATTGTAAGTTTCAATTGAATATCTCAAGTAATAATTGAGATATTTGACTTTACAAAAAACTTTAACCAACGCAGACGCCGACGCGGACGCCGGGGCGACTACAATAGCTCTCATATTCTTCGAATAGTCGAGCTAAAAATACAAACTCAATACTTGTGACCTCAACAAAAATAGGAATACAATCTTAATATTTATGACCAAAACAAAAATAGGAATACAAACTCAATACTTACAAACTATTAAGAAAAGCATAAAACCAACAAAGCTAGCACCCAGTAAACTTGCGTAGTAAACTCCAACTCTCATCCAGTCTGGCCAGAGTGGAAACAAGCATAATGCAATAGCTCCCAGTACTGAAATGTAAAACATACACACATTGTCCTTTTTTTATTTTTTTTTCAATATTTTGTTATTGGATTTTTCATCAAACCAACTTTGAAAGGTCATATGATGATTTTCAAGCTTTTTATTTGTTGAGTAACAGTGGAATGCCTATGGTGCCCTTCTAAGTTTTTTTGTTTTGTTGAGAATCAGTGGAAAATCTATGATGCCCGGTGCCCTTCTAGGCACCAATTAGAGCCTAAGTAGAGCCAGCAATCATCCCTTAACTAGCTGGATAACTTTCTTCACATAAAAGAATTTAAAGTCACAAGCAGGTTTTGGCCCCAGAGTGGTGATTTTTTTAGGGTCAAAAGATCAAAACTCTGCAAGCTAAAGCATTCAGCCATAGAGGCTCACACACTACCACTTACCATGCTGTATAACTTAAACTAGTTAATTTACTCAGCTCTATATTTGTAACTGTACACTAATTCTTGATACAATATTATCAAAACTAAGTCACTTGCAATTATTGCTTTATTTAAACTTGTTTAAAGTGACATTATGCTCATTTTTTCATTGTCAAGTTGAGCTGAATTAACTATATATTTCAAAAGATTCACTATTATAACAGATATTAACCAACACTCTTTTTATATAAATTCGGATGGGAATTTATAGAAATTTCCTTGGCGCATTTAAGTTATTTATCAGTCATGCAAAGTTAATTATATAATTGAAAGGAATTATGGCAAAATATAAACTTTTGACTATCACCTGTTCACTCACTCTATACCCTTGAATAGGCATAATGTCACTTTAATAAATTTGTTCCATTTAAAACATGTACATTAACCTGTATTATTCTTAATAAATATATTTTTTATACTTATAATATAAGGGAATGTAAGTTAAAACCCTTAACTGGATTGCATATGTCTTAATTTCCATTTTCAAAACATTACAAACATGAAAAAAAAGCAAATTAACTTACACATAAGAAATCCCATGAAGAATGTCTTAGGGTGTATAGGATCATATATCCAAACATATATCTGGAAAAAGAAAAAAATACATTGATATACTAATTTATGATGAGGTTTCCACAATAATCAAACACTTCTTCGTCAATGCTTTCTTTATGTTTAAATCAAAACTAATTAATAATTTCGTTTGACTCACACTGTCAAATTTTATTCTATTTATTTAAAAGATAAGTCTTGCAGTGCTACCAGTCATATTTTCTTATTTCCTGCCAAACCTACTTATTAATTGCTCACTATTCATTTGTCATAAATTGCAGATGTGTAATTTTTTTAATTTCCAATTTTTTAATTTTGAAAATATTATTTGTTTGTTTTCATTGAATACAGATAACATCATTTATAATCTAACTATTATATCAGAATTTTCAAATCTTTTCGAAAGTACAAAGCATAAGTTTTTTTTCCTTCTTTCTTTTGTATGATATTCAGTGAAAACAAACAATTTTGAATTTCCATTAATGGCCCATTATGCCTCAAAAATGCTATAACTATTATCATTATTAAACAACTTTTTAGTTTGTGGTTGTCGTGTTTCAGTTCCAAAAAGTTACACATTGGCCATAAAGCTGAGCAATCAGCTTCTTTTTCATCTGCAAATTAGTACAGTTATAGTGTTTCATAACTTTATATTGAAGTAAAAATACAACTGTGCTTACATTTCGTTACATTTATCATAAATTATTTCACATTCATCACTATTTTTTCAGATGATCAGTATAACACATGTTCTAAATCTATTATTACAGTTTCATAAAACACAAGTTTGCCTTTTTTCCGCATAAAAAGTACTAATTCATTTCTGAGGCTTAACGTGCCTTTAAACAAGTCTAACATTACCAAAATACCAAAACTGGCTCAAAAAGATCAAAGGTAATTAAAGGTGCGTCATTTTCAGCCCTTGCATTCAGAGAGTTTAAAATATCAAGTGTCTAGAATATACTTACAGAATTACCATCAACAAATCTCTGGTCATCACTCATGTTCAATTTAAATTTCTTTAATTTTACTTCTTTTTTATCTGTCTGGAATAGAAATTTAATCATTAAAGATTAAAAGTTAGTTTTATGCAATTTAACATTTCATTAGGTACCAAATTCCCTGTTTATTTATTTTTAATGGTATAAAAACTCAAACTACTAATTTGTTAGTAAGCCACACTCATGCTTCATATTATGCTAGATATCCCAGATCCCAGCTAATATAGGTACAAGAAGTTGACGGAATAAATATTAACCTTTATTTATATTCGTTCTATTTTTTTTTAGATAAGAAATCATTCCTTATTCCAAGCAAGAAAGAAAAAGCCCATAACATTTACAGAATTTTAAAAATATTTCCACCTCAAGAAGACTAACTTAAAATTATATATATTTCTAATCAAAATAATATTTTCAAGCAATACCAAATCAGAACAAAGGTCAGGTATCGACTTTAACTAACATTCTGATACCTAGGATCTGCTAACATAATTTTCTGAAACTCCATTTTTAGTTTACTTTTAACCTATTTATTTAAGCTCGATCAGGAAACAAGTTTGTACAATATATATTCACCAATTTTAGTTAGCTTCCTGTAAACTAACCATTACTTATGTCACATAAAGGAACTTGGTCAGGACCCAAGTAGAGCTCAAACCAGCAAATCCCTTGGTTGAGCAGCTGACATCTTGACCACTAGCCCCCTCCTCAGTATACCACAGTTATATTCATAAAGTTTATAAATATCTACTATAAATCTTACTTTTTTCTTTTCTTCTTTTTTCTCCTCTTCTTTTGTCTCTTTCTCTGTTACTTTCTTAGATTTTTTACTTTTCTTGCTCTGTAATAAAAAAAAACAATTTAGTCTATAAGATTGATTCACATTCAAAATATGCATTTCATCATCAAAGTAATTTAACTGTAATATTACAACTTAAAATACAAGTTTGTTTCCTTTTTCGATCAGATTATTATCAAAATTTTAAAAGTTTGGGTTTGTAAATTTTTAAAACAAGAACTGTCGGTAGCATTGCATGCTCGACTAATATAAGAGCTTGATAGTAAAATAAGAGTATGGGTAATGTAAAATTTTCTATGTTCAAAAAAGGGTCATAAGTCTGTCAAAGTCTATGTTAGAGTTATGGGCATTAGATAGTGACCTTCTATTATGCTCTCAAATAAGTGTGTGAAGTTTCAATCCATTCCCTTCAGTAGTTTTGGAGACACCAACATGCATGCAAAAACTTAACCAAGAGATGAGGCCACAACACTGCCTGGGTGAATACAATCGTTCTCCTTATTCTATAGAATTTCCCTTTGAATTATGTATCAGTAACATTCACTTGAGTAAAAGAGTGGAGCAGTCTTCTTATTCTTTAGGCAGTTTTAATATCTAAACCTTATCATTTGTCACTATTAATTATTGGTCAATCACCATTATAATGGTCAATCTTTTAAATCATATAGCTAATTCAGCATAACTTAACATCGGAAAAAATACAATGTCACTTTAATCTGGGTTAAAGAGTGACCTATTACAAATAATATGGATTAAATACTTACATCACTTTCTTTCTCTTTTTCTTTTTCCTTTTCTTCAACATCTTTCTTCTTTTTCTTCTTATCTTTGTCTCGTTTAGATTCTACTTTATCAGCTCTATGAAAAAGACCTTTCTGTATAAACCTATGTAAAAGAAAGGTAAAAACTTTAAAAGTATGATGGTATAACTATAACAAAACATGGACAGTGAACTTACTTTAATCAAATGACTTTCCTGGTTCTTCCATGTAACTAAAGTACAATGTATTACATACTTCTTCATACTACAAAATTATTCAAAATACATGCCAGAGATATATACCTTGGAAAAAGGATCACCAATTATGATACTGAACGTTTCAACTGAAACCATTTGGTAGTTTTGATGGTTGATTGATTAACAAGCAAATTTCACCTAAGTTCACAAAAGGGCCATAATTCTGTCAAAATTGATTCTGGAGTTATGGGCCTTAGATAGTGACCTCCTACTATGATCTTAAACAAATATGTAAAGTGAAAAGAAAATATCTTCAGTGGTTGATGAAATATGAAATTGAACAAGAAGTTGCATGTGAAACATTAACATAATTTAAACGCCAATGCTGAGGTGAGTAGGATTGCAAAACTGTTCTTTGGATAGTCCAGTTAAAAGCCCCGTTCTAGGAAATAAAAGATCAGCCATGAAAGTTGTCTGATATTAATTAAATATATAAGAACTGGAGGAAGGGGCATAACTTACTCTCATACAAACATGTAATAATAGTGTTTTATGTACTCTAGTCTGAAAAGAAAGAAAATGTTTACCTATTAAGAAATTGAACACAGCTTTTTCTATCAGTAAATGTAATCTCAGAGTCTGGGTTTGCTTTCCCCTTTGACCATTTTGAATCTAAAAGGCAGTTCACGGCATCAGATGCTGAAATTATATGTAAAAGATAAACATACAGTAATTACAAAGATTGGGAAATAGTGAACATTAAATTACTTTTCATTTTAAAATTGTTAAAATATTATTATAGAATAACTTGTTCTGTTATCTTGGAGGATTTTAAAATTGTCACAAATTAAAACGTAGTAAGTACTGTAACTACAAGGGTCTTAAGAAAGCTTATCTTACTAAATATATAAGTTCTTTTGCAATATAATAGCAGTCACACTGAGACACAATTTTAACAGTATTTGAAATTGGAGTATTGAAATAGGGAGCTTCTCTTGCCATATGATATAATTGTGTGTGACTTTATTATTATGTCACAAAATGTTCCCCTCCAAGGTGGCCCATCAACTAACCTTCACAGCTGAATAAATCATTATATATATCAAGTATATGACTATATGATAATTATGTTCATACCTATAAAGCATTTAACTGTCATGCCGGCCAGTCGGCCTGTGTGAGCAGGTGTGTTGAAACGTAGGTGTTTGGCAACTGCATACTCTTCCTTGGTACATGCCTGCTCTTCCTGAAAATATACAAAAATATAAACATAAAACACACCGTCAGAAATACAATCATTACCTTGGTTAAACTACTGACAGGTAATGGCATATGCCACAAGTACACAGCCAGGCATATCTATGAAGTCTGTACTGTTGTCTTTTAAGCAGCGTTTTTTACACATTTTGGGGGAAAAACCCTTTTTCCCTAAAAATGTTTTACTTCTGAAAAATTTACACTCAAATTTTTCCAAAAGGGAAAAAAAATTAAAATTTAATTTGAAAACTTTTTGTTTTAAAAAAAATTTTCCCAAACCCGAAACCACCTTTAATGGCCCCTGATAATAGATGTTTAAAAAAGAAAATGTGCGAATAAAATAGAAACAAAGTATCAAAAATTTAAAAGATAAAAATTAAAAAATTACCATTGTTCAGCTCTACGGGTCAAACCTTTCCAAAATTAAATACTTTTTTTCCCCTTTTCCTTTGTTTTAAACCCTTAAGCTTAAGAAAACCCATATTGATATAATAAATTTTTATTGATTAAAACAACCCTCAACACATTTATATACAATGTAAACAAAAATTAACTAAATATGTGACATGGTTAAAGAACAACAATCATAAATATTATCTTCACATGTCTAGTTTCATCACCTATGACTGAAAGTAAGCAGTTTTAACAAAGTAACATAAAATACACTGCAACAACCTGAGAATACCATACCTGGTAATATGATACCTGGATATGCTAACAGCTGTTATTGATTGATATTCTCATTGATTCCTTTTACAAAAGAAAAATCAGATGACAATGCTCATTCATTTTACAGAAAAAAGTTTTCATATCTTATCCCATTAAATCTAAACTGTTACATTGCAGCTGCTACATCTGCATCTAAAATTTACAAGAAAGCTTAAGAAATAATGATTTATTTGGTTAAAAATAAAATTTTCATAAATCTCAAAGAACAAACATTCCACATTTATTTAAATAATCAGATAATTCATGATTCTTGTTATATTTCCTTTTCATTAGACAGGTCTTTAAAATTTAGTATTGTTACCAAACACTGGCAATTAATAATCTTCTAAAAAAATGGACAAATTTCCCAATTTTGATGTTGTCGCAATGTGTTTTTATCCCAAATCAACCTGATTTCAGCACTAAACTAATTTTATTTGGGTCCCAGGGAGCATCAATACCAAATACTGAATGCAATAAAAACATTGTTGACATTCTCCTTTGAAGTCTAACAAAAAAATAACACAGAGTCAAAGTGAATGTCCTTATGAAATTATGATTATTAAATAAGAATTGTCAATAACCATTTTTTATCCAGCTTCCCTTTGTGATTTATGGAACAGTGTCCCATTATCAAATTTGGGTATGTCCAGATGAAAACTTAAGTTAGTCAACCAACAGTATAGAGTCTGGTCAGACAGCACTGATGTGCAGGCTGGCCTGGCTCTATACTGGTTGCTTATGTTTTTTAATCAGATTAAAATTTGATTAAATGCAAGATGTGATCTGATCCTGATATAATGAAGAACAATTTGTTGTTCTGATGAGGTAATGAGACAGTTTTATTGCACATTGAGGTGTTGAATGTGTAGATTAGGCAGCAGTTGGTGCATCTATCGGGGCTTCCATTAGTGGAAGTTTGGGAGTTGTTGACTCCTGATTTTGGCTTGTGTCTTCCCAAAATAAATGTATAATGCTTTTCCTTCTTTGCCTATATATTTCAACTTTCAATTTCTGATTTCCAAATTTTGAAACTAAATGGAAGCACTGTCTCTGTGCAACAACTTGATTAAGATTAAGCCCTGGTTTTTCTACTTAATTATTCCCATTGGCAGAGATTTTCTAGTGTCTACTGCAAAGTCTCCATGGGTATAATGGAGAACTGTTGTAGGGTAACAATGTCTGCATCAACTCAATGCATTTATTTCTTGTATCAAATTGTTTTATTTTAAACCAACAACAATTAATGGATCAAAATTCATGCCAGGCAATTCATTTCTATATTTATCTCTGTGAAAGGTTAATCATCAATAACCTCTAGAATGACTTACATGCATGTAGTCTAAAGACATTAGATATAAAAAGGCTTTAAATTTGGAAATTGATTTTTTATCACTTGAGATGGTTTTTTTCCATTTTACTTTTTAGCAATTAAATATTTATTAATTAATATGTTTGCTTTACATAACGAATCTTGAAATAATTTTCAGCAGATCCATTTGGTAAAATATGTCCAAATTTTAACAACTGACAAAACCGGTAAACCCTTAACCAGAGTTATAAAATACCGGTTACCCCACCCACTTTCATACAATGAAACAGAAAACTTGTTTGTGATAACCGTTTTATTACTAATTGTACCAAATCCTTAAAATAAGCTATGGTTAAGAATATTTATTTTTCCTCTAAGTCTGGAGAAAAACTGCAATATATGGCACCATTTAATGCATGAATCCGAACAATACCTGATCAGCTTTCCGTTTTGGACGTCGTCTGTCAGCCATGTTTACGTGTATAAACCTCGTTTTGATATTTTCATAACTTCCTTGTTGAGGGCTAGTCAAAAAGTTTTTTTAAAGTGTCTAGATTCTATAAAAATCTACTGAAAATGTCATGTCCCTGGCCACAGTCATATCTGTAGGAACGCGCTTAAATTTTATATCTTCCACATAACCTAGCTAAATAATGGCACGTGAAAATTAAATCGTGACCACGTAGGTGGGGGTTTTTTAAATGGTGCGTTTAAAAGTCTTTTTACATGTCCTGAACAAAGTTTATGAATGAATTAAACCCTCTATGTGGGAATTTCATATCTAATTGAAACAGTTAATTTAAAATTTCATTCACGAAAATCGACATTTAAGCATCTAGATCTATATCTGTGGACTTAAACTTTATTTGATCTGTATCCGGTTAAAATACATGACCACATTTTTTCAATGAATTCATTATTTGACTTAATTTGCTTTGAATGGTGATTTAATTAAATTAAGTATTTATATAAAATAACTCGAAACGGTTTGTTGTACGTTGTTACACAATGACAAAGCTGATTCTGATTTCAAATAAATAAAAGTGAGCCGCCTGCAGCGACCATGTGCCTTTAATGAAGCTACAATTACGGTCCAAAATGTCTTTAAACACGAAATTTAAAAATCTTACATAGACTGGGGCACTTAAAGCGGAAAAAATATGAAAAAAAGATAATTAAGAAATATTCTTAGAATTAAATTTAAATTGACATTTAGCGGGTTCTTTGTCAGAATTGAATTTAAAGTGGACAAACGCTCTTTTTTGTGTCATTTGCACACTACAATTGATTATTTTAGTAAATGTACATAAATTTAATTAGTGCCGATTTCTGTATAACTTAAAAACACTAATAGCAGATACTAATTACTCATTCTAAAGCACAAAAGCTAACACAATGAAGCACAAACGACTCCTACATGACGTTATGAACATTACTTTCATTTTTTTGGGGGAAAGGGGGGGGGGGGGGCATCAATTTACTAAATATCGAGAGCTAAGAACAACGTGTGTTTTTTATTGAACTGATTATATAGTTTGTTTGGTTTTTTTTGTTATGGGAGAAATCTTTAATTTATAGAGTAAGGCACTTTTTTTTCAAATAAACAAATCTGTATAAATGCTTAATGAAAAACAGAAAGTCGATTTTAAAATAGCCTGTCAAGTGCTTTTACGACTAATTTGTTCTTAAAGAAACCACGAATGAATTTATATAGATTTTTGTATTAATGCTGTTAAAGACACGAGTGAAAAAATATTTAAATGAAAAATAAAAGACCTTTCTTCTTTTTCTCTTTGTAGCTTCGTCTTCTTCCTCTTCAACAACAAGTTCCTGAACAATTTCCTTTTCTTCTTCATCATTACCACCTTCTCCATCTTTAGTATCTTCTCCGGCGTCACCACCTTCTTTCGCCTTCTTTTCTTGTTCGAGAAACTCTTTGTACGCCTTTTTTCTGACTATTTCATTTATTTTAAAGTCACGATTGGCATGACGATTTAGGAATAATTTGGATTCACCGAAATTCGGATCATCTTCCTCTTTTTGATCACTTCTTTCCCAGTAAGCTCCCGTTTTTATGTTTAAACTCATTTTAATCTCGTTCCTTAACGCTTAATTATATTTTATTCACTGAAGATTTACCTCAATATTGTCAAGTGTTTAACTATAACCGTATAAAAGTTTTTTGTTTTTTTTTCTTAAATAAAAACTGTAGCTGTTTTTCTTACGGTCGTCAACGCATAAATGACTGGCGAAAAGGCCACGTGCTTTTAATTGAACAGAATTTATAAATGTCGTAAATTTTGAACATTAAATTAAAATCGACGTTTTGCGGAAGTAACTTTTCATAATTTTGTGTGAAATTTCATAACGCCCTCAAGCTCACAATCAGTTAAGTCAAGGCAACATCATATATTTAATTATTACTGACGGCTAGGTACAACTTGTCAAATAATACACAGAATGACAGAATGTATGTATACATCAAACAGATACCGAGTACTCTATAGATAACTACTTTGCAGACGCCCCTCTTCCACGCGCGACATATGTATACATTTTTCTTAAGAACCAATGTGTCGATTTTATTTCTGTATATCTAAAAGGAATTACTTTGATGAACACTAGACAAAATATAAGTCGGACATCTGGTCACATCTCGAATGGATGTACATTTTTAATCTGATCATTTAACATATGCTGCCATTCAGCACGTTTGTCAGTGCAAATTTTGTGAAACGATAATTATTATTATCTCAAACATTGCCATACCAACAAGAAACAATACAATAACATACCCTGTGCTCAGGATATTCGCCCCAGTCACTTCCTTCTTCGTCGGTTTCCATCGTTTCTGTTGTTTTTTATTTCACTCTAAATATGAATGCTGTTGCCTATTGTAATCGTCACTGCGAAATGTTGATGTGTATATACATGTATGTAGTAATTACAATATAATTAATAACGTGTGTTGTTCTGATTGATGAATTCTGGTGTCATATGGTTCATGTTAACACAACAGACGTGCGTTCATTGATTTTGATTAATTATTTAATGTGCTACAAAAAAGTTATGTTAAGGCATTATTTATTTGAACTCGATTTTTAAAGAAGGCTTGCAAAAAATCTCAATCTGATTTAAAACATAGGACAAGATCTGAACTTTAAGTCAGACTGACAAAAACTGTGACCCACTCTCGAGTCCACTTCCCTGGAATTAACTAGTGCACAATTCTAATGTTATGTCACGTCTCCAGGTACATCGGTTCAAAACCCTTCGATCCTTTGGCTTAGTGAGTACGAAAATTAACGACCAGGTTACCGCTCCATTCGTTCTTATTAGAATTCGAGTATTTATAAAAATGAACGTTCAGCAAAAATTAAGGAAAGTAGATATGACACCTTTGAGAATATCATACTTTGGGTCTCTTTCATGTTTATATTAAACTAAGCTGAGAAATATTTGTTGGGTTTGTTGTCAGACTTTAGTATTGAACTATTTTTATAAATACAGGTTGTTATTAACATAGAAACATCAAATTCAACATGGTTCATAATTAACATAATAAATTAAAAACAGCCCCCTCCCCGAGCTTGAACTTTGGTAACAATTACATTCTGATATTTACTTCTTTTATTCTGATGAATATAATTATCTTAACCTGCAAAATACATGTAGGCAAAAAAAATCATGGATTGAAATACACTTCTAACGCAACACTTTAAAAAAAACGTTGTTTTTTTCAAAGTAACGTTTTGAGATCTGATATTATTATCAAATTTCACAATAGCTGGTTTGACTACTGTCTAAAAACCATTCATCTGTAACGTATGACCAGTTCCATAGACGGAATGTGTGTCAAACCCAGGAAACAGGTGCACTTTTAGCTATCCACGCTGTAAAAAATACTGAAAATTGAAAATGTCTGTGAAAAATTTAGAATGATTTGCGCGTGAAAATAATTGTTTGGGAATGCGCGTGCCCACCCGACTGCAGCCAAGAACTGGCCAATTCAAAAAACATTAACGTTTAACATTTGCCCAAATTTTTCTCAAATGTAACGTTTAAGAAGGGAATTACAATTATTTTAAAGGCGAATTTAGGGTTTTAACAGGGAAGACAATAACATAATGAAAACCACAATAAAGAAATGGAATAAATTTAAACTTTGCAATACTAAATTTGATTTTAATTACGGTAAATGAACGAGGCCTTGATACTGGGGTGAATTAATGAACATTTCACAGGCATGTTTGCATAACAAAGTGATGTCTGAAAAGCAGAGATATGTGAATGTATAAATCGCTTCATTTATGAATATATGCGCTTTTTTCGGGGAGGTGATGTCATTTAGTCGCCGACTAAATGACATACTCGCTAAAATAATCGTATGACCTTTTTAATTCAGAAATCTTTATTTTTAATTCTTTAGAAAGATCGATATGTGCTTGATAATAATTTGATAATGAATTTAGAGCCTCTTAGATGTTTAACTACTGCCGAAAGTAGCGTTGAATGTGCATAATGTGTTGTAAAGGTAGCGAAATGTAAAAAAAAGTTACTGTTATATATATATTTTTACTTCCATGCAAAAATCTAACTCATTATAATTATACATATTGCCAAAGATCAAAAGAATGCACAGATAGTTCATCATATATTGCCAATGGGTAGTTTTTTTTAGAAACTAATAAGATACCAAAAATAAAAAGGTTTTGAGAAAATTTAATATAAGATAATAGCATTTCATGGGCTTAATGGGGCTTTAATACGATTTACATTGATTTTTGCGTTTTTTCTTTCTGTTACAGGCATTTTTTATGTCTTTTATTTCTTTTACATTTTGTACATTTACGATAACTGGTTTGCATGAAATTTACAGGCCAAGTATATGATTTGTTGATTAAGATAATTATATTGTAAACTTCAATGAAATGAAATTTACTTATAACACGAACATTATTATGTTCTTTATTGTTACTGCATTATTATGTTTCTAAGAAGTGTCATGTATATATACAGTACTGGTAGTTTTGTTGTTGTTGTTGTTTTCATTAAGGAAATAACAAAAGAATTGGAACGACCACTGCACAATTAACTGCGTTACGTTTAATGCGGATACAAAAAAAGATTTTGACAAAAATTAGCCCTCGCGGCAGTGTTACGTCAGAAGAACAGAACAGATAAGATATTTTTGACTTGTTCAAGTATACATCGTCATACAAATATAAACAATTTTACAATACATACTAACATAAATCATAAGATCAGATTTAAACATGTCCCTTACAAATCAATATAGAGGATGAATTGTTAATATAATATTAAGTTGTATCTATACTATCTATGGTACTTAGAACTATGAGACATCTCTTACATACGAGGACAAATTAAAAAGTATACACATGTACTTCTATTGTCGACTGATTTCAGCATATCAGTTAATTTAAACATACTTGGCGTATAATAATAGTATCTTTTATATATTTTTTCTTCTTAAATCAATATAACAAGGCCAAATTAAAAAAAAAATGGAATGGTATTCATCTTCTACGCCATGTAGATTACAATATAAACAATATCTTTCATTTCAAACAGTTCTATTCGTATGATATCTACCAATATGCACATGCAATGAATGCGAAGATATTCTAACTCTTGTAAGATACTTCCTTTAAGTATTGGGATGCTATCGAGATAATTTTCATACATGTTTATAAAGAACTTTAACATGATTATACAGATTCAAAACAGGCCTGCTCTCTTTACCAGAAAGCCAACTTCGTAAAAAAAAAAACAAAAAAAAAAAAAAAAAAAACAAAAAAAACACACACACAACAACATCAGCTACAACAAAAAAAAACCCAACAAAAACACACTAAATTACCCTTTGCTTAGATATCGGTGCAATTTTTTTACTATTTACGGAATCTGGAAAATCCCAAATATCATTTAAAAAATCATGACTATACATAACAATAATTTAAGATTTGATAATCAAATTCTTCTTACCATTATAACAGTCTCTGTCATATACCTTTTTAAGAATGATGTTATCTGTCTCAAGCAGTTTAAACCGAAATCTTATAATTTTAACATATCTTGAAATATATAAAAGATAACGTGCAAATTCACAGTATACAGCAACATTATATGAATTAACTTTTACATTTAACAAAATCTAAGATGAATTCTTACAATTTCCTTTGATGTAGTAAAGCGCCAAATTTCGGCAGCCTAATTTAAAAAAAGAACCAACAATTAAAAAAGTAAAAAAAACTTTAGGTTTTAACTGATATCTGTTACAATTAATCAATAGCACAGACACTTGGTTTTTCAAAACAGCTTATTATAAGTCTTTTTTACAAATATGATAGGTAAATGTGCTGGGACTGACAAATATACATTTATTTGGATTTTAAGGCGTTAAGAGCTTCACACCCCAAGTGTCTGTGATCAATATTTATGGATTTTACCAATCAATATTGTTCTTTATTTAAACTAATAAAACTCTCAGTATAACTAAATATTGTTCCTAAATAATTGAAGTCATCGACAATATCAAAATGTTTCCCTTCATAATAAAATAATCCATTGTCTTTTAAGCTCCTAAAAATAACATTTTTGGTTTTATCGATATTTACGATATCGTACTTCTATGCTCCATTTTTTACAGTAATCATTCAATAAAGACAAACCTATATTTATATCAACTGGTGTATCTCCTAAAATGACCAAACAGTAACAAAATCAAAACAATATCCTTTATATTCAAACCTACGGTGGCATAGAGAGAACATAATAAATATTTCATCTATTACGTGCGCACGCGATAGCTACTACGAGCGCACGCGATAGCTACAACGTGCGCACGCGGTAGCTACTACCTGCGCACGCGATAGCTACCACGTGCGAACAAGCGATCTTGTGCACGTAATGATTGACCAACGTAGGGGCTATCGCGTGCGCATGTACTAGCTATCGCGTGTGCACGTGGTAGCTATCGCGTGCGCACATGGTAGCTATCGCGTGCGCACGTTGTAGCTATCGCGTGCGCTCGTAGTAGCTATCGCGTGCGCGCACAGTAACAAAGTAGCTGTTGTGTGCGCACGTAGTACCTATCGTGTGTGCACGTAGTAGCTATCGCATGCGCACATAGTAACTATCGCGTGCGCACGTGGTATACAAAATATTTCTGATGGCCCCTTTATGCCACCGTTCAAACCACTATTAACAGCTCTTTGTAAAAATAATTCAAAGTCAGATTGGCTAAATTACCTGCCCTTGACGTACACCTACAGCATATTAAGTAACTATTGCTTCATCTCTTGACGTTTCCGCGATTCACGATTACAGGTGTTGCTGATTTCTTTGTAACTCAGTACCACCGAAAAATGACGGAAAGAGCCGAGAAGATGCCAGTGACCGATGATGAATTTAGTTTATTTTATACAGACTATTGGTTTCTGTTACGTCGCTGGTCGTATCGCCACTATACGTCGCTGATCATAGAGCCGCAGCGGAGGTCCACTCAAGCCGTCTTTCGTCGGAGAGATCTTCCCTAGGACCAAGTTCTCCGCATCTTGAACGGAGAAGACAATAGAAGGAAAGGCACCTCTTGCTGGAGGCAGCAGCACTTTGTAGAGCCACACCATTCGGCGTTGGTTAGGTCGCAACAGGTAAGTGACCTAACTAGGTCACCTATCTGGTGTGACCTATGCACTCTGAGCGACATGTACGCTGCGAAGGGAAGTCGGTGTAAATGCCAGTGGATGAGCCGGCTCCGCGCCCCGCCATTACATGATAATCATCGACTTTCCGCTTGGCGGGGTCGCGGGACGAAAACACGCTAATTAGCGGAGGCGCGCGGCGAAGTTTTATTTATGTTTCGCAATCGAGCTTAAATAAATATGTTTAAACTAAGTTTTATTTATTAAACTTCGCCCCGCGCCCTTGCTAATTACCGTGTTTTCGCTCCGCCCCCCCCCCCATTTATCTTGGTAATTCTCGACTTTTCGCTTGGCGGGGTCGCGGGGCGAAAACATGAATGGCACTATTCAGCCCCTATAAAAATTTTTTACTAATATTAGCTTATGATGAATATGTTTTGGTAAGAAAACATAAAACGATTTACATAAACAAACACCACCCTAAATTACTAACCATACAGATCTATATTCAGTTTTCTCTTTTGTGAAAACTTAAACATTAATCAAATTTAAAGTCAGTTTAATCGCTCCAGATGGGGTATACATGTATCAGGTTTCGAAATCAGTAAATTCATCTTTTTTTTCCAAAATCGAATAAAAAGGGGAGAAAAGCTACAGTACAGTAGCAATTAACATTTTCTAAATTTTGACATTTAAAATTAACCAATTATACAACCATCATCATCATTGATAATTGTGGAGTTAAAATTATTAATTCATATTTGTTATTAAACAATTATACGCCTTGGGCTTATCTTTGAGATGGACATACGTACGAACGCCCTGTTCTTATATAAAGAACTGTTTGGTGATTTTTTTTATTGAACTAGCTCTCAGTATATAGATATTCTTTCCCTCTCTCTTTCTTTCTTTCTTTCTTTCTTTCTTTCTTCCTTCCTTCCTTCCTTCCTTCCTTCCTTCCTTCCTTCCTTCCTTCCTTTCTTTCTTTCTTTCTTTCTTAAGACATTTTTTTTGCATCTACATTAGTAACGCAGTTAGGGATATTTATTGCATAATTTGACCTCCTTTCGGTAATTTACATGTATTTTAAGTGCCGTTTGCAATGTGCAAATTACTTTCCTTGTTCTATTGACAATGTTTTACTTTTAAATACATTTTTTTAAATAGTGAATTTGGAGGCATAGCGTTACTGACTCAATATCTAACCCTTACACCTCTTAATTTGTATAATGGATTTTCCCTACTTTGATTTTGGAACTATCCATTGTTATTTTTAAGGGACTTTAATATCAAAAGGCTAAAACTGAGCAGCATCAAGAGCATGAGCAGACGAGCACGGATGAGCAGACGAGCACGGATGAGCAGGTGGCCAGGTATAGGCAAAGCGCAATCACCACTTCAGTAACATCCAAATCCCCTTTTCCAAATTTAGTCGTAACATATTTTAGTTTCCATCCAGCTATATAAAGAATTATTAATTTGAATTATCAATTGTCACGTGACTTTCTTAAAACGCTCGCGAGGGATTATTCTCTTATAGAAAAGAAAATTTTAATAACTGCAAAGATTAATTTATGTATATCCACTTTGTCGGATTACCAAAAGAGAGACTCTCTAAAAATTTAATCCAAAATCGAGAGTTTAACGTTAAATATCGAAACCATTTGTTTTCTAATGTTTTAGCGGCGTGTCACGGGTTAACACTAAACATCAAAAAACAGATCGGCTTCAGTTATAATTTTTTCTATGAAAATTTAGATGTAAAAAGGGGGTAGTAAAACACATTCATTGAAAGGTTTAACAATGCATTATAATCGAATTTATTTCAGAATGGGATAAAAACGGAGTTATTAAGTTTCATACATACATACATACGGATTATAGCGAAATATTGAAAAGGTAAATACTTAAATTATTTTCGATTTTCTTTTCAAAGATATGAAAAATGTTAAATGTTCTCTTTTTTGTTATTGAGTTAATTTTATTGTTATCTCAGGCGTTTGATATAAAATATTATGATTATTATATAATGTATTATACAATTATTGACTAGTGAGCCATTGAATATGATGTGATATCCATCGGCTGATGGCATATTGACCGAGACGATATAATAATATAATTTATTATTGAAAAGAAAACAACATAAAAAACAACAAAAAATCACGAAAACAACAAAAAACAACAACAAATGTTTTCATAGAAGAAAACTGTATGAGTCATGACAACGTTTAACAACAATGACGACGATGATGATGGTGATGATGAATATAATGATGATACCGACGATGATGATGTTTCCGATGCTGATGATTTTCCGATAATGATGATTATTTTCTGATGATGATGATGATGAAAATTGAGTTAACCAATACCGCTGTTGTACGGGTATAAAGAAAAAATTTTTTTTATGTCTTATAAACTGATTCTATTACCCGCTGTATTCCTGAATTAAACTGTCAATTCTGTTTGTTTTTTTTTTCCTTCAAAGTTACCATTTTTAAAAATATAAAATACAAGTTTAGAAGTAAATATGTATAATGAAATGCTAAATCATAATTAAAGATAACTGCTTTGTACTACATGTATTTTAAACATGTTTATAATACTTGTTTCTTTCTATACTTCAACGTGTACTGCACAGTCATTTAAACAGCCCGCTATCAGAAATTTTTCAAAAAAGGGTACTATTGTTTCAGGTATGTTTTAATGGACAATGATTACAAAACAAAATCATTCAAAAGTGTTTAAATGGTTTTTAAGAGGCATTTGTTTACTTGAAAACGGTTAATTGGTGATGAGCCAAAGGCAACTCGGTTCTTTGTATACTTAGAGACGAGCAAATCAATGTATCTTTTTAACAAAAAGAAATAAATCGTCTTTTAAAAAGCAGTAATATTTCCTTTAAAAAATACTGGAATATATAATGTATTTGTTTTAAATGGCAACACAAAATTGTCGGATTCAATTTTTTTCACTACACTTGGCTTATTAAATTTAAAAAATGGTAAATATTTTTTTTATATATACTTTTCCGTAATGGCTCAGAATATGTGTAATGTTTTCAGGGTACTATAATTATATTGCATTAGTAGAATTTAAAGCATAAATGATTTGGCTTTAGATTGATTGGGATTATTGAATTATTTTAAAACTCATGTAGATCTACATTGAAATAATAATGGCTGTATATATATACATTTACACCACAACTTTCGTCTGAAACCTATTGCTTATGATTATTCCTTCTTCGTGTGCATTTGATATCTAATAATTTGAATCAATAAAGAATTTTATTATGCGTTTTACGTTCTTTGAGCTACAAATGAATACAAAACAGTATGTATGTCTGTACCTATTTTTTGTTGAAAGTGACATGCTTCTTCTTTGAGACTCCGCAATGATACCTGCTTGATTGAAATTTAAATAAGAATCAAATTACACATATAGGAATTAATGTAATTTATTAACCGAACAATTCATTTTTCATTGCATAATGAAATAAAGATTAAAAGAAATTTCGTTAACTATTTAGATTTTGAAAAGTGAGGAATTGTATACTTTGTAAATGTCACAAAGACCTTGTGATGTACATATCAATTTTCAAAATCAATAACACATTCATTACAAATCGATCGATTAAACTGATAACCTTTTTTTATTTTACGCTTAATTTCAAATGCGTTATTAACGTTTTATACACTTAGTACTGGGGAAATATTTTTTTAGAAAGGGAAGCGTCTTTCAAACTCACAACATTGCTTCAATTTTTTTGTTACACAAATCTTGAGGTTTGCGGGTTTAACTGTAATATTAATACGTGTACATGAATATTATTTTTGCTCGAATTCAGCGGAAATTGGCCACAGATTTAGAGAATTGATTTTCTAAAGCACGGAAATGATGCAATAGACTTGTATTTTGAGACCAACTCACCTTGTAAAGTGCGAAGTTTCTCGTTCGTTTTAAGTGCTTTAAATCAATACCGATTAATTCATACAATCGTAAAACCGATGTTTTAAAACAATCAAAAGAAAGGTTATCTTCTGTTGTATTTTAATCTAGGATTAAACCGAGCGCGTTATTAACTTTTAATCTACTGAATCAGGTTGTAAAACAACGTAACATATGGGTCAATTTCGTAAGAGATTAAATTTCACATTTACTCGGGCTTATTGCCGGCTGGACATGGATAAGACGGCACATACTGTTTTGGCGCCAAAACACTAACGTTTTTTATTCAAATTATGTATATCTAAATAAAAGAAACTTTAAAAAAAAACAATACATCATTCCATTCGTTATCATGCTCGCATATTCATATAATCATGATAATGTTGCTTGCTTATGTACAGAATCATGTGGGTTCGGTCTAACATTTTTTTATCGCGGTAACGCAGATTGCACAGAGCGTATTTCCGGTTTACATCTTAATATATACCGCCAAATTGGCCAATGAGGACTGGTATTACATTCTGAGAGGCCGTGCTCTCTGATAATACGAAAAGATATTTAGATGTAGAAAAAAACATTTAAATTTCAAAAAGCCGTTACAGGATCGGACATATGCGGCGCAATCTGCGCTCTTAGACCCGAGTTCCCATGAGTGAAATTTTATCACCATTTGTCTTTAACAACTTATTTGAATATTAGACAGTGTTTCCATGGTAATTTTTATCCATCTGTGCCTTTCATCATGATATCTCATTTATCAAATTACTGATTTGGAACTATCAAATAATTTTTGTACAATTTCGCAAAATTATATGCAATGTATAGTTATAGTTCGCGATTTAGGCCGTGCTAAATAATGGAGGCAATTGTGCGCAATGCGCGCGCTGATATGATTTTTCGCCGGATCTTGATTTATAATATTAATCACGTGTTGAATTGGATTCATTAGAAGTTTTCAACATGAAAGCTGATCCTTTTAATCAGATCAAATATGGAAACGTCATTTAACAATTCCCCCTTGCACTCTTAATACGGTTCAGTCTGACCCTCGAACTTTGTTTAAACCGGGTGATTAAGCTACATGTATATATATATATAGACTTACATTGTATTTCAAAATTAATTTGTCACCTAAATAAGTTATAATTTCCATCTTGTTAAACCTGTCGTATTGACTGTTCTTTATCTACTAGCCAGTGTATATTAGTATTTATTCAATGCCTTTTACGGTTATTAGTTCAAGATGTATACCTATTTGTCCTGTTTGCGTAAACCTTTGGACGGCTGGACAAAGGCTATTCTAACTAATAAAGATAATATACATACGTCGCTTTGAGATAAAAGTTTATTTACTCAAAATTACATACTTCAGTTTATTAGGTTTATTTATTTGAAAGAAAATTCGCCAAAATTCGGGCTCATTTTGTTTAATTTGACGCCACTTTTGATGTGAAGAAAGGTTACCCAGACACTAAGACTACTTTCCAATACCTTAAATTGAAAACAGAAATATTTCTAAACAAAGTTAGTGTCTTAATTAATTCCAATATAAACCAGTGAGAATTTTCTTTTTTTAAGTAATAATATATCCATACCTCTAATAATGCCTCTGCTCTCTATAATTCGGTAAACAACGCTACTTTATATGCCTTACCCAATCCCTTTTTGTCTAAACAACAACAATAATATGTATATGTAATATCTCAAGTTTGTTTACAAGAAAAGAACCAGTCTTATTTACCTTTATAACAATGATACAAAACCAGTTAAGTTTATATAAAAAAAGTCATATTTGTATACAACTAGTCACATCTTTATACAACCAGTGACATTTGAATACGCAACATATTACATATGCAACAACCCATTATTGCATTCAGCATTTTATATCTTTAATCAAGTAGCCTCCTTTGATTATGTACAGCCAATCATATTTGTATATAACAAATCATTTAAAAGAAAGTTTTTTTTACTTCCCCCACCCAACAACAACAACAACATCAACAACAACAACATCATCATCAGCAGCAGCAACAACATCATCATCATCATCATCAACAATAACAACAACAACAATAACAACAACAACAACAACAACAAACAACAACAACATTAACAAAAATGATTATAAAATAAAAATTTTAAAAAAATAAAAAAGCCACCACTTTGTTAATGTTAAGTGGTGACTTTTTTGTTTACCAGGGCAACGAAGACTTTCAGATTCGAGAGGATGTTCCTCAGATTATGGCACCGCCGATCTTCCATAGTTTAGTTTCCTTTATATACTGCAAGCTTCGCAGTAAATGTATCATAAACGTACGGTACATTGTGATACATTCAGATTTTCATTTGATAATAGGTTAAAGTTATGGATAATAAAAAAACGAAATGTGACCTAACAATTAAAACTTTTTAAAACTGCGTTTTTAAATACCTGCCTGTAAGGTCTTTTAAACCTTTAAGAGGCTTTTAAGTTAGTTAATGTTTAATACAAACAAATCAGGAACAATCCAAATAAATATAAGTAATTTAGTTAAATGGTCCCAATAAAGATCCAATAATATAAAGCTTCTTTTAGGAATGTTTATTTATCTTTGGAAAATTGAACAAATAAATGTCAGGTATTTTGACCAACATTTCAACAATAGTTTTCGCATAATTTCAATCAAGAAGGCAATAAAAGTGATTCGAACCCCATATTTATGACATTACGAGATTAAGAATATATTCCGAATGAAAAGTCTAAAAAGCAATATATTCACAGAATATCGGATTTTGGTTTTTCGGATTATGATTTTTAACTTTTCGTTTAAATAATATAAACGTATCTTTTTATTACTACATGTGTCTGTTTAATTGTTCGGCGAATTAAAAAAAATAAGTGTGCAGCCTTTAAGTTGTAAGAACTGTCTTTTGAGAAATTTAGATTTTTGAACTTATACATGTATGTAGGAAACTTTAATTTTAAATAAAACACAATGTGATTTCTAAATTAGATAAGGAATTGAAAAGAAAAGAATGAAAAAAAGGAAGTAATAAAGGCAATGAAAGGGGCTTGATTCAATTTTTTAAGATGTATGGAAAAAGAATGTCACTTATACACATAAAATAAAAAAACCAAACAACAACAACAATGAAACTTCATCATTGATAACAAATTTATTGTGAAGTTCAATTCATTATTAAAATGCGAACATATGTGAGATAAGGTTAACGTGGACTCATTTAACAATGTTACGTTGTGTTAATTTTGAAATTAGGAAAACTTGTTCTACTTTGACAAAAATTTAAACCAAAAGAAAAACATTCAGTTATGTGCAAAGAAGGTGGGATAACTTAAATTTCATGTATGTGGTAATTAGGAAATAGAAATAAAAAAATAAAAATGAACATAGTGACCGCCGTAAAATGTGACTGGAACATCCGGCAAAAAAAGGTATCATCAGTTGTCTTATTATTTCAAACACATAAATCATCATCATCGTCAGTGTCGTCATCATCATCAATATCCTCCTCCTCCTCCTCCTCCGCATCATCATCGGTTCCGTCGTCGTCAGCATCACCATCGTCATTATCACAATCAGATTCAGTGTTATCTTGGTCGTTACCACAGTCATCATCATCATCGTCGTCGTTATCATCATCATCATCAATATCTTCATCCTCCTCCTCCTCCTCATCGGTTCTGTCGTCGTTAGCATCACCATCGTCATTATCACAATCAGGTTCAGTGTCATCTTCGTCGACGACTAGGTCGTTACCACAGTAACCAGCATCATCATCTCCATTATCATGTTCATCACCACCTTAGTTGTTATCGCTATGTTCGATATCATTCTATCGTCATTATCATCATCATCATCATCATCGACATCACTATGGTCATCTTCATAATCGTCGCAACCGAAGTTAGCGTAATCATCATCATCATTATTATCACCATTATCATAATCATCAAAAACGTGTTCTTATTTGTTCATTTCTACTAAACAATATACAGACCTGCATAGACCGGAATATCTAGCTCGAGGTCAACTCTTACAGCGGTTCGCAAAACAATTGCTTGAGAGCTAGATATGTCAGTCTGTGGCGACAGCCAACGGATGGGGAAGTGGGGTGGGGTTGGTTGAGGTGTAAGATGAGTTTTTTTCTATTTTACATCACAAGTGGAAACACTGGTAAATCTTAAATTACCCAGTTATTTCATTCCGATCTAATATTATTATAATGATTTTAAGTCTACTTTTAATTTTTTTTCTGAACGTTTCATCAAACTTTTGACAAATAGCCGTATTATCACTACGTTTTTTAAGAGCTTAACTTTGACCAAGATATAAAAATGTAACTCGGGTACTCGGGTTGTTTAATTATTTCAGTCTCTGTTAAGACCTTTTCTAAGAAACCTTGGTAAAAATAATGAAATAGACAACTTTGGGTTAACTAACGTCTTGTAATTTATTTTTCAGAGTTGGGCACGTGAGTACAAAAACACCATGCCGGCCTGTGTCCCAGTAAACAACAATAATGTTGGAGACATCAATGGCTCCGCAAAGCCCCCGGTGCAGTCGGATTCTAAACTCAGTAAAATTGTAAGTTTTCGTATGTATATCCATATGAGGAATGTTTCAATTAAAATAAGAAATTAAAAATTAAACAACAACAATGTTGTTTCGCGTTCTCTTGAGATGCAGATCAAGCGTGTGACCTCTTCATAATAAAAAATATGTATTATTATACCTTCTTTAAACTAGCCCAAACATATTTATTTTAGCTAGATTGCAAAACAAGTTCTTGTAACTTATTAATAATCACTTTCGAGTCCGCTTCCTGGAACTAACTAGCACTGGTGTCATATGAGGAAACTCGTGACCCAAGTATTGCTCGAACCCGTGATCCCTGGATGAGAGGCAGCGCGCCTTCACCACAACCCCACAACTCTCCCATTGTTTGTTAGTATATGAGTCGAGAATTACGAAAACGGAATATATTTGTGTTTAAAGTTTAACGCACAATTGATTTGTATGCAGAACTACTTTAAGTTTACGTTAAAATATCTGATAAAACAAGTTTTTGAAACTTATACATATTATGTATAAAATAAATTTCGGAACCCTACCTGATACAAACCAGTACTGGACAAGGAGACAACCACTCAACCACGTGACCACTTATAACTATTTGCTTTCCAGATTTCATGTCTGTTTCTGAGGAAGAAAACGGATGTTGTGGACATGACAAAAGAGTCGTCTGCCGCAGCCAAGAAACAGAAACTCTCCGTGGACCGGTCAGAGAGATCACGGTAAATGTTCACCATTGGTAATTTCCGTGAAATCACTTGGTCTTGCTTACTTCTTATGGTTATGGAAGTTGCATGCACATGTCATGCACAAAAGTGCTAGTTGCATTAATTTGACCTAAAATATGTTTAATCTTGTTATTCATGTAATATAATATCAAGATACATGTATTAAAAAATTAATAAGAAAAAAAAAATTTTGTTATATTGTCTACAACAATATTACAATTTTTTATCTATTTTTTTTTTTGATATATTGATATTATATTACATGAATAACAAGATTAAACATATTTTAGGTCAAATCAATGCGACTAGCACCTTTGGTCATGCACACATGACCTTCTTAATTTACCTGTTTTCTTGAAATTCGTAAAAAATATATTAAAGGATACTAACTATGTTAGACCAAGTATGTTTAAATTTATTGAATTGTTAAATTGTAATAATAAGAAAATAGTGTGTAACTTGGCTTACTATATCAGAGATGCTATGGCTAATAGAACATCCATGTCTTATAATATGTAATAATGAATGGTTAATCCTCTATGTAGGAAGTAAATAGAATATTTCATGTTGTATTCTTTATCTATATTTTCATTGTTAACAGTATGTATGTTAAGATCTATAGCTATATTTATGTACATTAAATGTCATGCGACTATTGTATAATATATTTAAATTGTACAAATTGTAAGATGATGTACCATGTACAAATCTTGAATAAAATTTCTGTTCTGTTCTTTATCTTAGACGAAAAAGATTTTTTGCTACATCTGGCTACATAAATCTAGTCAAAATTTATAGGTTTTTTTGACAGTTTATTCATTTACTTGACCATTTTCTGTTTGTTTATTAATTAATTAATTATGTTTTTAATTAATTAATTAATTAATTAATTAATTATGTTTTTAATTAATTAATTAATTAATTAATTAATTAATTGATTTATTCATTCATTTATTTATTATTTATGTTTGAAGTCAGTTCAGTATGGCGAATATTGAGATCACGTGGTCTCAGCAAGAGAGATACGGCAACATGTTAAGTCTATTTATAGACTGTGGTATTGTATTTTTTGGTTTTATATTTGCAGACGAGTGTTAAAGATGGAGAGCATGCGCACAGCACCGAAGACACGTGACAAGTCTGATCCCGAAACACGAACCCAACAAGGACAGAACCAGATGTTCCTGCCGTCAGAAAACCCCACTGGTGAGAATCTAACAATATCACTGTTGTACAGCGTCCACCGGAAATATCCCCTCAAACACCGAAAACGAAAATAAAAAGGTGTACGTCGAGTTCACCCGAGATAATGTTTCAACTTAATTCCCCATCACAACTTAATCGATTTTTCAAGACTGAACATCGCTCGCAAATGTCAACAAATACACTACAATTTATCGCCAATTTAACAAAAAGTATTTAATTTGCAGAAAAAGGCTAATATGGTGCTCTGAAACCAGACATAATTAGCTTCACAAAATTGTTTGGTAGTTTGGAAAAATCGATTAAGATATGATGGAGAAATAAGTTGAAACATTAACTCGGGTGAACTTGACGTACACCTTTTCACTTTCGTTTTCGACGTTTTGAACGGCTATTTCCGGTGGACGGTCTACAACAGTGAATATATAGTCGTTCATGTATGCCTCTCTACCTCCAGTCTAAATGAAAGCCACATATATAAAATGACTCCAAATAAATACTCCAATTAGTTTAATGCATATTCTTACCACCAGTAATGAAAGGCCGCCCTTTTAATTTAATTGAGACCATTTTACTTATTTTCCCAAACTGGGTTTTGTAGATACATACCTTAACATACCTTCATACTAAAGTGTGATTTTTATTTGATAATGAATTGCCTGACACATAAAACAAATTTTTTTCAGTAAATGACTTCAAAGAGGATTACACCCTGTTTACAGTGAACATTTATCTGCTATTCACACTTCTGCTACATACTTTTTTTAAAACGAAATATCAAAGTAAAAAGTGATCTTAGAGAGTAAGGAAATATTTCAACAAGATATTTAAATGTTATTCTCTTTAAAATTGACTCAAATATTTGTAATCTTAAAACTTCATGCCAGAAGTTTATAAAAAAAACCTGCTTATTTGTACAGCTGGGTCAACAAATTTTGTTTAAAAAATCAGACAGGACTGGTGTGTCCGACCGAGGCCGAGTTGTTTATGTTTACTGACTTCAAATCACTGTCTTGCACTGAACTGCTGTGAATTTGAAAACCACCAGGGACTTTTGATTCTTTCGTGTGGAAAACCTATCTTGCTAGTTTTTAAATTATCGTTGGTTCTCTGTAGGTGCAACATTTTGCCTGAAATAATGCACTAGCCAAAGATTTCATAGACTTCTATATTTTTGCAAAACATAGGGATAATATTGAACATACAGGAAAATATAAGAAATTATTTCAAATAACATGTTCATGATATTTAACTGAAAAGTAGCTTCCGCAATGTAATCTTTCAAATTAAATGATATATTGGACATGACGCAATGTATTCTAAATAATCAAAACATTGCTATAAACCGCGAATGATCCGAGTTTTTTTTAGCGCAAGTGATTATTAATAAACATATATTGCCAAAAAATACAACTGCTTCGTACCATATTTTATTTTCAACTGAGTCGTATCATTTCTTACATATTATTATTTTCTTAGAAAAATAAACATCTCTTTTTAATGAAATTTTAGTAAATGATGCAAATTATATTTTGAAGTTTATGGTAAACTCTGAAATGAGTATATAATTGATTTGAAGGAAAAACGATCTATAACAAGTAGTATATATGAACTGCGTGGTATCCAAATAAAAATTCTGGCCCGCTTCGAGTTGCAAGCTATAACTTTTGTTGTACAAAATAGTTGAACAAGCAACATAAACCGAACGAAGCAGAAACTAGTGGAGCGTGCATATAGATTTATCTGGTTTTCAGTCATTTCCAACAAAAAGAGTTATAAACAAAAACATACCTTTTTCGTTCCAAGATGGCGGCGTTTTTCCCTACTTTGAAACTTACATCCATTAGGTGATACTAGTAATTTTGATTCAGGGAACGCCCGTAAAACATTTTCCGTATTTTCTAGTGATTTGTGTTAACAGGCACTCAATTACTATAAACAATATTACTTCTATACTTAGTAGCTGTTTTGTAGTTGCCTTATTAACGCTGAACCATTATATATCTTGTTCGTGTAAGTTTTGTTACCTTTCTGATCATTAATACCATTTCAGCATCATTTCTGTCATACCTGAACCCTTCCGTTAGACGAGCATGCTCTGAGGTTATCCGGACCAACAGCGAACAATCTAAAAACAACCTAGGGCGGGAAGCATTTACGGAAAGCAGACGAAAAATCCACACGCGGAATACAAACTACCGCGGACAACAGGCGTCGGAAAATGGCAGCTTAAAAAAGGGAAGCAAGAATCATAATAGTAAACCGCCTAAACCACCCGACCGTAACAACAGTGTTAACAGGAAACCGATCGTTGTCCCTGGAATTATGTCCCAGTCTGACGAAGACATTGGTTATGATTCGGATAACGAAATAAGCGACCTTCAAGATGAAATGCGGCGCATGAACTTAAGTCAACCGGACTTACGAAGAAGGACATCAAATGGCAAATCTAGGAAACGCGAGGGTATATCATTTTGTATATAGTTACATTTATATCTTATTCTACATTATTCATAATAGAAGCCCATAAACCTATAAAAAAAATTCAACAACAACAACTAAATGGCAACTATTTATATTTATTATTAAATTATGAAAACATTCAGCAAAGACGATTCAAAGCTCCTTCAAGTTGTCAGTTACTCATCAACTTTGATCGATTTTTTTAACGATTACCTTCCAATATTTATAAGCTTGCTTTAATCTTATACCATTTTTGGCATTCCAACAAAACGAAAAAAAAGCTGTTCTTTTTTATAAGAAGATTAATAACGACTTAGATTTAGGAATTTAAATTGATTTTAACCACTGCCGTTACAATATTTTAAATATGCTTAAAAGGTATCATTTATAACCTTGCACATGTAAAACATTTCACAGGTGAACAATCGGACGGATCGTGGTCTAACGAAGGTATAGTGCTAAACCCCTACCTTCCACATGATCATAACACGTTATCCTAAATTAAGAGTTGTATTTATAGATACCGAACTTACTATTAATTTTGGAAGAGGTCCTGACCTGCATGTTAAACCCAAATAGTATCCTAGTCCATCGTGTCTACATTCTTCCTTAACTGAATTCTTGTGGTCAAATCTATATACATGTATACTGTATCTCCAATTAGTGCTTACTCCTATAAATGTTTCGCCAGCTGTTAATTTGAAAGTCTATGTCATTGATAATCAGTAAACTAGCTAACTACTTCATGGCCTATCCACAAATTGCAACGATTCCAATGTCATTGATTAGATATTGTGCCAGTAACATCGTATTCATTACAAAGCTTTTACATATATGAGCACATATGCTATTTATATTATTTTCAAATGTACTACTATTCAATAGCAACATGTTCATGTGTCACTTTAGCATCAACGTCCATTTTTGTGGCTCATATGTTTCTTTCTATTTTAGTGGTAATATTTACTTATCTACAAGAACATAATTCCAGAAAAATCATGAAACATTAATGAAGTAATCAAATACCACCAACGCAAAACTAAAAGAGAAAGAAGATAATAAATACAGCATTTTGTTAAAAAATATCTAACTAGATAAGGTTTAAACAAAATTTTAAGATATTGTTTTCAATTATGTTAAGCTTTTTATTTACTAACTTCAGGCTCAATATCTCTTTCTGAAGGAAGCGAAGATGATGAACCGGAACAAATCTCACCGGAAGAGAGACAGCGTCCCCAGAATCCTTCACCAAGTCAGAAACGGACAGACCCAAAACCTTTAGTTTCTAAGCAACCCTCGATGGAAGAAGTTATTGATGATATGTTTGACCAGACTGCACAAAACATTGATACAATCTATAAAAATGGTATTGAAAGTATGGATTTAGAAACGTATCGTTCAGATACCATGACCCCAGATACTTATATGAAAAAGATTGAAGAGGACCTCTTAAAGTCACAAGCTGACGAACATTCAAAAGAGGAACCAATTCAAAACAAGCACATAATAAAGAAGAACGAGTTAAAAGAAGCCGAGAACGAGCGCCAACAAGTTCACAGCTATAAAAAGAATGACGACGCTAAACCACATTTAGATAATCTCTTGACGGAAGTTTCAATTTGGGCGCAAGACCGACAAAGGTGGCTTCTTGAGGACGGAGATAATGCTGCCGGAAAAGAGCTAAGCACCCGTGAAAGCACGGTAAACAGTATGACGACTGATGGACGTATCATTGAACAAGTGACAAAAACTAATAAAGATAAATGTAATGAGTGGGTAACTGACAAATCAAACCCCGAATCAGCTAATAAAATAATTGCTGAAACAAAAGCAAATGGAATTCTTACAGGTCCAAAATTGTTCAGGTCGTCGTCAAGAAATCAAAGTTCACCTCGTTTTGAAATAAGTGACAAGAACCGAAGTACTCCTGAAAAACAACCAGAATCCGGTTCGCGTGATAATGTTTTACAAATCATTGATATCGGTAGAGAAACTGAAGATCTGAAAGAATTGCCAGTCTCCGACACCACAGGTCTTTATCCTGAGCCATGGACATCTGATATGTATACAAATACAGCAAAAGGCGACCAGGAAGATAGGTCGACAATTAATGACAATCTGTCAGAACTGGACCAACAATATCATTTCAGGGCTAGAAGCCCGGACAGCTGGCTAAGTAGTAATGGTTCTTGTTCAAACGTACTGAATAAAAGCGAGTTGGTTGCTGCCGACAGAAATGAAGGTTTTGAAATGACCCCAACTCCAACTAGACAAATTGAAACTCCTGTGAAAATCACTGCGACAAATGCAGGAAAGTCTCATCAAATTATGAGGTTGTCGCCTAAAGTCCATGCTCCTTTCAGAGGATTGGATAGGCAGGTAACTCCAATGCCAGTCGAGCCAAATCCAATCCCTATGAAACCAATTTTGCGAAACACGCAATTAAAACCTTTGGCTGTTTTACGTGCTGCCAAGCAGCGGAATATGATTGATACTTTCCCTGTATTGCCAGGTTATAAAAGTAGCATCAGTAGCATGCCCAGCGATGGAAACCCAGCAGCATATAATTCAAGGCCGTTTTCTGAAATCCCGCTCCGGACTGAATTTTCGGACGGTGATAGAAACAGCAGTTTGCTTGTACATTCATCAAGTGCTAGAGAATCACGTGATAAACTTGAATACAGTATCTCTCAGACATCATTACGGCCAGTTTCTGAGACTATTCCACAGAAAAGAATTGATAAAATTGGAGTAGGGCCAATCATGGCAACCAAGGAGAAGCAGATGTACGCCCGTGACGTCATGAATGCCATGGAAAAACATCGCATGCAGCCGCAGACTGGCGCCTTTCAGGAAAATCAACCGGCATCTTCAAGTGAACCATTGATAGAATACGATGATGAGAAAGAAAAGGAAGGCGGGAGGAAACGGCATAAGGTTTTTACAAATAATTTAATGACAGGTGGTTATAGTTACGACAAACACAGCAGAAGAAAACCGTCAGATAAACAACCGGATGTAAAGCCACCAGAAACAGGAGATAGCGTTAATTTTAGCCCGACAGAGGCGCCAAGATCTAAAAACCCTGCCACAAGAAGTATTAATAGCCTTTCATTTAGTATGGGTGAAAATTCAGGTAAAACAAACTCACCGCGTCGTGGTGAGAGCTATAGTCAAATCCATTCTGTGGCAAACGAAAACTTTTTTGATTTTCAAGCTAGTCCAAGGCGTTCTAACGTTAGTCATTCATTCAGTACAGGTGCCTCCGAAGGAGCAGAAAACAAGCGTGGGAACAAAAGCCAGTCTTTCCAAAACAAATATACAGCCGTACAGAGCCATGGCTTAGGAATATCTCCGAGTCATGGTCTTGGGTTACAGACGTCAACAAACGGAGCTCAGTCTCAAACGGCAAATAAATTTCGTAAAATGAGGAGCAGGCGAGATCAAGAAATGGATTGGTTAATGAGAGACGCAGCGGAAACGGAAGTATGATCAGTTCTATTTTTAGGATGATTTGTTATGAACCTATACAAAGATAGATTATCGGATAAATACAAGTTTCAGCCATTGGCGAGTATCACCGCGGCAGACTATGAAATTTGGATACATTACTCCACACTGTCTTCAAAATAGCACACATCAAACATAATACAATGTTGTCCAACATCCGATGATTCTTCAGAAGTATTGGAATTAAATAACGCAAATAAGATGCGTTCATTAAGTCTTTTCAGGTTATGATATTTTGTAAAAATATTAATGACAGTCTAACTTTTCATCTTAATATCCCCAAAATGAATAATGGACATCCAAAAAAAAAAAAAGAAAAAAAAAAGAAAGAAGCTGGACAAGTCCATTTAAGAAATTCGGTAGGTTAAGATTTAAAGATGTTGTTTCTTGGGACATGACATTCTTTCGATAACATTTATATGCTGCAAAAACACGTACAGTGGCGTGCCTTATCCTATAAAAAGAAATACTATTAAATCATATGTTAAAGAAATTATCTGAAATTAACTGAATTATCTTAAAAACAAGAAACTCAATGCTACGCAAGTGTTAACTTAATGTATCTGTTTTATCACTAAGACTTGTTTGAATTTATTGGTTACCGTATTTTGATGTTTCTATATACTAGTATTCTCAAGTACCCGTGTTTTGTTTGTTGCAATTATTTGTTATAATACATATCTTTTATGAAGTGCTTAATAATAAACATGATTGTATATTGTTTTGTAAATTGTAAAGTAATCTTATAAGTTACAATGCTTGTATGTTTACCTAAGTTGAATTAAGCACCAGTTCATCAGTTGTTAAGGTGATTTTGTCAGCCATGTTTGTTTTCACTAAAGTCTGTCCAAAGTGAAAGTAGCAACAAATTCATATAACAACAAAGCTCTTATTGTAAAATGATGAACCATTTGAAAGTACACTTCCAGGTTTATATTTTAAGGACAATTATAAACAAAAATAAATGATAACAATAAGAATATTTACCTTGAATGTGCTACATTTCTGAAGACCAAAAACATTCTGTTGCAAAGTTTTATGCACATTTCATGAATGGCAAAATCCTTTTTAAAGTCTGTTTTAGTGCCAACAAAAGCTACTTTTTGCAGCAAATACAGAAATCTTTCAAAACTTAAATCCAAATAAATCAGCATGTCCTTCTAAGCACATGGCCTCCATTATTTTTTTGTAAAAAAGTAGTGCAAGAAAACAATCATCATTTATAGCCTTATAACTACAATTAAAATGAAAACACAATCAAACTTTAAAATCTAACCTTTTTATGTGTAACAGTGAAGTGTGTCTGTTTGTCATGTACACAAGAAATAGGTAAATGATGTTTATTTTCATGGTACTACTTTTTTACACATATGTCATGGTGGCCATGTTTTTTCAAGGTCAGATAAACAACTTTCCGAAGATTTATGTTTTTTTTTTAAAGTTTTTTGTATTTTCTGCAAAAAATAGCTTTTGTTAGCACTAAAATAGACATTTAACTAGATTTTGCCATTCATGAAATTGTGCATAAAACTTTGGAACAGAATGTTTTTGGTCTTCAGAAATTTAGCCCATTCAAGGTAAATTTTCTTATTGTTACCATTTTTATTTTTGTTTAAAATAGTCTTTCAAACATAGAACTGGAAGTGTACTTGCCAATGGCTCATCATATAACAATGTCATGAATGTGAGCTTTGTTGTTATATGAATTTTGGCCTACTTTCACTTTGGACAGACTTTGTGAAAACAAACATGGCTGACAAAGCGGAATCACCTTAAGTTGTAATACGGAACTCGGCAAATGTGGGTTTTTTTCCAAGCGAATTCCTCGATCAACCTTGTACTGACATTAAGTTTGTATCCAATCTGATCAAAATCAGCTCCTTAATAATTTTTTAGGATCTGACGACGACCAATAGGTTGTCACCTTGTGATCTTTCAAACAGCCAATCATCGGCGAGATTTCACAATTTTGAAAGTGATGCAGTTTCTAATTTTAACCCTGGAAAACCAATATTGAGTAGGTAATGTTCACGTTTTCGAGAACAAACATGGCGTTGTCCTAATAGCCGGCATTTAAACTGGCAAACAATCTTGCCCATTAAAAATGAGTCTATTATTTCCAGTTTATTTGTTTCAAATAACTTCAAACCTTTTTTTCCCCAACAAAATCGACAACTTGTTTCATTTTCACAGACAAATGCTGTGAAGGACGATTTGATTGCATGGCTACAAATAGCTTTCTCGGGAAATCCGAATAACAGCGAAGGCAAAACATCTAAGGTGGAAATCAGATTTACATGTAAGAATAAGTAGATCTGAACTTTAGTCAAACTGCTTTGTACCGTAATAGCTGCACGGTGCACTATTGTTCACATAAATTAGTTTACCCGTTGTGCTTATTTTCAAAGTTGTAACCGCAAAAGTTTATTTTATAAGTCAACCCTAGGAAAAAACATAAAATATCAGATCTGAGTGAATGACCATACGCAATTATCGTCGTAAAATTTATAACCGGGGACAGGGAAAAGCGATATGACATTTTTGGAGTCCAATTGAGCAAACCAGAGGTCAGCCATGACTAAATTTTCAAAACACTTTTTACATGTACATCTTTCTCTTCTTTTTTGACACGGTGATCTGTGACAACTACTTAACGGTATGACAACTTTACTGGTTAAATAACACCCCAAACTACCATACAAACATTATTTCAGACTCGAGCATGCACCTGTGTAAAATATAAACCTACTTCTCAACACCCATGTATATCCATACCTATGTAAAACTACAAACATATAATGTAAAATAGCAAATCTGCATCTATTCGCCTATACCATTTCTATGTACAACTACTAAATCGCATCTATGTAAAACTACAAACCTGTCCCTATGTAAAACTACAAACTTGTCCCTATGTAGAAGTACAAACTTGTCCCTATGTAGAAGTACAAACATGTGCCTATGTAAAACTACAAACCTGTCCCTATGTATAACTACAAACATGTGCCTATGTAAAACTACAAACATGTATCTATGTTAAACTACATGTGCTTATGTAAAACTACAAACCTGTCCCTCTGTAAAACTACAAAGATATGCCTATGAAAAACTAAAAACATGTATCTATGTAAAACTAAAAATATGTGCCTATGTCAAACTACAAACCTGTCCCTATGTAAAACTACAAACCTGTCCCTATGTAAAACTACAAACTTGTCCCTATGTAGAAGTACAAACATGTGCCTATGTAAAACTACAAACCTGTCCCTATGTATAACTACAAACATGTGCCTATGTAAAACTACAAACATGTATCTATGTTAAACTACATGTGCTTATGTAAAACTACAAACCTGTCCCTCTGTAAAACTACAAAGATGTGCCTATGAAAAACTAAAAACATGTATCTATATAAAACTACAAATATGTGCCTATGTAAAACTACAAACATGTATCTATGTAAAACTACAAACATGTGTCTATGTAAAACTACAAACATGTGCCTATGTAAAACTTCAAACATGTATCTATGTAAAACTACAAACATGTATCTATGTATAACTACAAACATGTGTCTATGTAAAACTACAAACATGTATCTATGTATAACTACAAACATGTATCTATGTATAACTACAAACATGTGCCTATGTAAAACTACAAACATGTATCTATGTATAACTACAAACATGTGCCTATATGTAAAACTACAAACATGTGCCTATGTAAAACTTCAAACATGTATCTATGTATAACTACAAACATGTATCTATGTATAACTACAAACATGTGCCTATGTAAAACTACAAACTACTTCTTATGTTTAACTACAAACATGCACCTTTGTATAACTATAAACCTGGACCTATGTTTAACTTAAAACCCGTATCTGTGTAAAACTTCAAACATTTACCTGACCTACATCTTTGTTACAAACCTGAACATATGTTAAACTACAAACCTGAACCTATGGAAAACTACAAACTTGGACCAATGTAAAACTTAGGTAAGACAACAAGCTTGGACCTGTGTAAAACTACAAAACTGCACCTATGTTAAACAATGTAACAACAAATCAGCACCTATGTTTAACTACAAACACGCACATATAGAATTATAAATCTGCACCTATGTTACAAACCTGAGCTTGTGTAAAACTACAATTTTGGAACAATATAAAACTACAAACCTGCACTTATGACTGTAACTAGGTAAGAGAAGCGTGTATCTCTGTAGAACTACATACCTGCACTGTGTAGAGCTAAAATCCTGCATCTATGTAAAGCTACAAACTTGTACCTATTTAAAACTATAAACATGAACTACATGAACTACAAACCTGTAAATTTGTTTAACTACAAACCTGTACCTTTAAAAATACATTCATGCATCTATGTAAAATTAAATTCATGCACCTACACAAAACTACATTCTTGCACATAAGAAAATGTACAATTCTTTTGTAAGCTAGAGGGACAGCTTATTGACATTTAAGAATTGAAAGTCATGGACATGATTCAAACCTACAGGAATATGGGCAAAGTGATTCAAAGCATCATATGACCTTATGTAAGGGTCTAACACCACTAAGAGATAAGATATTATACTATGAAAAATTTGATATAACAATACAAATTTATTTTCTGAACATTTTTTTTTACAAATTAGCACAAAGTTCTGTTCCTCTTAATGAATAGTGCTTTACAAATACATTAAATCATCATAAATATTATACATCTTTTCCAAAATTAAAAAAATAATGTTTCAGAATCAAATTAGTCTAATTCATGTGTTACAGTATTTTCCTTATGTTAAAGACTGAAAATTTCCTGTTATGCAACTATTGGAATATCTGTAAAGACAATATCTAACACAATCATAATAAACACCTGTCCTTCAACAGAAGCACTAATGTATGCATTTGTAAATAAATACAAGTCAAAATGAGATGTACGAGTCACAATTAGTTATAATTTGCACATTAAGAATCCTCGTAGAATTTTGGAAGCTGGTCCCCGGTCAGTACATGTCTCTCTACCCCATCTTTTGTGATACATGCCAGTCTGATAACACCTCCTGAACTCCCATCTCTATTAATGGCCAATGAGATTGCTGGAAACAAAATTATCAAAGTTTTACACAAATGAGAGGCATATCAAGCCTCAGAAATGGATATTTTTTTCTTTCTGTGGAAAAGGCAAATATGTTTTATGATGTTCTAATAATAGTTTTAGAACATGTAAGGTGAACGAATTACCGGTAATAAGAAAATAGTGCCGGAAAATAATTCTAATAAAGGAATCAAAATGTAGAACAAAGAAGTGTTTTGATTTCCATACAACATATCTTATCACTATAACTGCACTAAATGGCAAAAAGCAAAAGATGATTCAACTACATGTATATGTGATTTGTATGACAATATGAAATGTGTGTGTGGGTCGACAAATCTTCAGTCCATAAACCAGTAAACTGCCATGATATGGTTTGGGAGTTGACTCCCTTAGAAGAAAGATGTAATTGTGTTTAGAATGGCTTTTCATGTATTTTATGTTTGTATTTTATGTTTTATATATGTGTATACAAAAAAAAACTATACATGCAAAGATGAGACTTTAATAGAATTAATAATGATAATGGCCAATCAGTAACTTTTTGAAGGCTTGGTACCAAACTTAATAAGCTTTTGAAGAATAAAAATAGCATTTTTTAAGATTAAAGCAACTTCATTGTCAGAGGTCAAAAAGTCTAAAAAACATAAAATTTAAAATTCTACATAGTACAAGTGGAGCACTTAAAATGGAAAAATCTACAAAAGGATAATAAAGAAATATGATCAGAATTAAATTAAAAATCGGCCTGATTTCAGTTAAAAGCATTTTTTGGGTTACTTTGCACAATAACAAGAGCTGTCCGTAAGACAGCGCGCTCGACTTTTTTATTGCTTGCCAATAAAAAAAGTTTTTGCAGTAAAAGGCAATACAAGAATCTCTGTATTTTTAAAGTGAACAATGGCCATGAGCATTAAGATATTTAGTGAAGAATTATTTTACTGAATTGTGTGATACCCTTGAACACTGCAGCAAAGTTTGAAATGTTTAAGTCAAAAGAGGGCTGGTAAGAAAGAAAAAAAAACTGAGTTGAGCCTTAAATAAATTTAATAGTATTAAACAGAATTACCTTCTCCTGGACATGTTTGGGAATCATGATTGTAAACAAGTATTCCAACTTTCAAATTAATATCTCAAACAGTTCAGTCAAAAAGTGGACTGGTACTAAAAACTTAACCAAGATTCTAAGTCGATAAAAGGCCTTAATTTTTAAAACAAATCCTTGACAGAGTTACCTTCTCTTGCGTACAGATGGGGGTAATGATGTGAAATAGCATTAAAAGTTTCAAAGCAATATCTCAAAGGGTTAAGGCAATAAGTGGATTTTACCCATATTCAATGTATTTTCTAAGTCAAAAAGGGGCATAATTCTGTCAAAAACCTTGACAGAGTTATGTCCTCTTGTCTGTTGATGAAGGTCGTGATGGTAAACAAGTATGGTCAGTTTCAAAGCAATACCTCCAATGGTTTTGAAATAAAGTGAGGTGGTACAAAAAACTTAACCAAGCTCAATACACTTTCTAAGTCAAAAAAGGGCCATAATTCTGTCAAAAACCTTGACAGAGTTATGTACTCATGTCTGTAGATGGAGGTTATGATGGTGAACAAGTATGGTAAGTTTTAAAGCCATACTTGTAATACTTCTGAAATAAAGTGGGGTGGTACGAAAAACTTAACCAAGGTGTGACGCCAACGCCGACGCCGACGCCGGGGCGAGTAGGATAGCTCCCCTTTTCATAGAAAAGTCGAGCTAAAAATGATGATCTTGGAAAAACAGGGAGAGGGAATGACCTATAAATTTGCACAAAAATTATTGGTCTAGACAATCATCAAACGGTACACAAATATTGGAAAAATATTTCCAGTCCCGTCAAGTTCAAAAACCTCAGTGGAGCCATTTTTCTTGCATTATAGTATAATAATGTATGGTGAATCATTCAAAAGCTTTGTAATTAATAACTCCGACCTATTAGGCTTCTTTGTTATATTCCTGTGCAATTAAATTCAAACTGTGCATTATTCTAACACGACCCGCATTTTTCCCATTGAACATAGAAGAACCCAAAGTGTGTGTTATTATGCAATAAATTCACTGTTTGACATTTTATATTTAGAAATGTGACATAATCATTATACATGTGACGTAACCACTAAAATGTAACACGCTGAAAATAAGTACGGAAACAAATCACGCGCAATTTAGGTTAGTATCAGGTACGGCAGCATTTATGGGTTGATGTTGTGTTAGAATCGAAATAATATATCCAATTTGGTGATTTTATCGCTTGATAACATCACTTTTTGTCGTTCGGATGCACATCATTATATCACTTGGGCTACGCCCTCGTGATATAATTCATCGCATCCGAACTTCAAACAGTGATATTACTGAGTGATAAAATCACAGTTTGGGATATATTATTTCTTAAACAATGCACTCAAAATCCATTTATTTCCATAAAGTCATTATAACATACTATTATAGAACATCAACAATTAACATAAATCACATTTCAAGAGAGTCTTAATATAGTAACATATACAAACCATTAGCGATAAATTTCAGACATTCATCTTTGCCCATTCCTGGTTTATAATTAGCATCCACGTAACCATAGAGATAGGTACTTCCTGATCCACCAATCGCCACTGGCATTCTTGTCCACATTCCACCGAGTGGTATTGTGTAAACCTACAAAAATATTAAATTGTTATACAAATTGTAGAATAAGTTATACAAGAATATCTTAATTGTCTCTCACAATGTTTAGAACAAGGCCTTACTTACAAATTTCAAAAATTCAAAGAGCCCTAGACCTATTAACAAAAAGATTGGGGAAAAACACTGCAAATGTATACATGTATATGTTAATTTCAAACATCATTCATAATAACAAAAAGGGTTGGATCAAAAGTTATTTCAAAATTATCAAAGAATAAGCTATTTTTCAATCTTAATAGCTTATACAAGTGTCTAATGAATTAAATCATTCCTTAAACTGATTATCATACGTGATACCATAAAAAAAATTTTTCCTGATGTATAAGATAAAGCATCCATACCTGTCCACCATTGCGTTTATCCCATCCCGCCACTAGTATACCAGCGGATAAACTGTCACGATTATTGTAACACAAATTTCTGAATGTACTGGCGGCAGTCTTCACCAATGGTTCCTCGCCCCTCTCCATTCTATAAATAAACAATACTCGGTTTACCTTGGTCTATATTGAAACATAATAATATGGACACATTTTTGCTTAAATTTATAGTTTATACTTTAAATCAAAATTAACAGTCTCCAGCAGAAGGGGGGAGGCATTAAAACAAATAAGTAATGACTTAGACTTACTTGTAAAAGTTAAGGTGGTAGTTAACAATATCCGCAACAGCCTGGGTGTCGGCAGCCGATCCTGATCGACAACAATAGATGTAATCTGTTACCTTTGTAAGCTTGTCTGTCACACGATTAGCAATATATGCTCTAAAAATACAATATATGCTCTAAAAATACATACAAGTTTTCATTCGTTTTATTTTATTGTTAGGCATTTAAAATATTCAACCTTTGGCCTAATTTTTCACTTTTTCATCAAACAAAAGGACAATTTTAAGACTTTAAAAAAAAGTTCTATGGTTTGAAGGTCATTTATTTTATACAAATTTGTTCCACTTGACTACAAAAATGTAATGTGAAGAGACATATAAGTTAAAACAACTTTACTCATTTACATTCAATACAGAGCTTATCATACATTTATCAAATCATTTAAGAAATACCCCAGTAACCAGAATTTAATCAAATAAACTGCACAATCTATATGAAAAATGAGAACTTCTAATTAACCCTTACTTTTAAAGTAAAAATTGATTAGCCTTTGCCACTAATATAGAGCAAGGTCAGCCTGTACTCTGGTGCAGTCTGGACGGGCTTTATACTGATACCAGCTCGATATTTGTACTTTGACATTGAAATCCCTTAAACTTTAAATGGACTGTTCCAAATTCAAAGTAGAGCAAATCTATTACATAAATTAAGCGTGTTCATGGTTAAACTATAAATTATAAAACCACTCTTACCCTGAAGTTGTCCTAGAATCTGCACCAATTACAACACCTCCATCAAATTCTATAGCCGCTATTGTTGTCTATAAAGAAAACAATTTGATGTTTAACTATAGTATACAAAAAAGAACTATTTACAATGAAATAGGATTGAAAAAGTTTTTTCTAGTATTAATTGAAACAAGAGCAATCTGTGATCACATGTGTCCCTTAATGATAGCCAATTAAGCAGTTGTATTGAGTGGTGATTGACCAGTTTGTTTCCTACATGTTGCAGTTACTGTGTTTTGTTTGATTTGGGTTTTACGTCACACCAACACAGTATAGGTCATTTGGCGACTTTCCAGCTTTACGTGGAGGAAGACCTCAGGTGCCCCTCCATGCATTTTTTCAGGCACGAATGGGCACCTGAGTAGAACCACCGACGTTCCGTAAGCTAGCTGGATAGCTTCCTCACATGAAAGAAACCAAAGTCCCTGTCGGGATGTGAACCCACATCGGTGAGGGGCTAGTGGTTTGAAGTCAACGACCTTAACCACTCGGCCACGGACACCCCTAATTACTGTGTAACAGGAGACACAATATTAATCATTAACAGGCTAAAACACATTTTTATTCCAGCGCTGTAACTGTTGGCATTGCCAAAATCATATAACTTGAGAGCCCATGAAATATGCTCAAATACTTGAAGTATTGATCAATCTTGAAATTGGATTAGTAGTTAAGAGATGTAGTCTAGATAAAATTTAAAAAAAATTAAAATAATTAAGTAAACAATAAGACAAGTTTGTCACACCTGTAGTTCCACGAAACCACTTTCACCCAGAAACAAAACAATTGTAAAACGACTGCTGGTGTTAGAGCTAGAGGTGCAACCTTGCATCGAAAACCAGTTTTGTTGTAACTAATTTGATATATATGATGTCAACCATAATAATTTTGATTCAATTCACAACCAAAAATCAACATGGAAAAACTATGAGTTTAAGTCAATTTCTGACTACACTTTACTATGTTACATACAATTGGTAATTTAAACTCGGTCATCCAATCAGTGAATCCGTAGTTTTGTAAGCAAAATCAGAATGGCTTCAGAATGGACGGTAGTTTGCACTTTACAGTACCGTCCATGAACAGGCTCAATCAAACCGAGCCTGCAACATTTTCAATTATGTTGTGTTGGACTTTCTTTAGGGATTCTTATTTTCTCTATTTTATCGCCACATCAGCGTTGTTTTTGCTGTGTGGAGGCTGTAAAAAGTTGCCCCATACATTTAATCACAGATGTTATATTTCTGATCCTTAAAGATTGTTCAGCACAACATTATTTTGTGCTTGTGGTATTTTTAGTTCTTTCGATTGGGCTATTTTCTTGTTGGGTGATTCCAGTATTCCTCACTAGAATACTGTTGAATCACCCTTAGCAGAGCAACAGATAAGGTGCGTATTTGCGTATTTACGCAATTAATTTTATAAAATACGCAATTGATTTTTTAACAATGCGTATCAAAACCCATTAAAAAAAATAAAGTACGCAATTGTCTTAAAAACCCGTGCGTATTGTCATTTTCATCACCACAGAATTAATCTGTCGTACGTTAGTAGTTTTGGACAAATTATATCGATGTGCATGCTATCCGAATATTCCCGAATCAATGCTAACTAATCAACGGTCTCCGGTCATCGGTCTCCAAAGACCGACTAAGTCATATCAATTAAGCATGAGACCGTCGATTTTTCTACTCAGGTCGACGGTCTTTACAGACCGGCAGAGACCGTTGATTTTGCGGAAACTGTCAATAAGTAGGTCCCACTTGTATCAATAGACGCTTTGAAAGCAATATGACGTCGTACAAAAAGGAAAGTGATATGAAACAAAAAAATCGTAAATATTAAAAAGTCAGTTAGAAAACGAACTTGTTAAAAGATATTATGAAATATAACATGAGCATTTTATATACTGTATAAGTACTTATTTTGGCGGGGGTTTATATTTGGCTATATTGGCGGTCAGGGTCAGTAGCGCCAATTCAAAACACCGCCAATTTAAAGCACCGCCATTTTAGATCATCGCCATTATTCTTTGAAAGGTAGACAATCATGGTAAAATAACTTTGGTTTGTCCGAGTAATCTCCCTTGATTATTTGTAATAAAAATAAACATTACAAGTAAGCTGAAAAGAATTTGTTTATTTTTAAGTCTTGGTACGAAACTCATTTAATTATATATCTATATACTGTATTTATTACGAAGATGATCACACGACGAGAAACAAATCTAAATGTCATATAAAAATCAGATATGGAATCATGTTACACTTTGTACATTTAATTACTTAAGGAAATTTATAGTCCTGCCTTAGAGAAAGACTCGGCAATGATGTCGGGCTTTGTGGCTAGTTTAGAAACAACCTTGACCAGCCATTGTGCCTATATATACCTATAAATAGCAAAATATTTGTGATATCAGCTCAACAAATTGCTCGTGCTAATGTTATTCCTATTCATTTAAGAAACATCTCTCAAATCACGATACAAATAATAACAAAAATAGTTCATGTTTTTATTAAAATCGTTCAGAATTAGCACGATGTAAAGATAAAGGTGACCAAGCATAGGTATACCGTATGCCGTAAAATAAACGAGGACAGTCAACTACTGCGTGACCGGTGTTATTTTTTTTTTTTTATTCTTTATTAGTAATCGCCAATTCATAAAACATAAAACGTAAAAAATAAAACAACTGTGAAATGTTCTAGTAGATCTAAATTGTTAATCCTAATTCTTTTTTGTTAATCCTAATTTCTTTTCAAAACAGTTTAAATTTTATTGATATTGAAACCATAAAATTCATATTTTCATAATTGAATACCCAATTGATCTTGAAATCATAGGGTGACGAGTTTTGGAATACCCAATTAAATGGAGCCAATACCCAATTCCAAAAGAAATGATGGAGTAATACCCAATTCACTTTTAAAGCTTATCTGTTGCTCTGCCTTAGGATATGTGGCCTGCTTTTTAAATTTGTCTTTTGACGTCTTATCTGTGATACATGTATGCAGGCTTCATAACCTCTGATCCTCTTTCAAAATTCCATTTTATTTAGTTCCGCCCATTGTTTTCTCGTTTAGGGCACACGCATTTTTTTACTTGGGGACCATATGCCGCTTTTCATGGAATGGCACTTACGTGTCACATTGAAGGTTTCATGATAACCGCCATATGAACACATCTGCAGATGTTTCAAAATTATACCAGTTCATTTTAAATGTTGAATTCTGCTTAAGCTGGTGCTAGGGGGCGTGGACGGTAGTTTGCACTTTACAGTACCGTCCATGAACAGGCTCAATCAAACCGAGTCTGCAACATTTTCAATTATGTTGTGTTGGACTTTCTTTAGGGATTCTTATTTTCTCTATTTCAACACTGTTCAAAGTTCAAACAATAAAGAAGAAAAAAAGATGATGATCTAAAAAGATATTGTTCACATTGGAACAGTTATAAATGGTAATAGTTTCAAATAAGTTCAAAAATACAAAACTTAAGCCTTAATGACACGGCCATCTATCTATCTCTGACTGTCGCTTCTCATTCTAGCTTACTGCAACACGACTTACACCAACTTGAACAATGGGAGACAAAATGGGGCATGCAATTTAATCCATCAAAATGCACGGTTATCCAAATCACAAAACGAAAAACAGTCATTCCAACACAATACCTACATTAGAAACAGTTTCGTCTGCAAAATACCTTGGCATTACAATATCAAATGATCTAACATGGAACAAACACATAAACAACATCACAACAAAGGCAAATCAAACACTTGGTTTTCTACGCCGAAACATCAAGGTTCACTCAGAAAGGTTAAAGTCAACTGCATACAAGACACTTGTTAGGCCCCAGCTCGAATATAGCTCCACGGTCTGGTCCCCCTACACAGGAACTCTCATTGACCAGATAGAGTCCGCCAAGAGAAGGGCTGCTAGGTGGGTCAAACATGACTTTGGCCGTATGTCGAGTGTCACTGACATGTTGACTTCCCTTCAATGGAGGCGCCTTGACCTTCGGCGTATTGACCAACGCCTGGTCATGTTTCACAACATCTTGCATGACCAGGTGGCTATCCCTTTCCCAAAATATATCGTCCCTCTTACAAGATCATCAAGAACATCCCATCCCCATGCATTCCAACAAGTCCAAACTAAAACTGATTACTATAAATATTCATTTTTCCCAAGAACAATAGTCCACTGGAATGCTTTACCACCTGATATCATGAACTTGTCTGGCCCAGAGTTCAGTCTGGCTGTAAGCCGGATTGAACATACGTCTCCCTAAAATACCTTCTCTATTTTTAACCTGTTTTTATTTGTTTGGGTCGTCAGACCAAACAAATAATGGTAGCGAAATTTCAGAGTCTAATGCTGTTAATTGCAAATGCCGAAAGTAGTCCACTTTTTTGACGCGGTTACTTCCCTTTATATGTACACTAGTTAACGCCGAAAAATTCAGGGGAGATCACTGCGTAAAGATGGTCAAAGACAGGCACATTAATTTCCAAGCAAAATAATTCCCGAATGGTCGAAGATTTCTAATATTGTTTTATTGTATTTTCTGATCGAAAATAAGTAAATACAAAGCGGACATTCAATCTCTGACACAGAAGTTTACGACAAACCTAACAACAAGTAGTTCTCAAAACAGCTTTAAACTAGCGATTTAAAAGAAAGAAATATTTTTATTTTGTTACAAGTATCCAACAAATTACAACGCATTCAAAGTTTAAAAATAGCGTTGGCTTATAGAATTGTCAATAAATGCACAATCACAAATTACGCGGATGAATATGATTTTATCAATGAAAATACTATTTTTAGCGATGTCGATTACCGAATACTACACAAACCGATATAGATTCTACATGTCGGACTGTTTGAGCGAGAAGATTTTCGCTAAATTATTAACTTCAATTTTAAACAACAGGTTTATCCTGAACAAAATACCTCGAAATTAATAAGGATTATAAACCCGAAATGCAATGGAAGTTCTAAATTTAGAATGACTTGATGTTATTCAGACATTGCTTGTATAACTTCTCCGTGGTGCAGGGGTAACGCGCTCGCTTAGTGAGTGAGAGGTCTGGAGTTCAAATCCCAGTCGAGGAAACTTTTTTTTTTAATTCTTTTTTAAGTGTCTTTGTTAAGGAAGTAGCCATGATATGCAAGGATAAAGTGTGGCTGTCGTAAAAAATGAACATAAATGATTTTTTGATGCAACTCTAGTTATGCAGAATTCCGTATGTATCAAACTCTGGTGCCTTGCAAAATGAATTATAATACATAAAAATAAACTTATACAGGAAAATACATACAGATATACAGTGCGATTTAGATTGCAAAGATCAGAAAATACCACAGAACTTGCAGCCCTTTGATTCTTTATAAATATACATGCTTATAGTAAGTTCCAGGATTATTTACATCTGTGTTAAACAACAGTTAAAGTCGTTACAAGCCCTAATTTAGATCGAATAATATGGTTTTCTTCAGGCCGTACACATATAAATTCACCGTGGCTGAAGGGTTTTCGCGCTCGCTTAGGAAGCGAGAGGTCTGGAGTTCAAATCCCAGTAAAGGCAATTTGTTTAAGTCAAATAAACATTGGATTGAATATCAGTGTTGCAATTAGACTTATAACCAATTTACTACAATTAAAACGCTGGAAAGCATTGGTGGCACTTTACATATAATCTCACAACCTGTACCTTTCTTACATTCTGAGACCCAAACAAATTCAGCGCCTTCTGTGCTTTGATTAACAATATACTCATTTCCATTACTTGTATATTCTTTTATTTCAGTTCTTTTACTAACATTCTTGTCAGTTGACGCGCGTCAAGTCTAGGTCCCCAGCTGGGGTTTGACTATATGGAAGATAGATAGATAAATCTATATGATCGGTCTTACATACAGTTTATCCGGATAAGTTCATTATCGGATGAATTAAAATGATGCTCCTTATTCTATAATTTACAGGAAAAACAGTTCCATATTCAAAAGAAATGTAAACAATATATTACCCCAGTTGACAACTCTGACGTTAGCCAATCTGGTCTTCCAACACACCCTGTAGTCTCGGCGGAAACTGCCGGTAGATATTTGCTGGTCATGATGGACGCCATGTTGATCATCAATATAATCTGGTTCCCGGTCTTGCAATGTCAATCCCATTCAAGTACCGGAAAAAGCACGGAAAGCGTTACTACTTGATTAGAATAATTATGAGCCATGGCGAGAAACAAAATTCAGAAACTTTGATAATTTGTCTATCAGATTTAATGGAAAGTGCAACATCTTATTGTCAGTTTTTCAACAAAATGTTAACAAGTTTTCAATATATGAACTATAATATTGTTAATATATTTGTAACAAGTGTATATAGATAAATTGTGCAAATCAACTATTAAAAAAAATCCAAAAAACAATGAATTAACGTGGAAGAATATTACAAAAAAGTGACAAAAGATCGCCAAAAACCACGGATTTATTTAACATATATATGTAATATAAATCCGTGCCAAAACGGCCTAAGAAACCAGGTTATATAGTTTGAACTATAGGTTTTTTATTTAAACATATTTTATTGCAAAAAAGACTTATACATACATGTAAAGACAGTTACAATTCAATGACATAACATATTTGACAAAAGGGTCGATCCACAAGTTCTCTCAACATTAGCAACCGGTCTTCCCTTGAAGAAGTATTCAATCTTTTCCCACGATTAAGTATTGAAACTGTTGTCAAAATTAAGTCATAATGTTGAGTTCCGTTATCATTTTTTACTTTCTGTACTTTGTACAATCTGGGACATACGATATAGTATATCCCAGGTACAATTAATAGTTTCTATCAATATAATCGCATTATTAGTTTCGATCATGTTGAAAATGGTATAAATAGAAATATTTTATTGATATTGTTATTATAGCCAGGTACATTGTAATTTAACATAACCAGGTAATTTACCTCATATACTAAATGGACAGTAGTGAATTTTTGAAATGGTTATACCAATAAGTTCATCTTCTCTTTTGATAAATAAAGTATGAACGAATAGATTCTGATAATTTAAAGACAAATAGTATGATAATTATGTACTTAAAATTTAGCTTGGGAATTGTATGAAATATGAATATAAAGTTCCGTTAATTAATAGTTGGTCTTTTTTAGATAACATTATTTAAACCCCTTAATTCTCAATCTGAAATTGACAAGCCACATTAATATATGTAACAATGGAATATTGTGTAATCAAGTTTCAACGATTTGAAGTTTCACCGTTTATTTATTCGAAAACGTCCTCATTAAGGCGTTTGCAAAACGGCACTTTCTCAAACATTTGTTAACAGTTATTATAGTCTCCTTCAGAAACATTTAATATGACAAAAACTGACACAAGTATCTTGTTAGTACAAACAAAGTGTTTGAGTGGTTTAGACGTGTTTTTCTCCCAAACAGTTGGACTAACCTAACACATATGCATATCGTTGGGGGATTTGAATGCGCATGACGTAAACGTTCTCCGTCGCTGGGGCGCTTGAAAAAGACAAATGCTCTGTAATGTGCTACCTTGCAAGAATTTTAATGCCATTTTTAAAAAAATAATTCTAATTGATATATTGATTATATGTAAGATTTTTTTCTAAGTGTTACTTTTATTTGAACTTATTCTTATAATGATTGAAATTTAGTAAATTTGGGTCGACGGATTCATTTGTTTTCCTAACTTAGGAATAACAAATGATACGATAAATGAAAACTACAGCGTTTTATTAATTTTCGTACATTTTATTCGTTTTTTTCAACATCTAATGTTATAATGCACATTTTTTATTTAATTAAATGATATGAAGAAATAAAACAGATTTTATGCCTTCAACTTTAAGATACGTTATGATTTTACAATTTCCCCTACAATCAAATCAAACAACCGTCTGTGAGTTGTTAGCATCCGGCATTTTTCAAAAAAAGAACTTCTTATGGTATAAGAACATATTTATTCACCCAAATGTGTTATAAGGCATCAAACTTATATTGCCTACAGCGGCAAATACAGTTGAGTTCACACTAAACTTCCCACCCTTGTGCACTTCTAGTGCACTAGAGCTGAACTAGAAGTGCACACCGTGTGCACTTCTAGTGCACTAGACCATATGACCAGGCTGGCCAGGGAAGGTGACACCTAAATGGTAGATTGGATAATTGTATATCAAGTGACAGGGGGCATCTATATTGTTGAGCTGCTGTAAGAAAAAAAAACTTGGGGAATATATGGCCTATTCAAGAATATAAATAAGTAAATTTTAACATTTTAGGTGATATCATGTTAAAGCTTAAAATTAAAAAAAAAATTATTTATTGTAATCATATTTTTATTAACCAGTATTTAACTGTAAGTGCAAAATATTATCCCTTAAAATCAAATTTATAGAATTAATAAGGTTAAATTTAAATATTCTCCGTCATGGATAATTACGTAAAAGTGTTTTTTAAAGCTATTTTTAATGGCCATGTATTTCAATTTTTCTAGTGTACAAATGGGAAAATCAATGTGGTAATTCTGACCCAATTAATTTAGTTTGAAACAACATAAACTTTTTTTCATAAGCTCAAACAATTATATTTAAGCTAAAATATTATTTCTATAATATATAACTTAGAGACAATTCCTCATGTTCAATATTGAAAGAGAATAATTATTAATACATTGATTTTAAAACAATAAACTGTAATAATTTAGTATTCAACTGTGTAATGCTTGCATATGTTTTAAAGATATAAATAATTAAAATATTATCCATAAAATAAATAAATTTGATAACTTTATTCATGATTTCAATATTAAAAATTTAATGTATAAAGGGAATACTTTTATTGAAGAGGAAAATCTCAAGTCATGCTGTGTATTGGTATTTTACTGAGATGGATTGTTTTCATTATACCACTCTCCTGCTGATAAGAGGGCCTCAGGGTAAATAACAAAGAACAGTCAATTTTGCAGATTATAAGTATGCATTGAAATTCCCTGGTTTTCTCAAAATGCATGTTAGACATAAGCCTGGGATTCATCAGGCGTTGGCACTCAGGCTAGTTAGTCATATAGATAAATGACCATAATTTTTGTATAATCAAATATACAAAAAAAATCATAATGGCATAAATGCATATTAGATATTATTGTCTCTAAAGCGGAATTTTCTATATTTATCCATTTATCCACATTTCTTGCCATTCTGCATAATAATATATAACTTAAGAGGCAATTCCTCATGTTCAAGATTGAAAGAGAATATTAATTCATTGATTTATTTAGCTCTACTTATTCATCATATCATTTTCGTCATAAAGAAAAATATAAATAATTATCAAGATTATAAAAACTTACACACACACGCACGCTCGTACGCAATGTCTCTTTAAAAACTAACTTAAAAACGCATTAGTTAATGTAACCACTTCACAATTTCTGTAAACACAAACAATCACAATTAGTTCTAGCTAGAAAAACTTTGCGCATGCGTCAAGATGGCGGGTCAAAAATTTTCAGTGGAAAATAAACAACCAAATTTCTGTTTTTTATAAGTCAGTGGAAGGTAGTATGAGCGAAGTTTTTAACTGAATTATTATGCAATGACATTTCCCTCATTTTGTGACTAATTTCATGGGTCGAAAACGCAAAACAGACGTGATATCACCTGGTAGCGATAACAAAGAGGTGAAAAGGAAGGACACAAACGGTAACAAGATGGCGGCATCACAAACAAACGTACCTCAAAATGTACCGCTTACACCACATCAGACTCATAACAGTGGGATGCAGCAGCCATACGTCAATCCCAATGCCAATTATACAGGCGTAAATCAATATATGACACCTACTTATCCTTACAATTCTCCATATTTGAACGCTACACAAAGTTCTCCATTATTGTCACAACCGTCAAATAACGGTAATAACGGTAATAGTGAAATTTTGCAGTCTATTTTACAGAGATTAGACAATGTTGACACAAAATTAGGACAATTATCCGTTATACAGGTTAGTGTTGACTCTATAACGGCGAGACTGCAGAGCTTAGATCAAAAGATCAGTGACATTGAATCTAGCCAAAAATTTATTGGTGAGCAATACGATAAAGTATCTACATGTACTAACGAAAATAAGCAAAATATAGACAAAATAAAAAAAGATTTATGTAACGTGAAAACGCATTGCTTTGAATTATCGCATAAGAACGACTCTTTACAGGAAAGTGTTATAGATCTCAAGTGCAGATCCATGCGAGATAACCTTCTCTTTTTTGGTATACCTGAAGGCAAGGTTTCTTTCAAGCCAGAGATGCTCTCTTCTATACAATCAAGCTCAGCCGGTGAAGAGCACACTGCTTCAGTGGCTTCTAAATCTCATCATGGTTCTACTAGTGAAAATCCTGAATTTGATACGACCACACTCCCCCCTGCAATACCATCCAGTTACTCAAATGTATTATCTGATGACTGCAGTGCTAAAGTTCTTGACTTTTGTGAACATGTCTTGAAAATTACAGATGCTAAAAGCAGACTTACTATTTCAAGAGCACATCGTATTGGTCAAGCAGTACCAGGCAAAGTGCGCCCAGTGGTTGTTAAGTTTGAATCTGATTCAAAAAGTGTTATTAAAAACAGCTTAAAATGCATTGATTTAAAACACACACCTTACAATGTCTCAGACCAGTATCCACAAGAGGTGGTCGAGCGGAGAAAGTCACTCTTGCCACATTTGATCAAGGCCCGTTCTGAAGGAAAGCGAGCAGTACTTGTAAGGGATAAACTGTTTATTAACAATCAGCCATTTAAACCTATCAAAGATACAGACAACAGTCAAGGGATTCACATGAACTTAAATAGTAGTTAGGGGTTAGGAGGAAAGTGTGAACTTAGTATAGTATCCTGGAATGTTGAAGGACTTAGAAATTGTTTATGTGATGAAGATTTTGTGAATTTTGTTGTTAATTTTGATATACTGTTCTTTTGTGAAACATGGCAAAGGGCTGTAGATAATTTTTCATTAGACGGCTATAAATCTATTGACATTCCTAGAAAAGAAAGCTTATTACCTAATTGTAAAAGAGGGCATGGAGGAATCTGTCTGTTTTATAAGAATTTTCTCAATCCTGGTATTAGTGTTGTTGAAATA